AAAAATCAACAAATAATCACAGAAATAAGCACTCTTGTTTTTGTCCATTTTACTTACTTTAATGTAAGATCATTTCAGACTCATTAATTCGAGTCATCACTCCTCGGCTTAATGAATTTGTAATCCCACCTCTAGGGCTTGGAGGGGGGTGGGGGGGTGTTGCAGTCATTGGCCAGTGCCCTAACCCATAGGCCATTAGTTACATTTTGAATAAAAGATTTATCACACAAAAAGACAAATCTGACTTAACAATCATTTCATACTCTTGGAGAATGGATATGTTTGATAGAAAGTTAATTGAAAGTAGAAACTGAGTTCTTTGTAAAGTACAGTAGGGCTGTTGCGGTGAAGGAATTTCCCCTGTGGTGATTTAGGGTTGCTCAACAGCGCGGTTTGAGGTATTGTGGTATTGTTTTTGCCTTCATTTGTTTCACCTCAGTACCTGTTTGTACTAATCACCTGCGCTCTAACCCTCCTCCTGCCTCCTGACTGTGTGACGCTGTTAACTGGCGACTTTCAGCCTAATGAAGTCACCTAACCCTAACCCTAACCAGTCACACTGCTGGTGTTTCCAGTCTGAGTTTTTCCAGAGTGAGTGAGTCGGAGGCTAGAAGACTTTCTCCTGTGTGTTATTGTAATCCTGGACTGTGAACTGAGAGATACTGAGTAGCACTGTGTTTCCGACAGCGCTTCTGCTGTGTCGAAACTCTTCAGCCTCAAAGCTCTGCGATGCTTTCCTGCTTTAAAAAACAAATATTGAACATGACGTTACGTGTGGTTGTGTCGGTGGCTTGTCAATAGCATTTCATTATTGCGGTTATTGTGACAGTCCTACGGTACAAGTACAAAAAACTGTTGCTGGTGAAAGAAGCAAAGAAAAGTTGGATCTGAAAGCTAAAAAGAAACTACATTGAATGGTGAAAATCACAGCGCCTCCACTTCTGAATTGGACAAAGGGCAGCGGATAATAGCTTAGAAGTGCCATCTAAGAAGTATACCATGTACTTTTTGTGTCTTTAGTTCATTTCAAACCTTTCCCCATGTTTCCTGTCTGTCTCTACTGACAAAAAATAATCTTTAAAAAACTGAAGGCAGTGCTCAGATATGGATGCTTTAGACCTTCATGTCAGCACTTCCCTGTGTTATGTGCCTGTGTCTCACAATCTAACCCGTGTGGTGTGTGTTTGTATCCAGTTAACAGACAGCGACTACGAGGACGAGCAGCCCAAGCACTCCTTCGTCAACCACTACATGAGTGACCCCACGTACTACAACTCCTGGAAGCGGCAGCCCAAAGGCCTTAAAGGGATCAGCGCTCCCTTCGCCTACGAGGAGTGCGCCACTGCAGAGACGGAGCCCTACTACCAGACCGTGGTCACCCAGCACAGCACAGGCGGCGCGTACACACCCACAGGGCAGCCTGCGCACACGCATGTCAACCCAAACACCAACCCGCCGGGGTCACGCACCCCTGTCACGGGATTCTCCTCTTTTGTTTGACTCTAGAGACAAAATCTGCACAAAATGATACACACACGTACACAAAATGAAGGAGTGGGGCCGGTGTGTGTTTGGACTAAAGGAGACAGAGCCGGCGGCTTCGGAGGAGAGGGGAGGACGAGATGAGGAGACGTAGGACGGACTGGTGATGAAACAGCCCTTCATGCCCCAAAGAACTAAACCTACACTTCTCACTCGCCTTCTCCCCTCGTTCACAAAGATCCTCACTGTGTCGACGAGTGTGTGTGTGTTGCTCTCCTACTCTTTTACGCCTCTGTGTCACTGTGCTTAAACACACAGTTACTGTTCTCGTTTCCACATACACATACACACACACACACACACACACAACCACACTCACACCGGCGTATACCACCAGATATTCATGCCTATTCAAGAGACTCTCGAACAAGAGCTAAGAGCAATGACTACATGATGCGGTTTGTGTAAATGTCGAGGAGAGAATTCAACCTCGAAGTGGTGGAACCTGGAACGTCTGCACAACGCTTCTTCTCTTGTTTTCTGTATTTACACATAAGTGCACAAATACACACACATGTACTCGCTGATGCACCATTTCCGGGAAAGAGGAACTCGAAGGTTGAGGAGAATTATTAAACGACGGCACAGAAGGAAGCAGCTTTTTTGTTTACAGGATGGTTCATGTACACAAACACGGAGCTATCAGCTTTAAAATACCACGACACAGAGGAAAAGAAAAAAATAACAATCAATAATTACAGTTTATGAACTTGATAAAGGACGGAGAGTGGGCGGGGGGTCTTCAGAACGTAAGGCATTCTCAGAGAGAGGTTTGTGTGGTTTCTGAGAGCGATATGTGATGTTTGAGGTTTGGGTTGGAATATATGAAAACATGTTTTTTACCGTCTACTGCCTGTTGTCAGCGCTCCTTACCGCAGCCTCCCAAGCCATAATGCTTGCACTGAGCCGAACCCCCACACATTTCATCTTAATTATGTTGAAATTAAGTTTTTTACAAGTTTGAGTGTGTGCGTTTGAGAGTGACACACACAAGCATGTGTGTATAAATGGCTCTATGCTCAGTTTAGAAGTCTGTTCATCTGTCCTCCGTTGTTCACTGCTAAGCAAAGCGTGCCATTGTATGTATGTTTGTATTTTTGAGAAGGATTTTGTACAGGGAAGCCCTTTTTACTTGTGTGCTGTTGTACGTAGTTCAGCCATGTTTGTGTTATTCAAAGCAAATAGAGAAACAGCACCGGAGCAAGTCCTCAGCTACACTGACCAATGAGAGGGAAAAAAGGCGGAGACGGAGTGACAAACGTTTAGTAAGAATCATAAAGCTGCAGTGAGAGTGTGGAACAAGACTACAGGATATTTTAGAGAATCGTTCTAGTTCAAGCTGAGTGGGATCGAACTTTGACTCGTAAGGCCCCACTGTCTGTACCCTGGCCTCACCCCCATCAGCCGGGACTGACACACATGTACTTTGTACCTCTCTTAAAGTGCAAACAGAAAATAAAACTCATCTGTAAGGTTTTTGCTCATGTATAATTTAAAGATTCTCCTCCCAGCAGCCTCCCTCACTCTGTCACGCTTGTTTTGAGTCCCAAACAGTGTGTGAATAAATGGTCATTGTTTAACCGTGTGTCTCTGTGGTCTGTTTTAGTACTGGGACAGCGAACATGTCACTTTGGATCGTCACCTACATTACATTAACTGAATTAAAGATGTGCCTTTTTGTAACTGTCTCGCTGAACTCTCTTAACCGGGCCTGTGAGCATTGTTTGTGGCTTTTATTAAAGTAGGAAAGGGAGGGGGGGGAGAGAGAGAACCAGAGCTTTATCAGTTTTTGTCTATTAATTATTATCAATCTATCTGTGTTCTTCGGTGTGTGAAGGGCCTGTGTGATACTCTTCTCTGAATAAAGCTGTACATTTCAGGAAACTTGATAAAAAAACAATTATGTAAGAGATGATTCAACAGAGGCAAAGTGCATTTGCTTCGATTATGGTGTCATAAATTATCAAATAAATGGTTGATTCACCCAAAATACAAAAATATATATATATATTTTTTAATGTAGCCATGCAGATGTATTTATTTGTCCGGACTTTAAGGTATTTGTCTCTGAGATTTCTGCCACTTCTCCAAAACAATGGAGTTAAACTGATCTTTGTTTGTGCTGCTCAAAGTATTCAAACATTTTGCTTAAAAATTCTGCAATATATATATCTATGTATGTGTGTCTTTCCAGAATCAATTCACTTCAGTCCTCCCCAGTTGGTTGTTCAACATTAAAACATATAAATAAATATTAAAGACCTGACCCTTTAAAACATGGATTACGATCACTGCTCTCACCAGTGAATACTGTAACAGAGTTACAAGTAGTCCCCAATAACTGAAAATAAAATTACACTGCCTGTGTTAATATGTTTTTTTTACACTTTAATACTTTAAAAACTTAAGAGTTAATACTTTCAGACACAGGCCTTTCTTGTTCCACCACAAAGTGCACGTAAATACTTAATATGTGGCTTGGGACTCTAATAACTGACACACTAATCAGCCAAACAATCATTAACGCTAATGGAAGTCATCAGTGGACTTTATTTTTAATTAAATGTTATGTAATGTGATTATATTATTTTATTATTTTCATTCCACCTATATAAACCTTGTGATACCACCAGTGTGTCATGTTACTGATACAATGAGATTTACCCTCCTGAAACCTCAACGAGGAAAAGGTTTGTTCCTGTAGTCGACAGTAATAGTAGTGACTAGTTACTCGGCTATAATGAGCTTATAAATAATGCATTGTTTCACAGTCCATTAAACTACCCAGTAGTGAATGTTAGTTGATATTACAGGAGCTCTAACTCAAGCAGCAGCAATATGAATGGTGTTTACAATTTAATCCAATAATATATATTTTAAATATGTAAAACACTGACAGTGCCCATTCTGCTGCATTACCTAATGAGGGCTTAAGTACATTTTGCCAATAAAACTTTTACCAGAAGTTTACATGTATTATAGCCTTTACTTGAGTAAAAGATCTAAATACTTGTAAATTAATAACAACTAATTAATATGAAGTAATATAACCACTGACATAATTAAGTAGGTCTACATTTACTCAAATAGGAGTATTTCCATTTTATGCTATTTTATACTTTTACTCCCCTATATGTCAGAGACAAATGTTACTCCTCTGCATCTGTTTAACAGCTGTAGTTTCGTAGATAAGATTTAAAGCATATAAAACACTATTAATATCAGTATTTAAAGTAGTTCAAATTAACTGGACTGGTAACGACATTTAAATAGAGCTTATATGTTGGCCGACCTGTAATAATAATACAATAATGTAACAGGTAGGCTACTATTTACCATTGCATTTTGCAGTTTTTATTGTGATATATACTTTTACTGTCTGAACCTCTGAATCCAACGAGGTTCAATGGGACAACAGCCGTGTGTCTCCCCGCCGGCAGGGGGCGCTGTGGGGCGGTGAAACAGACCCACGGGAGTTGTTGTGGTGCCCGGAAGAAGGATTGTCAGCATGGCCGACATATTTTCCACTTCATGCTTTGCTGTTCAGTGTTTTATTGTGAGAGTGTAACATGAAATTATCCGTGACATTTTGAAACCGCAGCGCTGCAGTGAGCCGCTCCTCCAGACACCAACGGCTCCTTTCCCACACTGCACTGCTCGGAGCTGCAGCAGCCGTTACACCGCTGCCTGTCTGCCTCTCTCTCTCTGTCTCTCTCTCTCTCTCTCTCTGTCTGTCTGTCTGTCTGCACCAACTGCTCACGTCGTGACTTGTGACCCAGTTTGATTTGGTGAGTTCGCGTCTCCTCCTCCTCCTCCTCCTCCTCCTCCATTATTGCTTAATACTCCTCTCAGTACTCCGGTGTTTCTCCTGGTACTGTGTGCCGTATCGATACCTTCACCCAGGCGGCAGCGTCCGTTTAACGGCTCGTTTCTAGTTCAAAGTGCGACGGTTAAAAAGCCGTTGACACATTAACGTCTGTGTAGGTTGGCGGTTGGTGAGTGTAAAGAGGTCTTACTGTCGGTTATGGTGTGTTGGTGACAGTTGACAGTTGACAGGGGACCGGGCTGTCAAACAATAACAACAATAAACATCCGAAATCACTGACCAGCTCAGGGGGGCCCCTCAAGGCCCCCCAGACCCCTCTGACAGGCCCCCAGTCAGTACCTGTTAATCTGTCTAAAAATGCAGCTGTAGGAATACTGTAATCTTTTACTTAAGTTAAAGTCTTTTTTTTAAATTTATTAGTGGCTTCTCATAGGCGCCATTTTGAAGGTATAGCAGGGGCTCATGCATACCAACATTTTGGGGGGGGACACAGTTAATTTTCATAATGATGCAATCTGATATTTTCAAAGACAGTTGGGGGATTATTTTAAAAACAGTTTTTGTGGGGCGCCCGGTTAGCTCAGTCAGTAGAGCTGGCAACCCATATACTGCAGAGGCCTGGGTTCGAATCCGACCTGTGGCCCTTTGCTGGGCGGGCTACCCACCTTTCCTGTCTGTCTTCAACTGTCTCTGAAATAAAGGCATAAAGGCCCAACAAATAATAACTTTAAAAACAGTTTTTGTAGCTCAGTAATCTCCTTCTTTATATAAAGGTGAATGTCAGTGCTGCGCAATGTGGTTAAAAACATATTGTGATTATTGTGACAGATTTAGAATCACAATTTTAGTTTTCACTGAAAAATTCTGAACCAAACAAACACGCTTTCTTAAATCCGGAGAACATTGTAGACCAGGACATCTCTGCAGCATGAGAGTAATTCATTACAATGCAAGTGAAGACTTTGAAACTAAGGATGCACCACTGTTTTTAAAGTCCTAGGTGTGGCAGCTTTTTTGCTTCCGTAGGTAAGAAAATGAAAAAGATAAGAAGATAACAGACAGCAAGAGATATGAGGCAGTTTTCCGTAGTTGACAGGGTTATATTTTCAGTTTGACTTTTAAAAAAATGAAAAGAATAATATGCAAATTGTTTTGCGCAGTTTGTATCCTTCCTCATAAATAGATAAAAAACTCAGTCATTCATAATTGTATTGTGAACCCAGTATTGTGAGTAGTCAGTTGAGTGTAATTTCTGTTTATATTGAAGCTGTTGAGTGAACTCACTGCATTTACATTTGAGGCTGTAGTTTGTGTTATTTACATATTTCTTTATTTTAGTTTTGTTAGTTTTTTTGGGATTATTCTAAAATTACAATGCATGTAATATGTATTTTAGTTTATCACAAATTATAATTTTTTGGACAAATGTATGTATGGACAAATATTATTATACAGCATAATAAATAAGAGAACATAGAACAAAAAAGGGTGATAGAAATGGAGGGCAGAAATTACCTACAAAGGAACTGACCCTAACGCGTTTGTTTCTTCCACAGTTTTCCGAGACTGACCTGAGTGGGATGAAACATCAGGAGTCTGACCACGGACCAAGGAGGGTTTCATCCTAATCCAGTGACTCTTACTGGAGTCAAAGACGAAACAAAATTGGCCTCAGTGAAAAAAACACACACCAATAACTAACAATGGGGGAAGTGACTGTCGAAGTAGATGAGGAGGTGGCGAAACATGACTTCTTTTTGGAGCCACTCCCAGAGCCACTACTGATAATCCTGTCTCCACCTCCACCTTTCTTACCTGTCCCCGGTGAACCAACCATGTGTTGGCAGAAGTGGCTTAAAGCTTTCGAACACTACGTTGAAGCGCTCGGTGAAAACGAGCTTATCGACTACAGTAAGTGTGTGCTGTTACAAAACTGCCTTGGCCCCGAGGGCCAACGTATCTTCACAACATTGATCCAGAATGAAAGCACATATGCGGCAGCCATCTCAGTGCTGACCGTTTACTTCAGCTCTGATCACACGTCGCAGAAGTACCGCCTTAAATTTCATCAGAGGCGTCAGATGCCCGAAGAGACTGTAGATCAGTTTGTGTCTGCGTTAGAAGAACTGCTGAAGCCTTGCAACTATGGAGACTTACAAGACAAACTTATCCTGGATCAGCTGATTGAGAAAACAAACTGCCAACAACTCAAAGAGAGGCTGCTGTTGGAAAGGGAATCTCTGACTTTGGACAAGGCTTTAGTTATCGGTAAAGAGGTTGAATCTGCTTTAAACGAATCTGAACTCTTTGGTATTCACGAAGTTAGTGTGGACATTGGAGACGATTTAGACCCTCCTGTTCAAAGAAAGGCCAAAAGAGGGCGTCCTCGGCGTGGTGAGAGCAGGGCGAAAATCAAAACAAAACCACGCACAACTAAAGCTCAAACAAGATCATCTAGATACAAAGATAATTACTATTACGTTAATGATAAGCTATATTATCAGGATGAAGATAAGTCCAAGAGTTCTGATGAGACTAATCGGCCTTGTGATAAATCCAGCGATAAAACAGATGATGATGAAAATGAGACCTTATCATCATCACAGAGGATAAAAGAGGAGGGCTGCGACAAAGCAAGTGACGGTGACGATGATGAAGATGACGACTTTGTCCTTTCTCCGTCTAAACTAAAAGGCCCCTACTGTCCCATCTGTGTTGACAGGCGCTTCAGAGATGCGAACAAGCTTGCCAGACATATGAGGACGCACACAAAGGAGAAGCCGTTCATCTGCCCCATCTGTGCTGTGACCTTCAGCCAGTCATATCACATGACCCGTCACTTGAGGAACCAGCATGGTGCGGGCCCTCACGTCTGCTCCACATGTGGGATAAGTTTAGGGAGCTTTGCAGAGCTGCAAAGTCACAAGAAAACGCACAAGTCTCAAGTTCTGTCGTGTCCCAACTGTCACGAACAGTTTGCTAATGACGGAGCGTTTTTTGTTCACATTCTGTCTCATGAAAAGTCTCCCCAGACAGAGGGACAGGATTCTCAGCAAAGTGAAGAAGCAGCAAACCGAGAAATGATCGAGTCACGTAACAAGGACAGTCATGAGAGCGATGATTGCAACGATAATGCTGCTGAGAATGATGCAGACTCTTGCAATAGTGATTCTCAGGATAAAGAATCTGAAGTTAGTGTTAAGACTGAAGATAAGGACACTGATGGAGCTAAATCTCAGGACGGAGGCAGTCAGAAAGAAAAAGTCGCCTCTAAGACTAAAACAAAAGGCCATTTCTGTCCCATCTGTGTCGGCAGGCGCTTCAGAGGGCCAAACAAACTCGCCAGACACATGAGGACGCACACAAAGGAGAAACCCTTCAGCTGCCCTGTCTGCGCTATGACTTTCAGCCAGTCCTACCACATGACCCGACACCTGAGGAACCAGCACAGCTTGGGCCAGTACATCTGCTCTAAATGTGGGAAAAGTTTAGGTAGCTGGCTGGAACTGAAGGCACACAAGAAGACTCATGCCGTTGAAGGCCTGACGTGTCTTGCATGTGATAAACAGTTCAAGGAGAAGGCTGCACTTGTGAGTCATCTGAAATTACACAAGAAGGTCCAGTCCAGCCCTCGAAGCCTCATCTGTGGCGATTGCGGCAAAGTATTTGGTCGAATGTATCATTTGAAAAGGCACATAGTGACCCATCGTAAAAGTTCGAACGGTGAGTGTTACACCTGCCCCGATTGTCAGAAGAATTTTGCCTTCCCAGAAGACCTCAACAAACACTTGGAGATTCACGTGAAAGAAAACAATGGGACTTGTCCGAAATGTAACGAAACCTTCGGTAGTTCAGAAGAACTAGAGACGCACATGAGAGTTCATGAAAAGTCGTACCCCTGCAGCACCTGTGGGAAGAAGTTCAAGGTCGAGTACGCGCTGAAGAAGCACGAGCAAAGTCACCAAGACGAACAGTATTATTGTTCGTTGTGCCGCAAACGCTTCATCAAGCTGTCTCACTACAAGAGGCACATAATGGTCCACGACAGGCGGGAATCCAGATGTCCACACTGTGACAGCGTCTTTCTACAGTTAACAGCTTTGAAGTATCACCTGCGGACTCATACAGAAGAAAGACCATACCAGTGCTCCTGTTGTATTGAGACTTTTGAGGAGAAGGAAGATCTAGAGCAGCACTGCCTCAAACACAGGAAATTCAAGAGGGAGCGTCCGTACTCGTGCACCCGGTGCGATTTGGCTTTCTCTACCCTAATTGAGCTGACCGAACACATGAGCTCACATGAGGGTGAACAACCGTTGAACTGCCCCGTCTGCGGCAGAACATTCCTGAACAAGAACAAGCTGGAGAAGCACCTGAGCATCCACACGGGGGAGAGACCTCACCTCTGCTCCGTCTGCGGCAACGGGTTCCCCTCAGCCGCCAGCCTCAAGTTGCACATCCACATCCACACCGGAGAGAAACCCTTCCAGTGTTCGCAGTGCAGCAAGAGCTTCAGGTCATCCAGCGGGCTGCGGCTGCACAGCAGGCAGCACATGGAGGTGCGGCCGAGCTACGAGTGCCCCGAGTGCGGCAGAACTTACGGTCGCATGACGGAGCTGAAGATGCACCAGCGATATCACACGGGGGACAAACCGTACGCATGCACCTGCTGCAACAAACGCTTTATTAGCAAAGACAAACTGAACGTCCACATGAGGATACACACAGGGGAGCGACCGTACTCCTGCCCCCACTGTGGACAGACATTTACACAGACTGGGGACAGAAACAGACACATCAGTAAATACCACTAGTTAGATTCTGTTGTAACAGAACTCCAGTGAAGCTTTGGTTGTTGCTTTTGAATGATTGCACCGTTAGTTTTGCATGTTTGTAGGGGTAGGTAGCATTAAGAATCAATTCACATTCACTCTCTTCTCATATTATTTGATAAAGAAAAATGAATTAAGATAAGCTGAAGCTAACTTGGGCAGAGTTAGGCTCCCATGAACACTAAATTATCATGAATGATGAAGTTATGTGATAGCGTAAAAGCCTTCAATAAATCAACCAATGTTCAGTCACCACCTCTTGGACACACGTATCAGCAAATAAATTAGAACATACTCCTCAATAACTTACTTTAAGAAAACATTTATTTCTGGAAAAGGCCTTTTCTTAACAAGTCAAACTTCTCAAATGTTTAATGTCTAAAAACAAGCAGTCCTAACAGAACTTTACAAAAATAAAATCGTCCTAACATTAGGGATGTCATGAGAACCGATACTTTGGTACCAAGTTGTTACCAATATTTTGAAAACTTGACGGTACTTCTTTTTCTGCAGTACCAAAGGTATCGAGGATGCGATTCTCCCAGACCTGACAGCGCAGCATATACGCCAACATGCAGCTGTTTGTGCACGGTGGTCCCTGAGCAACTGTCTGCTCCGTCTGTGTCTCTGTCGCTGTGCTGTGTGTGTGTCTGTGTCTGTGCACACTCACCACGCCAGTGCAAGTGAAACGAAAGCCCCACGGAAAAAAATCCAGCAAATAAGAGTAATTTATTAATGTAATCTACGCTAAAGATGTACAGATGAGGCAAAATAAACACTCAGCAGAATCCAGTTCATTCAGGTAACTCAGGTAAAGGCTGCACTGAAGCAACAAACACTGCAAGAGAGAGAAACTCCCTCCAGACAGTGACCAGATCAAAAAAGATTACAGTTAACTACAGGTAAATAATAATCAGGACTCTGTATCAGCAGACACTCAAAATTGAACGGGCGTTTAGGGCAAAAAAAACTTGATTTGGACATTTTTATCGTGGTAAGAATTGGTATTGAGAATCATGTAATTTCACTGGTATTGGTATCAACTACATTTCTGGTATCGTGACATCCCTACCAAACATTTACAGACTGTCAAAACGTAGCCTAAATAAAGAGGAGTAAAAAAATATATTTTGGTGCTTGACAATTTTCAGTACTTGGTGCTACAAACACATTTCAGTCACTACCGAAGTAATTAGGGCTGTGTTATTGGATTTAACTGGGGTTTCTGTTTTTCTGGTCGCTGTCTGGGTGACGATATAAGTGTTACAGATTATTATCATTCAGTTTCTCAACCACTTACTATTTAATATTTACTGCTTTCTGCAAAAGTTCCATGTAGACAAACAGTTAACAGAATCGTTACACTTACATTTGGATTATCGATTGTACTTTTATGGTCTGATATCTAACAGCAACTTTCTCATTGCAGGAAACTACCAAATCCACTTCCACGACTTCACGTTATCTGGGTTTGATTTTCAGAAAACAGCTGCATAGCTTGCAGTGCATTTTGTTGGCGTACTTTTTACTTACTGTATCGTGGGATAAAACATGCCAAACCACTGATTCCTCTGTGCAATATGAGCCTTAATTGTTGCCATCCAAACAGGTTGTCACAGCTCACCCCCTAATACAAAATCTCTGCATGAGGGTTTAGTCCTTGTAGCTCACCCCTCTCACCCTGTGCCTGACGCGCCCTCCCCATACAGCACTTGAACCCCATCTTTCCCAACAAACTCACACGAGTGACCGGCATGCTAATGGTTCTTTGACGTCCAGAGATATTTCCACAGTTTGCCTTGTAGATTCGTCAAAAAACGGATATTATCATGGTCACTCAAGTAACACTAAAAGGTGTTTCAGTACTTGTTGTCCTCCCCACCACAGTATGTGTTGTCATATTATGTTTGCTTTGTTTCACTTTTTGAAATCCTTTTGTTTAGGCTTCTCTGTAACCAAGCATTTTGTAACTGTTTAGAAAAGTGCCATAAAAATTAAACTATTATTCACTCTACTAACACTTGTGTGTAAAAAGGTAAACGTGTAAGCTGAATCATGAGTGAATAGGATTAATTGAATGAATGTGTCTCCATATAAACCCCATCTGTTAAATGTTTTAGCACTGTTACTGAAAGCTATCCCTGTGGTTGAGTGCCTTCACTAAATGGTCTTTTATGGATGTGTATTGTTTGCTCAGAGGGCAGTTTCGTGATGAAGCAGGATCAAATCCAATCAGATAAGGTTTATTGGCATCAGTATTAAGGTTATATTGTTGCCTAAAATTTATGCCAATTAATACAATAAATATGTACATTTTCATTAGTCGGTATTGTTACCGGTATTAAACAAAGTTAAATAACTGATCTCACAGTGGCATGTAGTTAAATATCATGTTGTCGTGAGATTATTGAATTACTGGGCATATAATTAATGTAGTTTAGATTAAGAGGAGAACAGATTACATTCATAATATTTTATTTTCTGTTTGTGAACATTAAAAGATGATAACAAATTAATAAAAAAGGAGCAAGATCGCAGGCAGTATGACTAATTTAAATCAGGCTGTCCACGAGGGTGCTGTGGGGACAATAAACTCTTTAAAAAAATACGAACGTATATTGGAAAACAATATACAGTACACTACTACAGTCAAAATAATATAAATTGTTTATAATCATGTTAATCATGACTTTCCTTTATAAAGCATGTTCATGCAAAATATACAACAGCGGTAAATTAACAATATGCAAGAAATAAAACATTAAAGATAAAACTATATATAATAGAATTAGAATAGAAAAATACAAGATAAAATAAAGTTGCTAGTGGTGTAGTGGCAAGGTGTAAAAAAAATAACTGCACAAGACAGTACAGTAAGAAATGATATATATGTACATATATACATTTATGTACAAATATATGTATATATATATATATATGCACATATATGTATGTAGGTGATCCTTCTTGCACTGTGGGTGCAGCAGTCTGTTGCTGAAGGAGCTGCTCAGGGACTCCACAGTCTCATGCAGGGGGTGAAAGGTGTCTTTCCCACCTCCTCTATGGAGTCTTGATGGGAGTCCAGGTCAAAACTACCTCTCTTTTAACCAGTCTGTTGAGATTATTTGGGTCAAAATTGAAATCACGATTATTCAAATCATTATTTTTTTAGACTTCAGAAACATGCTACATTTATTGGACATTTGTCAAAAACACTTTGCAAGGAAGTCCTCCGTTACACTTTCCTTTCCCCATAAACATTTGTAAGTCTCCTTTTTACATTGACAGTCATAGTGCACTCTTGCAATCTCTACAAAAAGTTAAATTAAATAAAATAACACAAAAGATAAGCCATAGAAAAACAATTTGTATTCTCAAATTTTAGTGCACTGCCACAACATTTGAAATTACCCAGTGTTTCCTCTGTTGATGCCCGTCGCTGTTAAATTTCTGCCGCCACGGTATCAGAAATGAGGCTGCTAAGAAATCCTAGAGAAAACACTGATTACCTGTTACTGTTACCTCTTCCAATGAAAACAACGTGACTGACTCAGGTGCAGTGCATGCTGTGGGGGAGGGACGGATATACGCAGACTGTGGCTGTGTACACAGCTTTTTTCTATACAACGTTGCACAAAATGAAGAATAAAGAAAATCGTTGCCACCACAGTGTCAAAGAATGATTTCAACAGTGTTCTGCACACACAAAAGGCGACTTTGGGCATTTCTTGTACAGGACATCAGTGTGGTTGGACCTGTGTATTGAGGTAAACAACGAGGTATTTGTAAATTTCCACCATCTTAAAGTCCAAATCTGTAATCTGGGGGAAGTCGACCACCATCTCCTTGGTGTTGCTGGTATTTAGGTCGACAAAGTCAGCAATCACCTCAGTGTCATCAGAGAACTTCTGCAGGTGAAAGAAAAGAATAGATTCTTTATTGTCCTTTCCAGGCAATTTGCTGCCACAGTCTGTACATATAATCTCATACATATACACACAACGTTAACACACGATAGACATCTAAACACAGCACATTTTTACATACATTCAGACCACAGCGAGCTCATTTATAGGCCAGTGATCTATTATCTACTCAACTTCAGCTCCTTCTCCCTCAGCAGTGATGGCTGTATTGTGTTGAAAGCACTGGAAAAAGTAAATGATAATAAAAAAAGATTCTAATTGAAATCAAGAATTATTTAGTAGAAGAAAAAAGGAGAAAAGACTGTTTATATTAATATTAGTGGTAACATCCAGGCCGGTAGGGGGCAGTATGCAGCTAACGTCGCCTACAATATCCTGTTTACTAACAGGAAGAAAGAGGAAAACATCAGCTTTGAAGTAGCTTCGCGTTATTAAACAAATTAATTCGGTTCGTAGTTTTCCTGCCGTCACCTGGTTAATGAGTTGAAGCGATTCGGGTAAAGTTGGAGATTTAAATGCCAAATTAAAGTTCATCTGAAATGAACAATGTGCCTGAAAGCTAATGCTAACCGATAGCTCAGGCTTCAAAGGTTTAGTTGTCAGCTGTTTTTCTTATCCAGACAGATAAATGGACGCACTGTAGATTGTATGTGGTTGAATATAATGTTGGGGGAATTATTTTTTTCTGAACTAAAGTAAACCAGACAGAAAACCACTCGTCCTACTCCAACCTTTTGAATATGAGTCTATTACTCAGCCTGACTTTGTAATAACAGTGAACAGGTCAAACTGGTAATAAGTGAAGCTACAGTCACTCCTTATGGCTGGGTTAGGCTTTACTCCTGCCAGTGGGCAAGATATTTTCAGCATCGAAACAACTGAACAACCCAGCTCTGCAACAAGCAGTGCACTGAGTGGAAGAGAGGCCAGGCAGTTCTACGAACATCTAATGAAAGATGAAGATCATGGCAGAGAGCACCAGAATAAACAGAGGAGGAGAGCCAGGGCTGCAGAGAGGCAGCGGGGTCAAACCGATTCTGTGCTACAAAGTGGGACTAGAGGTGGAAGTGATGGCAACCAAAGGAGAGAGACAAGCAACTCAGAAAGGACCACAGAGCTCCTGGGGCTCAGATTGCTGCGCTGTGCCCACAACGGGGACATCTCTGGCCTTAAAGACCTGCTCTCAAAGGGGGTTGATATCAACTTCCAGGTACAATACTTACTGCTTATTTAGTTTTCATTTAATGTTTTATTTGGGTTTGTTTTAAGTCCTGATGGTCTCCCCCTCTAGGATACTTACTTTTGGACGGCAGTGATGTGTGCAAGCTGGTCAGGACAGAGAGATGCGGTGAGGCTGCTGCTGCAACATGGAGCCGCCTGGGTCGGAGTGGTTGATACACAGGGCAGGGATGCCAAAGACCTGGCGCTGGAAGGTATAACCATGCATTTCTTATTAGCAACTCACTTGTGTTTGTGTGTACAGTGAAGATGAACTCATCCATGTCTATTTTTTCTCCCCCACCAGCTGGTCACAATGAGGTATTGGAGGAGTTGGAGAGTTATGGGAGAAGTCCAGAGAGAGACACACCATCTGGTAGCAGGTTAGTGCACTCTGTGTACAGTTTGAACCTAATTGAACCACATGTTAGTTCGTTTTAAATACACTGTACCTTAGATAATGACAGTCATCCTTTATTGAAACAGTCTCACTAGTGAAAACAGTATTGGATAAAACACAACAAATTTAAGAATAAAACTGGTTCCACAAAACTGTCACTGATAAAACTATTGAAGGCTATGAGGGGCCGTACAAGACATTATTCATTCTGGCCCTCTCACATACATATATTCTTCTTTCACATACATATATATTCCCTCTCACATACATATATTCTTCTTTCACATACATATATATTCCCTCTCACATACATATATTCTTCTTTCACATTCATATATTTTCCCTCTCAAATACATATATTTTCACTCACACATTCATATATTTTCACATACACATTCATATATTTTTACTCTCACATTCATATATTTTCACTCACACATTCATATATTTTCACTCACACATTCATATATTTTTATATATGTATGTAAGAGGAAAATATATGTGTGTGTGAGAAGAATATATGTATGTGTGAGAGGAATATATGCGTGTGTGAGACAAAGTATACATGAAACGGAAGGACAATAGTGGAAACGGAAGGCAGGCCATTTTATCGCGCTGTGATTGGCTGATAAGTTGGCGCGAGGTCATGTGCAGGTCATGATTAACATGGAAGGGAGAGAGGAGACCCGTGCACTGCAGCAAGCCATTGGGGTATTAAGAACTATTTTATCATCATCTGAAAGGGTCACATCGTTGTCCTCGTCCCTTGAGCAGCGGAGGACAAGCTCATCAGGACCTAACGTTACTCACAGCACGGCGGAAAATGAGACGAGAGAACTTTTCAGACCTTGAAACTCCCAAGTCGCTTCCGCAGCCCAAGCAGCTAACGTTAGCGCTACACAAGGACGACCTGGAGGACTGTCGCAGTCTTTACGATATGAGACACAGCTACACTTTGGCAACTGGGGCTCCCGGAAAAGGAAAAGGAAAAGGTAAGAAAAACGTAGCGTTACATGGTAACTTAACTGGAAGTAGTAAATCCCAAATGCTCGTTTGCTAATTTGGCTGCAGTCAATGTGTATGTTAATACATGTTCGCAAAACCCGTAAATGTCCGTAGTAAAAACAATAAAGACAATTAAACAATCTTCAAATGACAGAAAACATCGAAGGCTGTTTTGTACTTTTGAGTAACGTTTGTATAAAATGGGTGTAAATGATTCTCTGTGTCACTCTAAGGTTAAGTTGGTAATCTTATAATAATGTGTCTAACGTTAGCGGTAGCTACATTACCTAACGACAGCTGTGGTTAAGGTTTTGTCATTTTCAGTTAATAGGTCAACTTAACGTTAAGTTGAACTAAGGGCAAATCAAGGTATGTGTAAGATTATAGAGCATTATAGAGCAGGTGAGGAGAGACATGGCTGACACTCTCCCAGCTCCATCATATTTGATCTTTCAGTAGATTATAATATATCTTTTAACAGCATAATCAACCAATGTTGACGATAACCAAAACTGCTAACTGCAACTTTTGGTATTTTCAGCGTTCTGGAATTCTAGCTTCTGATTCTAGCTTGCGTAGCTAAAGTGAAGAGTTGTCAGCAGTAGCAGGTTCAGTCAGTCCATATCAAAATATTGTCAGAACATGCAGTATGTTTAATGGAATGTAGACCAGAATTACAGAACATTTTCACATTTTTTTCATTCCTAAATGACAGTAGAGGGTTACTAATGTAACTAATGTAACCCTCTAAAGATATTGACAATGCCTAATTTAAAGTAGTTTTATTGCAGTCTGCTGTTTGGGCAGCCTTCTTTGTCTCGTTGTTGTTTATCCATCAGCTTGTTAATAATGAATCAAATGATTGTATGTACTAGTATGCACTAGTATTAGTGCAACGTTAAAGGGCATGCAATTAAGGATCCAAAAATAACACCTCTGCTTTGTTTTGTAGGGCCAAATCACATTACCACGATACTTTCAACAAAGATATCATCCTTCTTCCAAAATCATCGAGCAGTGCTGTCATCAGGCATTGCACAAAGCAACAGTTACATAAACAGGGACAGAGCACTGTCACTGAACAAATAAGGGATGCCTTTGGAGAAAAACACTCTGATGTAAGGTAAGGACTAATATTTGTTTTTATTATTTCCAAACTGTGATTATAAATGACTAACTGAAACTGAGCAGTTCTTCTGGTCAGGTACTAGTATGTCCACTGGAGAGCTGCCCTTCCACCAGTCAGCCTTCTACCTCATCATTAAGAGGAATAACTACAGTTGATCCAACTCTGGTCCTGACTTGCGAAGATATCTCAACTTCACCCTACCAGAGCAGCATTCCAGCAAGTCATTGTTCTGCCTATACCTCAACACGCCATCAAACAGCAAACTGTGAGAACTACCTTTCAGTAATGGCTGACAATGAGGAATTTAACCTGGCGATAATATCAAGCCTGGAGAGTGAAAAGTTAGTACATGATGAGAGCCAACCCAACAATTAAGTTATTTCTGCTTACAAATACTGTACCTGTATAAAATAAATGTAAACTGTTATTATTTTGTGTTGTTAATGTTAATATTTTCAAAATATTATGCTTTTCTGTTTGACTTGAATGTTGAAATGGCCCTACTGTGTGGGGTCATGTGTAATGCAAAGAAAAATAAAGAACCCACCGCCTAACACAGGGATAGTATAGCATTACTTATATTTGTGTTTTAAGTTCATGGTTGCAGTTTTCTTCCATTTCTTGGATATTTATAGTGTAGGCAATACTCAGACTATTTTCAATGTGATTTCGTGTGGTTAAAGCACCACATTTACATTAAGCTCGGTTTCCTTACTTTAAAATGTTCAATGAAATTGTAATCAAACAAATAGTTAAATGTGTGAAACCTTTATTGAAGGTTTGAGTGAAGAACTCAATAAATTGTATTGAACTGTTACTTTTCTTTAACATGTCCTTTTTAAAATAAGATGACAAAACGCTAACATCAACATTCATGCAGCATCTGTGAGAATAGGATTTAGGAGATGCACAAGAAGCAACACAGAAGCAGTAGAACGACGACAAACAGGAAATAGTTTCACATTGCACATAAATTGACACACTGAAGGCTTTTCAACAATCAATCAATTTTACATATTGATTAAAAAACTGTTATCTGACCATTCAGACAAATCTAAACCACCTGTTTATTAGTTTTAGACCCTTTCCATAGGATTAGTGTAGAGCAATACTATGCTCAGCCAATTCAATGGAAATCAGCTCAGTGACATGTCCGCTTGACATAAGAGCAAAGCATTTGGATGCTTCAAAATAAAAGTTTCCCCAAGATATATAAAATCAATCATTTCATGACAATTTGGAAAAATATATTACTTGCTTTAAATCAGGGCCTTGATGTGGTGGGAAAAGAAAATCATAACAAATCATTCACTCTACTACACTTAAATAATATTTAACAATTGAACTTGCCTTTGTTTCAGTACAAGTATGCTAAAGGTGACCTCCTTAACTTATATAAGAGGAGTTGTCCTCTTATCTTGGACCAGGCAGGGAGTGGTGAACAACACTAAGCTCTTTAAATTCACAAGCAAACATCCTGGCTAAAATATAGAATATAGAAATAATTTTAAGCTTACTACACAATAATTCTCTACATTTAAAGTGTTTTTATTGCCTTCATAGAACTTTATTAAAATCTGAACTGTACTTAAGATATTAGCACCTTATTGTTTTAACAAAGATGCAACAAATGTGTATTTAGAATAATTCATGCTGAAATGCTGCTGCAGTTGGGAGATATACTGCTTTGGGAGGTCAAAGAAGAAGTTTGTGTAAATATCTCTCCACCCCCAAGTGATGAGGTAAATGGTTGAATTGCAGAAGCAGTTTGGTGGGGAGACAGTCATTGGACTGGTGAAGTTCTCTGAAGATGCATATGAGGGTCTATCTCGTGTTAGAGATGAGGAGCGTAGCTGCCTTGCTGAACCAGTGATTTCCTCACAATTGTTGTCGCCACTGCTACAGCCTGCAATATCATCCTTGGAAAGACATGAGAAACATATCAGCATATATTTCAGATATACTAAATGTCTACTGTAAACTGAATAGTACCTGGAAACACCAGATCTATATTTATTATATTTCTTAGAATGACTTTATATTGTTTGACATCATACACTAATGAAAATATACCAAAGGTCAGAGCTAACTGACCAGATTTGACCTTAATGCATGCATGTTTATGCACCACTTAATGGTTATTATTACAGTGGGTTTAATATTATTCTGCAATTTAATTCAATTATATAACATACCAGAATTGGCTTTGATGGTCTGATGTATAGGGCTTTTGATCTATATATTTTATGTGTGAGATTTGCATCCAACTTCTGTCCAGCACGCAGTTTGGGTGAAATCAGTCTGTTGCCACATGCCATCAGAAACTCCAAGCTGAAAAACAGCAGGTAAAATTGCAAAAGTTTTAAGAAAAAAAACAGGCCCAAACCAACCTTTTTGCACAAGACACAGTGAAACTGATCAGTCATGTTCCATTTCCTCTTTTGAGATGGACACAACAGAATTTATAATAAATAATTCATGCCAGAATAATTCATGCCACTGCTAATTTCAGTTAGTCATTTATAATCACAGTTTGGAAATAATAAAAACAAATATTAGTCCTTACCTTACATCAGAGTGTTTTTCTCCAAAGGCATCCCTTATTTGTTCAGTGACAGTGCTCTGTCCCTGTTTATGTAACTGTTGCTTTGTGCAATGCCTGATGACAGCACTGCTCGATGATTTTGGAAGAAGGATGATATCTTTGTTGAAAGTATCGTGGTAATGTGATTTGGCCCTACAAAACAAAGCAGAGGTGTTATTTTTGGATCCTTAATTGCATGCCCTTTAACGTTGCACTAATACTAGTGCATACTAGTACATACAATCATTTGATTCATTATTAACAAGCTGATGGATAAACAACAACGAGACAAAGAAGGCTGCCCAAACAGCAGACTGCAATAAAACTACTTTAAATTAGGCATTGTCAATATCTTTAGAGGGTTACATTAGTTACATTAGTAACCCTCTACTGTCATTTAGGAATGAAAAAAATGTGAAAATGTTCTGTAATTCTGGTCTACATTCCATTAAACATACTGCATGTTCTGACAATATTTTGATATGGACTGACTGAACCTGCTACTGCTGACAACTCTTCACTTTAGCTACGCAAGCTAGAATCAGAAGCTAGAATTCCAGAACGCTGAAAATACCAAAAGTTGCAGTTAGCAGTTTTGGTTATCGTCAACATTGGTTGATTATGCTGTTAAAAGATATATTATAATCTACTGAAAGATCAAATATGATGGAGCTGGGAGAGTGTCAGCCATGTCTCTCCTCACCTGCTCTATAATGCTCTATAATCTTACACATACCTTGATTTGCCCTTAGTTCAACTTAACGTTAAGTTGACCTATTAACTGAAAATGACAAAACCTTAACCACAGCTGTCGTTAGGTAATGTAGCTACCGCTAACGTTAGACACATTATTATAAGATTACCAACTTAACCTTAGAGTGACACAGAGAATCATTTACACCCATTTTATACAAACGTTACTCAAAAGTACAAAACAGCCTTCGATGTTTTCTGTCATTTGAAGATTGTTTAATTGTCTTTATTGTTTTTACTACGGACATTTACGGGTTTTGCGAACATGTATTAACATACACATTGACTGCAGCCAAATTAGCAAACGAGCATTTGGGATTTACTACTTCCAGTTAAGTTACCATGTAACGCTACGTTTTTCTTACCTTTTCCTTTTCCTTTTCCGGGAGCCCCAGTTGCCAAAGTGTAGCTGTGTCTCATATCGTAAAGACTGCGACAGTCCTCCAGGTCGTCCTTGTGTAGCGCTAACGTTAGCTGCTTGGGCTGCGGAAGCGACTTGGGAGTTTCAAGGTCTGAAAAGTTCTCTCGTCTCATTTTCCGCCGTGCTGTGAGTAACGTTAGGTCCTGATGAGCTTGTCCTCCGCTGCTCAAGGGACGAGGACAACGATGTGACCCTTTCAGATGATGATAAAATAGTTCTTAATACCCCAATGGCTTGCTGCAGTGCACGGGTCTCCTCTCTCCCTTCCATGTTAATCATGACCTGCACATGACCTCGCGCCAACTTATCAGCCAATCACAGCGCGATAAAATGGCCTGCCTTCCGTTTCCACTATTGTCCTTCCGTTTCATGTATACTTTGTCTCACACACGCATATATTCTTCTCACACATACATATATTCTTCTCACACACACATATATTTTCCTCTTACATACATATATAAAAATATATGAATGTGTGAGTGAAAATATATGAATGTGTGAGTGAAAATATATGAATGTGAGAGTAAAAATATATGAATGTGAGAGTAAAAATATATGAATGTGTATGTGAAAATATATGAATGTGTGAGTGAAAATATATGTATTTGAGAGGGAAAATATATGAATGTGAAAGAAGAATATATGTATGTGAGAGGGAATATATATGTATGTGAAAGAAGAATATATGTATGTGAGAGGGAATATATGTGTATGTGAAAGAAGAATATATGTATGTGAGAGGGAATATATATGTATGTGAAAGAAGAATATATGTATGTGAGAGGGAATATATGTGTATGTGAAAGAAGAATATATGTATGTGAGAGGGAATATATATGTATGTGAAAGAAGAATATATGTATGTGAGAGGGCCAGAATGAATAATGTCTTGTACGGCCCCTCATAGAAGGCCTTGCATTAGGTATGCACCAATAACAATATCACATACTTATAATTATAATGATAAAACTACTCCGTTATGTATCCTGTTGTTAGTTGAGCAGGTAGGCAGAGGAGAAGCAATGTCAGCATTTTAGAGAATTTAAGCACCTTTTACAGCAACATTAGCAACATTTAATTTGTTACAGTCATAAACATCTGATGAAAATAAAACGTGTTTTCAAATTGTGTTAATCAATTTAAACTACCCCTTTATATTAGAATAGAAACACAAGTATATTTTATAATTTGTATTTAGTTTGGCACAAAATAATGGCAATGGTTAAGATAATGTGTTGTTAGGGTTGTTAAGAAGAGAGCAGGTTTCAGAGTTCATCGGTTGTTTGGCTGCAAACAACAAAGATGGTATGAGATGATAATATAAAAACTGTATAGAAACTGCTGTTTGCATTTGCTTTCTTTTTAGTAGTAGTAGTTTGAGTTGGAGTCCCCTGCTTTAGACTAATCAATTGAAAATCTTCTACCCAAAGTTAAAACCTTTTTTGTACAAATATTCCTCTTTTTGTTACTGTCCTTGGACTGCAGCAGGAACACACTGTCCAGGAAAGCACAAAGATACTAAAGACACTTGGAAGATCCCCCCTTTATATGACTAACTCATCTAACTAGGTCTGTGGATTTGGTACCCCATAACTCACACTGGATGCACATTAGAAAGGGGATCTTTAAATGTTAATGTATGTATGAGCACCTTATTACCATTTTAAGGCTGACTTGTGAACCAGTTCCTTTAATATTTCTCCTCACATTAATTTTATCTCATCTTCTGTTTGTCCCCAGTGCCGCTCAGTGCCAGCCTCAGTGGTGCGATGTGTGTGGTAACGAGTACAGCTGCAGCCTGTCGTCACATCTCTCCTCCACTATACATCAGTTCAGTTTGCGGCGTCCTCCACCCACCCCGTACTACTGCCTCCCCCCCTCCAGCAACAGCTACAAGATGATGGTTCGCTGCGGCTGGAAACCGGGGTCGGGCCTGGGGCCGGAGGGAGAGGGGCCTCAACAGCCAGTGTCAACTGTGCTGAAAAGAGACCAGAAAGGCCTGGGGTATGGGCAGATGAAGAGAGCCAAAGTTACTCACTTCCAAGCTAGGGATGATGATGCAGTGAAACCTCCATCCAAGGACAAAGAGGAGAGAGGAGGAAAAGGACAGAGAAAGAAAGAAAGCAGGAGAAAGGAGCTAAAAGATAAGAACTGGGAAAGAGATTTTCGTGCCTCTTTTTATCTTTGACACCTGCTGACTACTCTTCCGTTCCTCTCTCCCAAACTCATCTGAAAGTATCCCTAAAACATTTAACAGATCTGCTACAAAGACAAGCTGCACCTTTTTTTTGTATTCAAGACTGTGAAGGTGTTTTACCACTGAGAACGATATCAATATACCTTTACCCTGCCTCAAAGCTAGTGTGTCAATTTATGGAAGCAGCTGTGGCACAACCTCATCTTTATCTCGATTGTCTGATTTAAATACGGAGTGTTTCCTGTTTACTCACTAAGACTAAGTTTCACTGACATACATGGATTTTATTTTAATTTATTATAAACACATACTGATCTAACAAACCTCACAGTGAACATGTTATGGTTCATAATCCAGGAAGAGAGACGTTTTTAAGGTCAAAGAGCTATGTTGATATGTTTTATATGGTAAAAGTATAAAACATTGGGACATTATTTGCAGTTGAACACAAACAGTTGAGCTCCTGCAGTCCTTCATTGTGGCCATGGGTCATGAATGTTATGCAACTACACAAACCAACAGTGAACTCTCCCTTTGTTCCAGCTCCAGGTGCCTTCTCACCTAACACGCCTGCACACTCGTGACTGGTGAGCCACATGTCGGCGCCTGCCATATCAGCATGTCACTCATGCTATCAAGTCCTCACATTTAGACGAGTAAAATTGCATCAGTCTAGATTTTCTCGTCTAGATATCTGGAGATCTGAAATCTTTTTACGTTCTTCTTTTTTTTCTCTGGTTACGTGTTTCAAAATAGTTCAGATCAAGCCAAATCAGATACCTGTAGTCCCCAATGACACAACATGTCGACTCAGGTCCTCAGCCAAGGTCCCTATTTATATTCCAAATTCCAGGCCGGGCTGTTGTCATCAGAGCTCCAAGACTTTCAGACAACTCCCCAGAGGGGCTTTGTCTTGCAGAGTTGGTATCATCTTTTAAATCACTGCTTTAAGCTTTTAACACTGAGTGAGCAGGAAAAAGTCTATTTTGTAATCCAATCAAACTGTCCTGTAATAAATGCTGTTTGTAAAATGTTTTATTTGATTTGTTCCTCCACATATTAGTAAAGCCACAAAACGCAATGACTTTTCTGTTCATAGGTTTCACTCTTCACTGTAGATCTGCTATTCACACTATAGACAGGAATAAGTAAATCTTATCACGAGGCTCTCTAGGTATACATGTTATCAAATACAGGTCCCCAGTCTGATGTGTATCAGTTTCAGCGGTCCTTGGCACCAAAAAAGGTTAAAAGAACCACTGACTTAGATGGCTTGAGAGTACTTATTCATCTGATATTGCATCGTATTGCATCACACATGTGTTTTTCTTGTTGTTAAGCATATAGGCAGGCTTTTATATGACATCTGTCACTTTTTAACTAGTGTTTTTACCTTCTGTTCCTCATGTCATAAACTTGGTGTGTCGAGGGACTTAGTAATTAGCGCTGTTATTTCACAGCTACAAGACTGTGGGGATGGTCCTACAAATGCCCCAATTTCCTCCTAAGTTTCGTAGACATACAAATCAGGAAAATTGTGTGGTGGACTAGTGATTACACGTGAAACAACTTTAAATAATAGGCTTCACAAAGTAGTATCTACTTGTTTTGCCTCTGGAAGTACCACCAGTTTGCAGTATTTTATTTTTTTTAACCACAGTTTATTGATTATGCCTAAATGTAATGTATGCAATCATTTTAACAATTTAGATATAACAGAAGAAATATTCATGAATGTTGTCCTTGTGTCTTCTGGCAATTAGATTAATCTAATTGTCAACAGATTGAGTAGATAACATATTTAGATCATTACCAGAAAGGTTATTTATGAGTGTTACATAAATTGCTATAATTCATGAACATAATACACATGTACTGTAAGTTCCAGTCAGGTTCTCCAAAACTCAACATGATCGATTGTCATCTGATCTGAATCAGAACAGACATAGTGATAAACTAATCATACAGACTGGAGACTGTAGTAGTCGACTTTAAGTAGCAATTTCAGTTACAGTTCAGTTTACAGGATAGTTCAGCCTTGAGGGACGCCTCTCTCTGGGTACTAGTTGCCTTTGATTGAACGCGTCACCAGCTTCAGTTTGATTGGGTTTAGGGGTCCAACAAGGCCTTCGGCATCCATCTTAAGAGGGATCTGGGGAATGGACAAATTCAGTGAATCAGAAATTCTTTCTTGATGCAGATTACATAAAAGCATGTTGGCCATGTTGACCTTTAAAGTTTGAAATTTAAATATAATCACCTCCGTCTCCGCACAGACTGAGAAGCTGTAGTTCTGCAAAACCTCTACCAAGGCCAGTTTAACCATCACCAGAGCAAATCTCATCCCTATACAGTTCCTTGGCCCAAACCCAAATGGCAGGTAAGTGTATGGGTTGATGTTCTGCTTGTTCTCCTTACTAAACCTTTTAAAACGACCATACAGTGACAAAGAAAATAGAATTTCAACATTTTAACACATAAAAATGTCTCTGTTAGAAATTACTCCCAAATGTCTTGTAGATTATAAAACATGCAAAGCTTGTTTGGATGACTAAAAAAAAAATATTTATACTAAAAAGTTGTGTGTGGCAGCTACCTTTCAGGTTTGAACTCTTCTGGCTCCGGCCACAGCTCGGGGTCGCGGTGCAGAGCGTAGACTGGAACCATAACAACCATGTCCTTTGGGATTGTGATTCTGTTGATCCTGACAGTTTCTTTGGCTGTTCGTTCCAGACGAGCAGCTGGAGGGTAAAGCCTATTGACAAAACAAGAATATTTACTATAATACTGTATGTCTTTATCAGAATATGTGTTCAATTCAAACCACCCAAAACTTATAAAATGAATTTTTCGAACACTGTTTAGCTTGGTAGAATTTGTGATTTTTGCTGTTGTTGGCTGAGTAGGTTTTAAACCCTTCTTGTACCGTGCTAATCTCTTTTTTTAGCAACTCCCAGTGGCATGGCTTTAGGAATAACAATCTTTTGCTCTAGATTACGGTAACTTGCAAAATATTGGATGGATTGTCATGAAAGGTAAAGGTAACGGTAAAGGCATTTGTGTCCCTCTCAGGATGAATTGTAATAACTTTGATCATCCCCTGACTTTTCTTTTGGAACAATCATCAAGTAAAAAACAATATGTCGGCCTTTGTTGCCTTTAATTGATAGTGATAGCTGAAGTATGACAGGAGAGGGAGAGAGAGGGGATGACACACAGCAAAGGACCACATTGTGCAGGTAGCTTACAGTTGGCTCGTTTGCAGTTGTTGGCTGGAAATAGCTGCCTATTTTCTATTAATCCCCCAGCTTTCTATGGGGGATTGAGTGAAGCAGTGAGGATTAACTACAGTAAATGCACAGCCAAAAAAGTCAATATGAGAAAAGCTGCATTGATTGGTGCTACTTATGAGCAGATATGGTACTACGAATTACTTTTTTTTTTTACATTATACAGACATTTGATTTAGTGTAGCACAAGGAAATGCTCATTACCTCAGACACTCACACAAAACACAGTCTAGGTACTCCATCTGCACGAGAGCTTCATATTCGATCGGACCCTATAGAGTTGTTACAAATCACAGTTTTATTAAACACATTTTCAGATTTTGAAAGCTGCGTTATCATTGATGGAATAAAATGAATACTTTTGCTCTACCTTATTAGGGAAAGTGGAGTCTATCTCCTCTTGGAGGCGTTTCATGACTTCAGGATTTCTTGCCAAATTGTAGGCCAAGAAAACTAGAGTGAGGGCACTCGTCTCATAACCAGCAAACGCAAGCATTGTTATCTGAGAGACAATCTCATGATCAGTAAGACCTGTTAGGACATGCAGGATGAATGAGGAGAATGAAAGAAGGCGTCAAAACCCTTGGAGTGAATAAATGTGAGTGTATGTTTGTATGTCTGTGATGTCACTGTGTGATTACCTTTGTTCTGCTTTTTGTTCTTGGGTTCATTGGTAGTCTGAGAGTTGATCATATGTTGAAGAATATCTCCTGAATTCTGAAAAAACAGTATGAGCATTGGATTTTTGAAGCATTGTGATTCACAGGATTTTTGTGTTTGCTCTAAACACAATGAAGTATACGAAGCCGAGAACAGTTATGACTTTTAATGTTGTTATCTCGAGATCACAAGTTCATTATTTCATTATCTCTAAATAACAAAGCATGTTATTTTTTTCTCGTGACAACAGGTTAATTAATCTTGTTATCTTGACAAATTAGATAATTTATCAACTTTTAACAACTTTTGTTTACGTGAACATTGCTGCTATCTTATTGCTGTTCTCGGTCTCAATAGAAGTACTTTTATTTGTAGTTAATTCACTGAACAAAAGTCATGAGCATCTTGCTACTTTCAGTCCATAATTGTTGTGTTTTAAAGTTTAAAGTTACCTTTAAAACAGCAGTTGACAAAACACTTTTAGATTTAGTACCTGGAGCTTTCGATCATATCACATGATCTAATAGCAAATAAAGTCAACTTCTCATGACAATGTTACAAAACTCATGTCATTGGCAAAAGTATTATTTTTTCTCTGTCTCACTCTTGACTCTGTTTCTCTCATTTGGATCAATCTTGACTTGGACTTATTTGGACTCTGTAGCGACTCAGTCTCGACTAGTCCTGGTCTTGAACTTGTCTTTGACTCGACCAAGAGTCTAAGAGTAGACATGCTGCCATAGAGGATTTTATCCATACTGCCCAATATTAGTTGTGTGTTTTGTCCAGACCTGCCGTGAGTTCCCATTGCGTCCTGCTCTCATCTTCTCCACAACCGTTTTAAAGAAAGCAGTAGAAGTCTTACGGAAGAAGGAGACACCCAACAGCTCCAAGAGAGGAAGAAAGAAGGGAAAACACCCTGAGAAGGCAAAGGGGGTTAATAATGATAATTTCACAGCTGTTTACAAACATATAAATAAATAAAAAAGATGTTGTGGAAAAGTGGTGATGTACCTTGGAAAATAAAAAGAGGCAAGGAGAATCTGAACAGCTTGGAGGCGTGGGTTATGAGGGGACATGAGGGGTTGCTGATTGTGTCCATATCCACACTGAATGCACAGCTCACCATCACATCCATACTGTAGGGTCCGAAGAAGCTGGAATACACAATATATGAATCATTGATCAGTGGTTGAAACCAGTTCCACAGGTATATCTCATCATGGTCCTCAGTTAGGGCCACGGCAAAAGATTGTTAGCTGGATTTAAAAATGCTTTCACGGTGATGTTATTGAGTGCATATGTTCATGTTTACCGAGAGAGATGGTAATTAAATTAACTAGCTAAATGTTAATACTCACTCTTTTATATTAACAACTTCACCATTGCGCACTTTGGACTGCAGGCAGGTTGTCAGTTTGTGGGAATGATGTTTCATGATGGTAAACATCTTAGACAAAGGAAATAGTGCAAGATGTGTGAAGATGACCATATATTTTCAAACTATCCAAATATGAATTGAAGAAATAAGTTAAATTGACGGTTTACCTCTTTTATACGGCCGGAGGTGAAGGAAGGAGAGAGGATGTTACGAATCCGTCTCCATTGATCATCCTCAGCAATAGACACGGCGTCATAGAGGTCCCCATTTAGACGTAAGTTCTGAAAGGACATAGTGGTCAGCACACTGGTGTTTGTGCATGTGTGGGTTTACTGTTGTACGTATATGTGGGGACAGCTGTTAATAGTGTACCATGGACACTGATTAGTGTACATTAATCAGTGAACAAACTGCCTGATGCATGCAGAGAAAGATCACGTGGTGTGTCAACAACATTGCTTTTTATTGTTTCTGAATGCCACAGAAGTTGGATAATATTGATTGATTGTTGACCATAAGCAAAATATAGAATAACACCAGTAAGTGAAGTATTTTTAAGTAACAAATAATAAATACCAAGGTCAGTAGGCTAGTTGTATGCATGTTGGAAGACAATCTATTTTGATTTGCCTTAGGCCAAACTTTATATAAGTACATGAATATTTATTTTTCTGAAAACTTTTACTTTACATTTTTACACAAATATCTGTACTTTCTACTCTTTATATTTACAAAATAGGCTTGATACTTTAGGTTTAATGCATTTGAGGGGAATTATACGTTACATTAATGGACTTTCTTTAGATTCTATCTTTGCACGTCATGTTTACAATGTTCATGAAAAGATGTAATTTGAACACTATTGTGGTAATCGCAATTTGTAAATTGGAAATTGAGCTCTGAGCTCAGAGTTCACAAATTGTGATGTATTTCTATTGATATTTAAAATGTAGGAGGTCATGAAAATTGCTATTTTTTAATTTTTTATTAACTCATCTTCTAGGTTTCTTCTTCCCAGCATGATCATTCACCAGTTTTAAAAAGGAAAATAGGTGACATTTATTTTTACTGCCTCTTACTTAAAAGCAATGACCGGCCAATTCTTGACTTCCCATCTTAAAAACATATTCTAACAAGTGCCATTTGATAACATTGAAGATTAGTCTGCTTTAATCGATGAACAAAGGACCTCGTATGACTTTACAGTGTGTTTTGTATTACACTCTCCTGTCCTTTGTTCTTTTCAGTGTTAATCGTGCATGTTCTCACCCTCCGGTTGGTAAAGTAAGTGAAGCACTCCTTGACCAGGATGGTTTTCAACATTTCAGGGTCCATCACAGCCAGCATGGGCAGCTTTAACTCATACATGCTGAATATTGACACAAACACACTTTTACATTTTATGCTACGTAGTTTAAAACTCTTACATATGTTATATATAGAGTCATTATTAACACTAGTGCAGACACATACATGAGAGGTTCAAGTGCCAAAGCCTATCAAACACACAGTTTCACAAAACAAAATTGCTTGGTGTTCTTATGGTACATTTACACTTCTGCAAAAAGTTTTGTAGACTCACCCCCATATCCTCCCATACTTTTGAGCACACTCGTTGTCAGCTAAGTAGTAAACCTTGTAAGAGAGAACACATTTTCATCATTAATTATGAAATTAGGATCCAACACAGTCTGTAATTTTACATTCAAGAGACAAAAATATTAAAATAAGTAATTTAAATTCAGAGCTTTACAAACAGGGTTTTGCCTGCCAAGTGTGCCCCAGTACATCACTGGCTTGGGACCAGGGATCCCCAACTTCTCAAATGTCCTGTAAGTCCAGTTGCCATACCTGTGCAGAACATCAAATCACATCTTTAAATAGTGTCAATGAACACTGTTTACTGTTAACGCAAAAGAAAAAGACCAAACCTAGAATCTCTGACTCTTACATAACAAATATGCAGATAAATGTGATCAGTAGAATCCATGTTTCTAGAGAGAAGAAAGGAAGGTAGCCCATGGCTCTCTCTTGCTCACGCAACTTGTGGTAATCTCAGTTTTGCACTGAACTCTGACAGCATTTTCAGGACGGGAGTGCTGTGCTGTGTTATGTAACCACTTTGGCCCTTCCTTCTTCCTGTGCAGCAACAGAAGCCTGAAGGACAAAAACAAAAGTCCAAAAGTTTCCGCAGCCCATTCATCCAAGAGTATGTCTGGACATGTCTGTGAGTCAGTGATAACAATTTTGTAGTTTCATTAGTTTTTAATTTTTATTTCATTTTTAATTTTTGATTTCATTTCAGTTAGTTTGTTTGTTTGTTTGTTTGTTTTTCAGGACGGGAGTGCTGTGCTGTGTTACCAAATAGTGATGGGAATTACAGCTCTTTTTAGAGAACCGGTTCCTTTGGCTCGGCTCACTAAAAAGAGCCGGCTCTTTCGGCTCCCAAGTGGCTCCTCAGATTTTTTGTTGCTTAAATTAATTTATTACCAAATTATGTGTAAAATGAATTACAAATGTAAATACATACATTATATCAACTGTTTATTATTTATATCGATTTATTAATATACTCAACATGGAACAGAGTGCTACAAAAATAAATTATAAAATACAAAAACAAAGACACATCTCAATTAGACAAAGAGCTGCTCGATATGAAATTTTTCACTTTGCACAGTCTACACTCTGCCTTTGAACTATCTATCACATTAAAATGTGTCCAAACTTTACTACGTTTCCTGTCACTCATTTTCCTCACCTTTCCAGTGTGTAGTCTCTGTCTATGTAGCGCCAAGTTCTCTCGCTCTCTCACGTCTCCCTCCCTCCTGTTCACGTGCTCATGGTGCTATCCATTTGTCTCGTAAACCCCCCGCCCGAGTTGCTCTGCCGCGAGAACGTGACGTAATTGCCTGGCTTGTACCACTTATAGCATTCCAGTTGTCTTTGGGCATTACGAGTCGGAAAGAAGTGCAGCAGCTGTCTTGTTATTGTTTGTGGCTCATCTAAACAAGCTCAATGTGAAATAATAACATGTTTTTCTACAGAAACACTAACATTTCAAGTAATTCCGTTATTGCAAGTCTTACATTTCAATAATATTTTGCCATTTTCGCCTATTTCAATTTCAACAAGTGCTGTGGCGTTTGTCTCGAGCTACCAGGGACCACCAGGGGCCACCAGGGGCCTCCAGGGGCCACCAGGGGCCACCAGGGGCCTCCAGGGGCCTCCAGGGGCAGTGGCAGGCTAGTGTTATTGTTAGCAACATTAGCCTATTTAGCAAACCAGCTTGAAAACAAAACTTTACATTGTATTGCACGCACAGCAACTTCCACTTCAAAGAGCTGGCTCTTAGAGCCGGATCGTTCGCGACCGACCCATCACTATTACACAACAACTTTGGTTCTTCCTTCTTCCTGTGCGGCAACAGAATTCTGAAGGACTGAAACAAAAGAGCACGAGTTTCCACAACCCACTCATCCCAGAGTATGTCTGGACATGTCTTTGAGTCAGTGATAACAATTTCGTAGTTTCATTAGTTTTTAATTAGGAACCGAGCCAGCGACCGCTGGAGGTCCATATTGTTTTTGCGCGATTTCTTCTTCTTACCTATTATTTTTAGCCCCCTGAACATATACGAAAACTCAATTTTACTAGGTGGCGCTCTTTTGGCATGATAAATCACTGTGACGTACAAAAAAGACTCTTGGACCCATACCCGAAACCCCACAGGAAGTCGGCTATTTTGATTTTGATTTTCACTTTCGGCGAACTTTTCGCGTTGTATTTGAACGAACTCCTCCTAGGGAATTTATCGGATCTGCTTAAAAATTTGTGAGTACAGTCAAAAATGGTGCTGATTAAAAGTTGCCTTAAACATGTCTACATGACAGCATTCAGACATAGTGATAGCGCCACCTACTGGCAACAGGAAGTAAGTGCTGCGTGGCGATTTTGAGCTGATTTACGTGAGATTTTCATGTTGTGGTCCGTACGTGTTACGACGGCACATGACGCGGCCGCAGCACGCCCCGAGTTGCGTGGAGTGCGAGGTCCCGCCCAACTCTGCTTGCAGCTTTAATTTTTATCTAACTTTTAATTTTTGATTTCATTTCAGTTTTAGTGTTAGTTAACTATAATAATCTTACTTGAGCAGAGAGAGGAAAAAATATGTAAAAACAAACAATTTAACAACCACACACCTGAGTATATATCCCTACAGACATTTTGAAAATATTTGTTTATTCTTTTTATTTTATTTATGACAGTATGTTAAAGCTGTTTTTTAAAGCGTCACAGATGGCAGAGCTAATGAAGCATGATAAATGTATATGCGGCTTTGTCAATGAGTCACCTTATAGTGCTGGACTGCCATTGGTTCAACTCTCACACACTTCCCCTTCTCACGCAACAGGTCTGTGCAGCAGGAGATAAAAGCCTCTGGCTGTGATTTGGGACTTTAGTGAGATTTGTGCTGCCGTTGTTAGAAGAGAAAAAACGCGCAGAGATGGGCTACTTCTTCTATTTTTCTGCCGAGACATGGACTCTCCTGGTTACTCTCATCACACTGTTCTTTGTGTAAGTGTCTATATATATATGTGTCTCAGGTATTTGTACTGTGTTGTAACTGTGTGTATGATAAAAAAAGATTATCTCTTCTACCTCTGATTGCTTGTTTTGCACAGGTATGTCTACTGGCCATATGGAACATTTAAGAAAATGGGAATCCCTGGTCCCAAACCAATCCCCTTTTTTGGCACTATGTTGGCATATAGAAAGGTTGGTAAATATAACTTTTAAGAGGCAATACGCCATATATTTATACCAGCAGGTATAGGCTTACCAAAGTAAATATTGGTGCAATGGAAATGGGAAAATAAAAGCTTTGTAACAAATATCTATAAAAGTGTGTTAGTAACATTACTGTGTCTGCTCTATGTGTAGTGTTCTTTGTAGAATTTAAAATATATCTTTTTATTGAGACATAATATTGAGCGAAGCTATTCTTTTCTGTTGGTATGTAAACTATGTTTGCTGACAAAGTTGAAGGCCCCAGTAGTCTTACATGGGGTTTTGGGAGATGTAGAGTTTAGCTGTCTGAACAAACAGCGCATAATGTTTTCACACAGGTTTTACAGCTTTTAACTGTGACAAATGACTTTTGAAATGTCCTGTGTATCCACTGACATTGCTAAGGATAGTTTTCAAAACCAAAAAAGGTCCCAGACAATGTATTTCCCAGGATTTAACTTCCTAGGAAATGGACGAACTAATAGCCTTAGTATGAAAGCAGAAGTATCTCAATTGTGTTATTACATTTTGAATGTGAAAGTTGAAAAGTGATCTCAAAACAATAATTATGACCTGTGTTGTGTTGTGTTTTTTTTGTTATATAATAGAAGAAAATATGTTAACCAACCATGTACCGACTCCAGTTGTAGTCCACATATCTTTCAGAATTTAACATTGTTATTGTTCATGATTTAAACATTTTATAATTGTTGGTGCCAGAAATATCCCCACCCTATTAAAGTGGACTGAATTAAGGAGTTCACTTTATAATCTGTACATTATTATTCTTGTCCGTAGGGATTCATGAACTTTGACTCAGAGTGCTTTCAGAAATATGGGAAAACATGGGGGTAAGTCTGCATATTGTACAGTATGTGATGATGATGATGATGATGATGATGATGATCCTTTATTATTAGATCCAGTCTGAGATTTTTATTGCATCTCAGCAGCTACAGTGTTGTATAATTGTTTTACAAAGGTAGATTTATATATGTATGCATAAACATTTCATTTGGTGTTTTATTATTTTTCTATTCATATTCCATTCTTTTCTTCTCATATTTAGCATTTATGATGGCCGTCAGCCTGTGCTGTGTATCACAGATGTTTCCATGATAAAAACTGTTCTGATAAAGGAGTGTTACTCCCTCTTCACCAATCGCAGAGTATGCACTCTTACCATATAGCACATTCACTCACGTATTATGGATGCTGCATTTTAGTTGACCTCTCCTCATCATTGGCTGATGTTTCCTAAATCTGTTTCAGAACTTCCGTCTGAACGGACCACTGTACGATGCCGTGTCCATTGCTGAGGATGACCAATGGAGGAGGATCCGCAGTGTTCTCTCTCCCTCCTTCACCTCAGGAAGACTGAAAGAGGTACAGCCCTCTCCTGCTCTGTACCTCCTGAATGCGTGTTAAACAGAATATTTTTCAGTGAAGGTCTGTGTTGTAACTTGACTAAATTCTCTCTAGAGCAGTGATTCCCAACCTTTATGGGGTCATGACCCCTTGAAATGCTTTTGAGCCCCCATCACAGGTTATGGTCTGTGTGGACATGCAAGTAAATATTAGAAAAAAGTCAGAAAAAGAAACATGATTATGTCTAACAGACATTTTATTTGTCTTCCTTTATCTGTTTATCATCTTGTGACCCTTCAGACTTATCCTGGAACTTTGGGTCTCGCCCCTGGGTGGGGAACTACTGATCTTGACACATCGTATTGTGTACTGTATTTTCCAGTATTGCAGTAAGCTTGTGCGTAACTGTTAATCTGTTTCTGTTTCTGTTTTAGATGTTTGGCATAATGAAGCAACACTCTGCTAACTTGATCAGCAGCATGAAAAAGAAGGCAGACAAGGATGAGCCCTTAGAGCTGAAGGAGTAAGAACACTTTATACTCTGATATATTCCATTCATTTAAAGTTATCTCAGAAAATGCATAAAGACAGCTCTCTGTTAGGCAGCACAGGACATTTCTGATGTGCTTGTATGCTCTTTAGGTTCTTTGGACCCTACAGTATGGATGTTGTAACCAGCACAGCCTTCAGTGTAGACCTAGACTCTCTTAACAACCCCTCAGACCCCTTTGTCACCAACATCAAGAAGATGCTGAAGTTTGACCTTTTCAGCCCTCTGTTCCTCATTGTTGGTACAGAATTCATTTTATTTCTGTAAAATGCAGCTATTTGTAATTGTGTCTTTCAACTCGCTGCCAAACAAAAAAATATCTGTGCTGGATAACGTATTGTGAATGTTAAGTCGATGCAGTCACTGTATTTCCTGTGCCCTGATAAATGTGTTGCTTTCTGCTTAATTCCAGCTTTCTTCCCCTTTATGGGTCCTGTTTTTGAGAAGATGGAGTTTTCGTTTTTCCCTACGTATGTCACAGACTTCTTTTACGCTGCACTGCAGAAGATCAAATCTAACCGAGAGACCAGCAAGCAAAAGGTTTGACTGTGTGTGCATGCGTGTATGTACGTGTATCGGCGGATTCAGAAATATAATTAAAGCTATTCTCATACAGTATGTCTACTTTTAGAGTCGTGTGGATTTCCTTCAGCTGATGATTGATTCCCAGAAAAACAATGACCTCAGTGGAGTAGAACAGGATAAAGGTGACACACAAATACACAACATAAATATCTACCACCCACCAAAGCACAACTATATATAATCTATATATGCTATTCTAAATCATATCTCTCTCTATCTCGCTATTCCCCCAGGTTTAAACGATCATGAGATCCTTTCTCAAGCAATGATTTTCATCTTTGCTGGCTACGAAACAAGCAGCAGCTCTCTCACTTTCTTGGCTTACAATCTGGCGACAAACCCTGCTGTGATGAAACGGCTGCAGCAGGAGATCGACTCCACCTTTCCTAACAAGGTACCTTGAGAGTGGACAACGTTTGAGATAGCAGGAAGGTCTCAAAAGAACTAATTTAAAGCTGCTTTCATTGATTTTTGGCCAGTTGGGGGCAGAGAAACTCCACATCAAATTGACAAATCCCATATATCTGATATATTATCACCTTATAAAGTGGCTAACATACTTATTTACACATCCGTACACAACCAAAACTTTGGTTTTGTATGGATTAAACAAACAAGTTATAAAGTGCTAATTAGTAAGCATTAAAGGAACTTTCAGGAAGATTTTGTTACCTTGGGCAGAGTCAAGCCAACTGTTTCCCCTGTGGTTCCAGTCTTAATGCAAAGCTAAGCTAAGCACCTGCTGATTGTAACCTTATATTTACCAGACAAACTAGGGAGTGGTATCAATCTTCTGATCTAACCAAGTGTGAACCCATCGTGACGTCACCCATCTGTTTGTGGAGTACCGTTTTGAAGCCTCGAGTTCAGTGTTTTGGCTGCTGGCGTGACAGTTAGACGGAGCCAGCGCAGGCGTACTGCGAGTTGAGCTGCTCATGTTGGCTGCGCAGTTTTGACTTGTCTGTATAAACAATAGCAGCTCACCTGGTTACACACCTGTCGTATTACAGCTAAAACAGTGCACTAAAATATGTTTCTGAAACGATTTTAGGTGAGAAATAGACAACGCAGTAACAGAATCTTGCTTCGTATTTGATCATCACTGCCTAGTTTAACATTTTGATCTGAGTTTCGTGTGCTGCGCTAGACAGACTCACTGTCAATCATAAGGTAGCCCCGTCCAAAAGTATACTCTGCTTTATCGTCTGTTTTACTCTAAATTAGACCATAATTTACGAAATAAACATCATAATGTCCATAAGAAGATGTGAAAGTAGTAATTAAGGCCATGAACTAGTTAGGAAACTGTTTCCTGAGCTCATAAATGAAGTGAGAAGTCCACTCATTCACCATTAGAGTGAACGGTATCAGTGTGCAGCCAATGGAGCTCATCCTACTGGTCTTTACATAGAACACAGGTTTTAAGACACTTCCACATTGTCCCTTATATATACTCTCAATTGATCTAACCCTCAAAAGAAAGAAAGCAAATAAGTATATTTCTTAAAATCAATTCTAAAAAATATTGATTAGTGGAGCTTGGACAAATGGTCTGCATATTAAAATCACACAAAACTACTTTTTGCTAAAACATTTACAGATTAAGGTATGGTGCAATTTGTCACACTAGTATAGTTGTTTTAAAGGGTATATCAGTAACAGTGTTTTCTAACCTCAGTTCCTCCATCAATCGTCACTGTATCCCTTCAGCACTTGTTGTAGCTCCTAGCCTTGTGTAGTAAGACAGAGTGGTGGTCTTCTCTTGAGTGGCATGAGTAAGAATTCAAAGCAAGTCATGTATATGTGTGTCTATGTGTTTGTGTAGGCTCCGATTGAGTACCAAGCTCTGATGCAGATGGAGTATCTAGACAGCGTCATCAACGAGTCTCTCCGACTGTACCCCATTGCTCCTCGTCTGGAGCGCGTGGCCAAGGCGACTGTTGAGCTCAATGGCATTGTGATTCCAAAAGATATGGTTGTCATGATACCCACATGGCCCCTGCACCGGGACCCCGATCTGTGGCCCGAGCCGGAGGAGTTCAAACCCGAGAGGTATAGAAAGGATTTTATATGTTTAGGTTGTGAGGGTTATTAACTCTAATTTCTTTTATAAATAAATGATTATGTGTTTGTGTGCATGCTCAGGTTCAGCAAGGAAAACAAGGAGACTATTGATCCGTACACATACATGCCTTTCGGGGCAGGACCGAGGAACTGCATAGGGATGAGATTTGCTCTGGTGATGATGAAACTAGCAATAGTGGAGGTCCTCCAGAGGTACAGCTTCTCTGTGTGTAAGGAGACTGAGGTGAGACCCCAGATGTTCATATTTACACTGGTTATTATTGATTTTTTTTAATTGCATAAGAGTAATTCTGTCCAAATGTTATTCATTTCCAGTTTGATATTTAGGGGTTATATAATGCTATAAAAGATTGCCAATCAGCAGTGTTATCAAGATATATCTGGTCAAAGATCAAAAGCCACTAGCTGAGACTTTGAACAAGAATATAATTGATACTGCTAAAATGTCATATCGCGCATTCAATAAGCTATCCGTTCTTTGTGTAAAGTTTCTGCCCTTTGTGATACTGCCAGCTGTAGATTTGAAATAACAAAGCTGAGTTTTATGCATTGTTGATTTTGTTCACGCTTCTTTTCTCTTCACTTGTAATTTCCTGCCAGGTGCCCTTTGAGATGGACATCCAGGGCCTGCTGATGCCAAAACGACCAATCAAACTGAAGCTGGAGCCAAGGTCTGAACCCTCAAGCTAAAGAACAACAAGATAAAGGATACTTATTTTAACTATGTTGAAGTAACACCATGTCCATTTGTTGTATGTACATTAGCTGATACTGTTTTTTTTTTTGCTCCTATCAAAGCTTTTATCAACACTCATCCTAACCTGAGTGACAAACGGATATATAGTTAAACACATATAGTTAAATCAACACTTCTCCAATATCAAAAGCTTTACCAAAGGAAGTATTGTTATTTGTTGCAGGCTGATTGCACAGGCTTTCATTATCTTTTGCAGGTGCTCGTGTTTTTCTTTCCACCCCGTGTAAAATATTAACTGAAAAAAAAATAGTAAGTAGTAGATAGAGGTAAATATTCAGATCCTTTATTAAGTTTTTAATCATTAATACCACACTATAAAACACTCTGTTATGTATACTGTAACTTATACTACTGTATACTGACTGTTATAATATTATATATTAGTGCTTGTGATGTCTGCAGGGGGAAAATAAGTCCATTGTCCATTCAAATGTCTGTGTTTTGTGAGGTTTCAAACGCAAAATCATGGTTTCTGTATGTCTGTCCTGCTCTATTAAAAAAATACCATCAGTCCACCCAGGTGCATGCTGGTCCTATCCTTGCCTTCCTACTTATAACTTCAGGTGCACAGTGTTACCCAAATGAAACAAAAACTAAATAAACCAAACTAAATATAGTAAACAAAATAATAATAATAATTAAACTAAACAAATAACTAGCAAAACAAAACTGAATATAAATAAAGCAAACATACTAAACAATACAACTTACTATTAATAAAACAACTAAATACTAACAACAAATAAATAGCTCCTACAATTAGATTATTACTCATGTATGTGTATGTTGGTCGAGGTGGACCTCATTTTAAACTATTTTGTATAGGACTACAACAAATTAAGAATTTTATTATGGATTAATCTGCTACGTATTTTCCATTAATTGATCCATACATATATATATAAATATTTCCCTTATTAATGTGCATCAATAAACTGCTGCCACAATTACCCAGAACCCAAAGTGACACATTCACAAGGCTTGTTTTGGCCAACCAACAGTCCAAAGCTCAAAATTATTAAAAGAAAATTAAAATGATTAAAAATAAAAGCAATAAAAAAAACTGAAACAATTATCAAAAAAAGCCAATTAATTTTCTGTCAATTGACTATTTCATTAATTAATTGATTGTTTTAACAGCACTTGTACTGTTGGACAGTTTCATTTATAACAAAATATATTTTATAAGGTCTTTGACAGTTTTGTATGCAAAAATGTTGATTTGTAAAGTAATTAGTAACTCCTTTGTCAAATAATTAAAGTAAAAAGGTACAATATTGCCCCATTGTAGTGGAGTAGAAGTATAAAATGGCACGAGAATAAACAATGTGTGCTTAAGTACAGTAGCTGAGTAAATGTACTTAGTTACATTCCAGGACTGAATTATATTTCTGATTTTTTGAGCAGATGTTTCAATAATAAAGTGCATTAAGAGGCTAAAACTGTCATTGTGTTTGTTTTCCTTTCTATAGCTCTCTGAATGTTTTATATCCCAACAGCGCCCTCCTGTGGACGGTGTGTGTTTCATGTTTTCTTCGGTTATTGTTTAGCTGCTCCCGCTCCCTTCACAGATCCACTATCCGACTTTTTTAACCATCTTGTTCTTTCCATGTTTATAAACAGAGGGTAGAGATAAAAAAAAAAAGGAGAGAAAAAAAAAAAACAAGGTGGCCAAACCAGCTACACTGCAGACACCACATGTTCTCTGGGAGGATTGAGAGGAAATGTGCAGCAGGTTACAGCTGAAATCTGTCATCTTACGACCAAAGCTGTCCATTTACTGCAGCATTTCCACTCATCACGAACAGATGCACAAACTGTAGCTCAAAGAATAACACACTGAACATTCCCCCATGGATGTGATTGTAGTGGCTGTTATTTGGGATTTTCTTTTTTAATTTATTTTCTTTTTTAATTCACATGTGCAAAGGAAAAAAATAAAATAAAAGACATGAAAGTGAAGGACTGTGATAAATGATCCGCTCTGAATAATACGACAGCACAAATCTCGAGATACTACTGGACTCAGCCTCGTTTCCTGGTGTGACGACATGTGCTGCAGCCTATAGACCGAGGTGCCCAGATGTGGCGTTCAGGGACGGAGAACCTGCAGCCAAAAAAAAAAAAAAAAAAAAAAGTTGTAGACTTTGGTGTTGTCGTTTTGTTATGTTTCTGTTTATAGTGAAAGTATTGCAGATTTTTTGAGTTGCCATTGCTCAACAAGGACTTTCTCAACTGTTTCTGTGCACCATTAAACACGCTTTCTCTTATAGACTTCTATTTCTGTTATTAAAGTTTAGGCACATTATTACTGCACTGTAACCGTACTATTCATCTTTTCTCTTTATTTGTGTCTAATTTAATTTAATTTTATATGGATTCCTCTTTTCTTTCTGTTTATTTGTGTTTGTTTTAAAATAAACTTCCATCGCATCGTTTCATAAAGTTGTGTCCAGCTCAAAAAATACTGAGTACAATTGGAATAAAACAAGCCTATAAATATAATATAATAAAATTAATATTTCTGACCCTGAACGGAAAGGGGGTAGATTTTGACTGTCCAGAAATCAGTCATGATGAATTATAATGGACGATCCTCTTATTTTAAATGCAAACAATATAGCAAGGAGAAAATATCCAAACAGTCAAAGCTCTGTTTCATTAATTGACTGATTGTTTTAAACGGCACGTGAACTGTTGGATAGTTTCATTTATAACAAAAATATATTTTATTTAGTTCTTTGACAGTTTTGTATGCAAACATGTTGATTTGTAAAGTAATTAGTAACTCCTTTGTCAAATAATTAAAGTAAAAAGGTACAATATTGCCCTACACACAGAGCTACTGCCGCCCTATGTATGCATCTGATTCTTTTCTCATGTGTTTATGTTACTTTAGTCCTAAAGTAATCCAAAAGTAACGTAAAGTAATCTTTTTAATAATAAAAAAAAAAAATCAGTAATGGTATCAAACTCAATTTTTAAAGTAACCCTCCCAAAACCCTGCAGCTTTACAAGGAGGCCCTGAACGCAGCACGAGTCCAGGTTCCTGCCTCAGACTCCGGTCCCGTTCTTCCGCCGCGCCCGGACTCCATGTTGTTCCGACAGCCACGGAGCGAACAAGTGCCCTGGCCGAAAACTCTCACGTTGCAACTCTGTGTGTGTGTGCGCGAAGTAAAGCGTGTGTGTGTGTGTATGTGCGTGTGTGTGTGTGTGAGTGTTGTTGACCCTCCGAAAAGAAGATGGCAGACTACCGGGACGACACCGGAGCTCGAGCCCTGCTCGCTCTACAGTCGGCACCGTGCAGTCCCGTCCGCGTCGCGGTGACCTCGCACGCCTATCACCCGCAGTCGCTCGCCCTCTTGGGTCCTCCGATGATGGAAGCCCGCGGCGACGCCGGGCTTCTCCCCGCGCGTCTCGCCTGTCCTCCCCCACAGGCCCTCGCCCGACTCGAGGGCCGGGACTTCGAGTATGTCATGCGCCAGAGGACGGTCACCATAGGCCGGAACTCGTCTCACGGCTCTGTGGATATCAACATGGGTCACTCGAGCTTCATTTCACGGCGACACCTGCAGCTCACGTACGACGAGGCGGGCGGTTTCTCCCTCCGGTGCCTGGGCAAGAACGGGGTGTTCGTCGACGGGGTGTTCCAGCGGAGAGGGGCTCCGCCGCTGCCGCTGCCCCGAGAGTGAGTGTTAGCATAGCCGCCAACGGTTACCCACAAAAGCTAATTATGGTAACACGGCGGTTGCCTGTTTAAAAAAGAGAGGAAAAAAAAAGAAAAAGAAAAAGCGACCTGAATTTATTTATTTTTAAAAATGCTTTTTTATTCTTTGTGTACAAGTATCCGTGCAGCCGGTGTTATGATCGATATTTATATATTTAATGGGCTGTTTTCTCTCTCTCCGTCCCCCAACGGTTGAATCAAACTCGTCTAAAAGTGTATAATTAAACACTTTAAAACGTTTCTAGTTGTTTTATTTATGTGTTGGGCGGGGATTAAACTAACTTTTGTGTACATTCACACGACCTCCGTGTTGAAAAGGCCAAAAGGAAGTTAACTATAATCCGAGTGGGGATACAAAGTTTGTCCGGACACCCCCCCCAATCAGTGCGGTGTGGATGTCTGCAGCTATAACACAAGAACCCCAACACGTCGCCACCTCAGCTGCGATATTAAACTTTATTATTTAATTATAATTTGTCTTAAAGGCCGCAGAGTGCCTTCACCCCACTTTATAAAGCGTTGAGCGAGGTTTAGCTGCTAGCAAAAGTTAGCTTTAATTTGGCCTACCGACAGGCCAGCTTGCTTAAATGTTTAAAAATTAAATAAAAATAAATAGAAGAGAAATGTTATTTCTCACAAAGGCGTGTTTTTATATTGTGGTAGAGCTGGCTTTGTAAAAATATAACAACTGCAAATATATATACATATTTATTTTTTGTCACGTGGAAAGTATTTTGAGTTTAAAAACAGTTTTCAGGGAGATAATGTTATTAGCTGTTAGTCAACGTGTCGCCATCATGTAAACACTAATGTAAACACTAATGTAAACACTAATGTAAACAAACGCACCCCCCCCCCTTGACTGCTCAGCTCACGAGTTTTATAGGAAGAGGTGTGTTTGGTTTGTGCTGAAACATAAAGGGGGTTTTGTTATGTATCAAGGGGAACCACCTGGTGTTTAAATGATTCACCTTTTTATTTATTTCACCACTGTGAAGGTTAAATATTTTGGCTTAAATCTGGGTTCTTTTAAGACAGTTCTTTAAAAAAAACAAAACAGAAAAAGGTTTTGACTTTGTGTGTCAATCAAAGGTTGTGTGTATGTATGTAGGGGGGTGTTTTATCTTCTCTGATTGGTTGTCAAGACTGTTTTGGGGGTGTGTCGGGCATTGAACAGGAAGTGCAGGCTGGAATGACATCCTCATTGCAGGAGCACATGGAGTAAACACAAGACTTACAAAGCTAGGCCATGTCCAAAACAGCCATGTTTGCATGTGTTGTTCTGGCTCTGCGGCTTGTTTTGGTATTCAAAAATTAACTGGAAAAACCTAAATGTACATGTTGCTCTTCAAATACGGGAGAGGGAAATTAATATATGGATTATTCTTTTAATCCTGGTACATTTTACAGTGTTTTTACTTTACTATTTTACTGCTATGAATCACGCTGGATTAATTAGGTGATTTTGCTGCTTATCAGAGAGACACGATATCAGCAAATCTCTACAGATGGATCTAATTTGAGAACAAATGCAGCACAGTGCACTACACAGAACAGTTGTTTGTATTCAACCCCTTCGAGTCAAACTTTAGAAGAGGCCACCTTTTGGCTAAAATTACAGTGTTGGATCTGTGAGCTTTAAGTCTGTATCAACTTGATTCATCTGGAGACCGCCAATTATTCCCAGATTTCTTCACAGAACTGCTCCAGCTCTGTCAGCTTTCACTGTAGCCCTGAGTGAGCAGCAATTTTCAAGTCCTGCATCATATTTCAGATTGGACTGGGGTCTGGACTCTGACTTGCTCCCGTCGGGACATTAACATTGTTTTTTTTTATTATTATTGGGGTCATTGTCTTGCTGTAAAATACATAATCTCCGACTCCCAAGTCATAGTTCTCTTTCAGGCTGCAGCAGATTTTCTTAATGTGTTTTTATTACATTTTATTAACCCTCTACTTTATCAAGCCGTCAGTGGTCTGCAGCAGTGAAACATGCAGACAGTAAAATGTTGGTCATGATGTGTTTTAGGTGCATCTGTATTATTCACTTGTCTCAGAGTCTCTCACGTGCCCTCCAGCAAACAGTATTCCTAACGTCATGTGAGTTCTTTGAACAGCGGCTTTCTCTTTGCATCTCCGGTCAACAGCTGCAACCGATGAAGGAAATAAGCGAAAAGCTTTATGCACGCTCCATCTCAGTTATGGAACCATGTCGTTCCTTCAGAGTTGCCACAGGCCTCTTTCCTCCCTCGCTGGTGCTCTTACTGCATGGACACTGAGTAGTTGAGGATGGCCTTCTCTAGCCAGAGACAGCTGTGAGCAGACTGTTCATGGATCCAGTATTGGATTGGCAGCTGCAACTTTTTCAGGAGACAAATTATAGAGAAAAGATGGAGCATTTCTTCCATATTTTTTTTATCATAGACTGCTCTCTGAAAACACATTTGTGGTCCTGCGTGGATGTATTTTTTCGTGTTTTTTTTCGTTTGTCTCCACAGGGAGGATGTGAATTAGTAGGGATTCAGTTTCTTGCTCAAAGAAAAACTCATCATATTTGGGCATATAGGTTGGTTGCCATCACAAAGACCTAACTACAGTGAATATACAGCCTTGCTGCCTGTACCTGCTAGGAAAAAATAAAGCTATTTACATTAGTCATTAAGTTCCCATTGTGAAACATTCACTCAATCCCTGACAAACACAGTTATCTTCACAGGTTTTGTTTAGGCTTGAACTAACTTGGGCCTGAAACGATCCTTGCTTTTGTTGAGACAGTTGTCCAGATCTGCTAAAAGAAGCAGTAATGAAGCCTAACAGGTGTCGTGTTAAGTCTACACCAGCCTATTTTTTTTGTCTACAAAAGGTGTTGACTAAAGATATTGTTTATATTATAAACACACCCCTATAGTTCAGGGGAAAGTGTCATTGCTTAAAGATATGATTTAATATTTCCAACTGGAACGTTGGTGTTAGCATTTAGTCACTTATGGCATTTGTTATCCACAATGTGTAACTTAAAACATAACTTTTTGAGTTCATTCTTGACCTTAAAAACAAGTTGACAAAACATTCTCCCCACAAGCTCCATTTTATAGATCTTCTTTTTTCAGCAGATGAAGCTTGCCCTGACTAGAAGTTTGTAAAAAAAAAAAAAAAAAAAAAAAAGAGGAAATTAAAACATCTACATGTATCCCTGGTGGCTCACCTGGTGGAGCTGGAAACGTATGTGCCAGGGCTGAGTCCTTGCTACGGCGGCCATGGGTTCGACTCCGACATGTGGTCCTTTTGCTATGTGCCCCCCCCCTTCCCCCTTTTTCTGTCACTCTTCAGCTGTCGCTATCAATTAAAGTTAATAAAGCCCCCCCCAAAAAAAAAACGTGGCAAACTCCAACTGCAAAGGAAGATCATGTAATATGACTTAAAAACCCCAGAACAGTCACTATAGCATAATCTGTTCTAATGCTTAGCTTTTGTATCGGACAGGAGGCACTAATCAAAACTGTTTCCTTTTTCTTTTGTGCTGTGACTTCCACCATCTCTCCCTCCTGCTGTCTTGCTCTCTAGGTGTGTGTTTCGTTTTCCCAGTACGGTAATCAAGATCCAGTTTATGTCACTCCTGGAGCCCGAGGAGCACAGAGAGAGGGAACAGCCCTCTATTCCTGCTCACCCGCTTATGCCCCACATTTCCCCCCTCAAAATCAGCATTCCCACAATGCAGCAGCATGAAGAGCACATCAGGGCATTTGGCTCTCCGCTGCCTTCGCCCACAGGCACCATCAGGTAAGGGGAGACCCACAGTCACACACAATGACATGAACCCCAACAAGTATACAGTTAAAAACAGAATGTAAAATATCAAGTGCAAGCAGATTGTGCCAGCACGACAGAAGGAGTTCTTGTAAACACATTTTCATTTCATTGTTGTGCCTTTTTAAACTCAGTGCTAAGCTTGCATTTGATTAATCTTCTGACAGAAAACACCAAACACTTAGCTCATTTTCACTGGCTGGAACTGTACTCACCAGCTTCTCTAGTGTTTTTTTGTCGAGATGGAAACCTGCACTCTAATTAGCTGTGATAGCACATGTTTGAAAATCACTGCTCTATAAATGTATACAGCATGTGCAACTGGCAAGTGTGGCAGTGCTGAGTGTGCCATCTGGTGGTCTGTGTTGGTTTTTACATCCTACAACCCCACCAATGTCAGCTTGTGAGTGCCTGCCTTATATGGAATGGCTGCAGCTTCGAGGTGCGTGATTGGCTACCGGGCAGATTGTTTTGCCTGTAGGCCGTTTTTCCGTCCATTCGTGGTTTCCTTTTTTCAGAGCCCCCTAACCCCTCCCTCTTAGCCCTCAGCTCCTGTTCTCTTGCACGTGGACACTCACACAACACACACACTGAGTGAAGACGCTTGCTCATACATTCTTCAACACTTTCACTGTGGCCTTTTTCGGGCAGATTGTTGTGCCACCTTCCTTAACAGTACCCACATACAGTACATACAATGGAAGAGTATTGTGTAAAAAACCACATGCTCACACTTAAAACACCAACAGTGTCTCTTCACAGGGTGGTAAGAGTCACATTTCCTGTTTGGCAACTTAAATGAATTGTGTATAATAACATTCTTCTGCCCCTACCAGCATTCACACGTGTACTGCTGGCCCATGTACACATGCAGAGTGGCTGAAATGGTTGTTGTAACAGTGTCAGAGTAAAGCAAAGACAACCCTTGCTCCCTCATGGAGGCACGCATAACTTTACTTTTAATGAAGTAGAAGTATGTAGAGTTACAGATAAAATACAGTTTTTATACTTAAATGTCCTTGAGCAACATTAGAAGTTTTTGTTCGTCTTCATTTATTTTTCAATGCTGAGCTTACAAAGCTGCTTTCAAAACAGAGCCTGCAGCCTAGTTTCCCCAGCCAAAAAATACAAACATATTCTCTCTCTTGCTCTGTGTGTGTGTGTGTGTGTGTGTGTGTGTGTGTGTGTGTGTGTGTGTGTGTGTGTGTGTGTGTGTGTGTGTGTGTGTGTGTGTGTGTGTGTGTAAATCTATCTGCGGCCACTGTTGCTAAAGGCAAATCAAAGCACACTGACTCTCCCAGAAACCAGTGTTTACTTTGCTAACAGAAGCAGGTGTGTGTTGTATAACTTATTGGGTTTTCACTGTGTTCTGTCTCTCAACAGGACCAGATAAAACCTAGTGAATGATTAACATGCGTTTCAGTATTTTGTTTTTGCCAATTCATTACTTTGTGTTTAGAACGACCTGGATCTGACCTGTAATAATTATTTCAAACTTAGAAAAAAAATCTTTTCAGTTAAATCTGAGCTCCTAGGGAAGCTGTTTAGTGACCACAGCAGCTACAAGTAGTATCATAGATTACTCATTTATTAAGAAGGGGATTAAATCTTTCTTACACTGGCAATTGTATAGCTTTCAAAAGTGACCTTAAACCATCACTTTAAGCCATTAACACAGACTCTTTCCTCCTTTTTTAGTGTTCCTAACTCCTGTCCGGCTAGTCCACGGGGAGCAGGGTCATCAGGGTATCGTTATGGACGCAACGTGACCTCTGACCTCCAGTTAGCAGCTGAATATGCTGCAAAGGCCGTTTCTGAGCAGAGACGAAGCATTGCTGAACAGAGAGGCGGGGGAAGTGAGCAGCGCGGGGAGTCGGCTGGTGGAGACAGCCCCAAGGTGAAGACCCAGTAACATCAAAAACAGTTAATTGCCCCAAAGAAAACATCATTTTCGACTTTTAAAAGTGGTTGCATGTACAATATGTGCTTGAGGATGTGTTGGTGTTAATTCTTGTGTCTTGTTCGTCTAGGATGAGTCCAAGCCACCATATTCCTATGCACAGTTGATTGTCCAGGCCATCTCGTCAGCCCCGGACAAACAGCTGACCCTCAGTGGCATCTATGCCCACATCACCAAACACTACCCCTACTATCGCACTGCAGACAAGGGCTGGCAGGTAAGGTTTCTCTGTCTTGAACAAGATGGTAATGGCTTTCCATGGGTTGCCATGACAATCAAAACTTCACAACCATACAGTATGATGCGGTCAGCTAAGTAACATTTAGAAGATTATGGTTGTCCTGAAATGTTTGTCCTGTCTAGGGTCATAGACCATAAAATTCAAGTCCTGTGATACTTTCTTTAAAATTCATATGTCTGTGTGTACTTGACTAAACACTTATTTTGCCTCCATGCAGAACTCAATCAGACACAACTTGTCTCTTAACCGCTACTTTCTGAAAGTGGCCCGCTCTCAGGATGAGCCCGGGAAAGGGAGTTTTTGGCGTGTGGATTCTGCTTCTGAGAGCAAGTTGGTGGAGCAAGCCTTCAGGAAAAGACGGCAAAGAGGGGTGGCTTGCTTTAGGACCCCATTTGGACCTCTCTCTTCTAGGTGAGTGTGTCACCTGTGGCTTTCAGCAGCCTTGGCGTGTGTGTGCACATACACACAAGAGACTGATTTGACCCCGTTAACCCTTTCTCCCTTCTCTCTGCTTCTGCTCCTGGCTATCATTTGATTGGATAGGACAAAGTAAGTCTAATGTCTAGGTTAATATATTAAACAGAAGGTACTGGCAGTGTAGGAGCTCTGCATGTTGCCATAAGTCTCTCGATGTGTTCATTGATTTTTTTGGTCTCTCTCTCTCTCTTCCCTTCATTCCTTATTTTTCAGGAGTGCCCCTGCATCCCCAACCCACCAGGGACTTCTTTCTCCTCCATCCAGCGGGCTGCAGACTCCTGAATGTCTGAGCAGGGAGGGCTCTCCTATCTCCCATGACCACCACGAACAGCTGGCTAACAAACTGGCATCTGTACCGGAGTATAGGTACTCTCAAAGTGCCCCAGGTGAGCCTGCACGCAGGTGTACATAAATACACACAAAATGTATTCAAAAATGAATGCATACATCGTGTCTCATCTTTCTGACATATACACTATAAAACAGGTGAAATATGTTGTTTGTGTCTCTGCATAGGCTCTCCAGTCAGTTCCCAGCATGTCATCATGGCTGCACCCCCCCACCCAACAATCCTGTCCTCAGGCCCGGGGAAAGCCCTTGCTTTAGTTCCAGGTGGTGGCGGCCAAGTCCAGCCCATCCATGTGCTCCAGAACGCCCCTCAGTCCTCTGTCACCATGGTGCGGGTGGTCACCAGCGGACCTCTAACTTCCAACCCTCCGAATGGGTATAGCGCCCCCTCTGTTGGAGGAGCAAAAGGAAACAGTGAGCTCAGAGGTACAGCCATGGGACTCTCTAGGAGAGCTTGTCTCCCACATATTTTATTGGAAGTGTGTTAGATGTGTGTTTTCGGCCTCTTGTGTTTTTCATCTTGTGATTGACCTCTGGACGGACCATAGCAAACTGACTGACCGGATGATGGTCAGTTTAGTAATTGTGACCCTTTGTATCATAACAATTCATAATGGATCTAAGCCGAAGCTTCCCAAATTTCTAGATCACTATGGACTGGACCGTGTATTACTGATTACATTATAGAGGGATATACCTCAGTGTTTATGAATGTTACTGGTGTGATGCCCACATACCTTTTTAACCACAAGTTGTCACTGTCAATGATTTGAGTTATCCCTTCTGCAGGAGCAAGGGATTGTTCTTGTTTGCAAGAATTCAAAGAAGAATGAACACATGCATTCATTCATTGTTCTGCAGTCCAGTTCAAAACCTGTGTGCTCATACCGTAACTCCTTTAGTGTCCAGGTTTATGGCACGAGTTGAGTTGTACCTGTATACTTACTTTTTAGGCCATCACCACTCAAATGGATAATGGCTTAATCTTTGGTACACACCATATTTTCTCATGAAAAAAAACAACACTGGAGAGTTTACAATGTAATGTAATATGTAAGAAGTGATGTTCATGTCTGACAAACATTTCCCCACTGCACTGGTGTTTTTTTGGTCCATGTGGGTTGGAAATTTGAATGTGCATTTCCTGCATTTATTATTCCATCAAATAATCCTTATCTTTGGGTCTTGACTGACTGATCATACATGTGCACTTGTAAACATTTTGGGAGTTTTGGTTTTACATGTTTTTAATAGTGTTTGTGTTTGTACCAGAAGCCCAGCTGAACAGAGAGCGAGTTATCCAGACTGTGGACAGTGCGGTGCAGGGCGGAGATGGGAGAAACCTCGCTCCAGGTTTACATCAGCTTCCGGTTCGTCCTGTTACCCAGAATGGCAAACACACCACTGCTGCTGTTGCCACAGCAACCAGCCTTGCTAATGCATCTGGTAAGATTTTTCATCAGTGACTGCCTAACTTGTGGCATGCATGTCTTCATACAAGTTTTTGTTTCACATACATTAAGGCATCTAGTTACTCATTCCAGCTGATTATTATTATTTATTATTCTTATAATTATTCTATTATTTATTCTCTTTATATTCATTTACAGGTCTGAGTAGTCCTCTCCAGATCTTGGCTGCCCAGGCCTCCAGCTCCCCTCCAGTGCTGGTGAGCAGACAGCCCAGTGCAGAAACTTTTGCTGAGCAGCAAGGTGAGCCCCAGGTCAAGCGGCCGAAGATGGAGGACGAAGGTGGGACCGAATCTGCTCAGCATCAAGTCACACCTTCCCAGCAGCCTGTCATCGTTGCCATGACATCACAAACCCACGACCCTAGGAAGTAAAACCCAGGGCTTCTTACCAGGTACCCAATGGACAGCCTCCCTATTGTCCCCTAACTGCTTCGCCTTTTATACTCATTTGATATGACTGCAGCCGACATGGCCAAAAAATGTACAGGCAGCCTCTCTCAACAGAAGGGAATTAAATTGTAAGGAACATATATTTTGGTCAAAATGGATGAAAACTTTCAAATACATTCTGAATGTAAAAAAGCAAGTAAATCTTTCAGGACTTTTTTCAGCTTTACACTCTTTTTAATGTAATCCACCATTCACTGACGAGACAAACAAGCAAGGACGTTAAGCTTATGAGAGCATTATGCATATTGAAATCATTTCAGCACTACTTTTACTATGTGAATGTTGGATAATATCTCAGATACAACCTTTTCTCCAGTTGATGGATCAGATGCATCAGTCACTCTCAGGCCAAAGAACTCACCTCTCCTGCACTTCTGATTAGAGTCACTGCTTGATTTTAAAACCAGGGAATGTGTGTTCGAAGATTTGAAATGGCCGGCATTTTCAGAAGAAACTGTGATTATCAGAGTTGATATATATTGTGTAGTTTCACACATTTGTGGACAGAAAGAGAGGACTTATCTGCATGTACCCAGATCAGGTTAATGGGGCACAGGAGACTGTTAAGAATATGATTGTCCTTTTATAAGGCAATCCTTACAATAAAAAACAGATATCTCTTCAAAAAAGAAAGACAGAAGACATAATATTAAGGCCTAGACCAGAATGTGAGGCATCTCTTTTCCCTGCCTTCTCTGCAAAGCACAAAAAGAAAACGGAATCTTTTTAGAAGATAAAATAGGAGGAAATAAACCATTACTTTGCGGTTTTTTGCTTCACGTAAGCTCAGTTTGGTTTATCAGTGTGAAGCTCCTCAGATTTAAGATGAATTGGGTGAGTTGGAGCAGAGAAGAGCAAAAAAGAGGCAACTATTTGGAGTTGATTGAAGTGGAGCTAACCTAATGTAGACAAACTGATTGTTGTTTTAATTATTTTTTTCTTGTTTCAGTAGTGGTATAAGGAGAAATGGAACAGCCTGTGCGTACAGTTTTGTTTGTCTTAGCACAGAAAAGCATTATTGTAATAATCCTTAAAGCCTTAAATATTTCTACATTTTTTTTTTGTCATTTTATTTTAACCTTTAGACAGCTTTATCTTTTTAGATCGTTAACACAGCGCTTCTTTAACAGTACATGATCGGCAACACTACAATGATGACAGTTATGTTGCATCAGTAGACTTGTATCAGTTTTATCAGGGGAAGGGCGGGACCAACACATGACCACAAATTTCAACTGCTCTCTCGTCGTTTTTCTTTCTTTCTGTATGGTACTTTTGACATCTTTTCTACTCTTCGCTCCCTACTCTAGCTTTCAGTTTCCCCTAAATGCACCCTCATTTTTTTTTTTTTAATCCTTTTTTCTTTCTCCCAATCTACCTCTCTCCCTCTCCTCAGTGAGCAGTCTCAATCTGTGCTGTCTCTACAGAGGCATCAAGCTGTTGGCAATTCCTGTCACAGACACTGCCTTAATTAGATATTCTTCAGCACTTTCTACCCCCCCATTCTCTCATTCTCACTCTGCCTTTAGCTTTTCCGAATGTCCTCGCACAGGCCTCATTTTTAGCTGGCAATCAGGCACAATTTGCGCAAGATTTCAGTGATTGTTGTTGCACATTAGAAAAAACAAAAAACAAAAAAAAGATGCGTAATGATTGTATGCTGCTCTATCTGCTAAATGACAAAGCTATTTAGAAGGTATTTTCTTATTTTGGAAAAAAGAAAAAATATTTTGCTATATGTAAAAACAGCTGTCATCAATACGTAAACATTCTGGAAAATAGAGAAGTATATGTATTTTTAAATGTTCCTGTTTTTGTGATTTGTTAAAATGTGTAGCACAAATTAAAATTCCTCATTGACTTAAGTATTTGATTGTCTTCTCTCATATGACCAGGTGTCGGCCATGTTGGGTAAGATTCCACACTGCTGCTGTTGTTGTGTACATTTGTTTTCTAAGCAGAAAAATGCAAGTATTCAACAATCTTTATTAAGTACCATCATATTAACATCATTAACAGTATAAATAATGAACAGAGAAGAATAGACATGCATGAGATCAATGTCATACAAACCTTGAAATGCACAAAAATAAAGTTTTACTGCAAAGAAATTAAAAGTGGAGAGTAAAACAAAGCTGATGGAAGAAAAAAAAATGTTCATACTGAAATTTGAACCATTCTGGAATAACAGGAAATTAAAATAACTGTAACAATAGCAGGAAAACACCAACAATTGTCAACATTAGTGCTGGAACAATAGTCAATTAGTCAACCGTTTTGGTCATTTATCCAGTAAAAACATTTACAAGCTCAACTGTCTCAAATACAGCATATGTAGGTTCATAGGTTTCTTTTTTTTAAATATACTTGTGAATTAATTTTTGAGGGTTTTGGATCTTTGGCCTGACAAAACAAGCGGGGCATTTTTCTAAAATATTCTGATATTTTACAATCTAAATGAGAACTGATTAATCAGTTATGTAAATAATTGTGGTTGCAGCCCTAGTAAACATTAAGAAGTGTTGCCCTGCAGTCCTTCAGTACCTTGTGTGACCAAGTCCTGGCTCCTTTTATTCAGGGAGCCAATGGACATCTCGATCTGTGGCTGTGCTACGTTTTCTTCTTTCTGCTGAGAGACCGATCACAGGCTGGCAGAGGGTCACTGCCCCTGTCCCAGGGGAGCTCTACGGAGCTGAGGTCAGAACTGACTGAGCATGGCTTTTTTTCTTGTAGTGACCCCAGGCTTTGAATTAAGAACTTTATAAAAGGTGACCTGTTATCTACCTTCTTTCAAAGGATAGGTACATCAAAACGACTTAAAAAAACATGTTCAGTCTCTTATCTAACCATGCAGATAGTTTTGATTTTACTCGTCTAGATTTTTAGATATGCCTCTGAGATGTCTGCCTCCATCCCCAATACAATGGATGTGAATGGATTTTTGTTGTTTCTTGCTCACAGTATTGAAAAGTCACTTTAAAAAAAAAAAACACCATCCACAGATACTACTACTTCCTATCAAATAGTCCTCTTAAAAACACTAGTGAGACCATCCAGAGCAACTTCCATGTCTGGAAAGACAACTACCGTTTTAAATGTGATTTGTCAATGCTGAACTAAGACCGTTCCATTCACCTCTGTTGTATTGGGTTGGAGGTTTAAATTATCTTAAAGCCTAACCAAAAAAACAACAACTGTCTGCTGTAGCTAGATACCACTTGATGTAAAACTGTTATTACAATTACAAATGTTTTTGTAATTTGGGTGTAGTTACTCAAAAGTTTAGGAAACGACCTGCGAACTGTCGCTATATGCAGTTCTAGAGTGAACAAGTTGTATTCCTATTCATAGGACGGAAAACAAATTACATTTAGGAAGAAAAAACAACCCACAGCTAAAATTTCTCTCATTCCAGAAAATACAGTTTCTTTTTTCCATCAGTATGTTTCAGTCTTTACTGACAATTATATTTCACAAAAAAGTTATATTGAGTAGTTCCCCAAATGCAGTTTCTCTTATGAATGTCCAAACAATATGTGACCATATGTTAAATATTTACAAATGACTATTTACACCTCTTAACCAGATGAATACAGCATATATTCACAACAAAAATGTGGTTTATACACATCAGGACTGTGCATCAGAAACTCTGGAGGGAAGCATGTCTTCTTGACGATCCGGTGATTAATAAACAACAGCTGCACATCCCCGGTGCATGTCGAGCCTCAAGAATTCATCCCTTTTCCAGTGGAGGCAAAGTCCATTGATGAGGGTCAATGCGAAATGGGAGAGCTCGGCTGTATGTCTTGACATTCTCCAGTTGGCTTCCTCTGCCTCTTTCACCTACTCTCCACTACAAAAGTCAACATTTATACACACTTGTTTAGTCTGTTGAGTAGACAGTGATGGTGCTTTGGGAGTTACTAACAAACAGGTTTATAAAAACATTCCACTCTAAAAGCACTGTGTAAGACATCCAGCATTCACTGAGGCTGCCTTCACGTTTGTTTGTCTGCTTTTGGAATTACATTTTCAGTCTGTGTCAGAGAGCTCGGTAGCTATTTTACCATGCTACTTAAAGTGTGAAATACTAATAAAAATTATTCTAAAAACGGGTGGAAAACGTCCAATGTGCGCACATGCACCGAGGGCTGGCGGGAGAGAAATTAAAACCCTACGATCTACTGTGCTTTAAACCACATCCAACTGCATATTGGCTGATTAGACCGCGCCCACCTCAAACGCTGATTAATTAGGCAACTTTCCCTCGCAGCGCATTCCTTTGATGTCGCGGTGGGTTACGGATTCTGTCTGTCACACAAACCCAGTAGGAGTCAGCGTGAGGGAAGCAGGTCTGGCAGCTGTGGGGTGGAGTCATGGAGGGTTATCTCCAGTTTGATTGCTTGGCTTTGTGCTGTGCTGACGCTAGGTTTCACATTCATATTTCATGCCGTGTATGTACGCATGGGTGTGTGTGTGTGTGTTTGTGTGTACCCTGTTCATTAGTGCACACATCTGTATCCCACCTCTCCAGTCCTGGGAAGTGTGTTGTGCGTGCTTGACCCGGAGCGGCGGTGGCTCGTGGTGGTCAGCAGGAGGAGGCACTGATCTTCTCTGAGACGTCGGGGTCGGACTTGGCTACCAGGAAACGTAGGCGACCTCCTCCCAGACGAATCAGATCCACCGCGCTGCAAAGGAGCATTCGGGAGGAAGTAGGGAGAGGAAGAGAGTGTCTAGTTACGTGAAGCTCAGCAGAGACAGAGTAAGAACGAGGGAGCATCACTGTCTGGACTAATCAATCAAAGTAATCAATGGGCTTAAGAGGCTGACAGCCATGGGTATGGTTAACACTGTGGGAAGACTGTCACTGTGTCATCAATGTCAATATCACCCACTAGTATCATTAATCACCAGCCCATTGTAATGGTGGCAAACAGCACCACTGGAACATCGTCTGTACCTCTGGTAGTCTGCGCCGATCAGACTGGTGCCGTTCACAGCCAGGATGCGATCTCCAATCCTCAGTCTGCCGTCAGAGGCAGCAGGCCCGTCGGGTATCAGAGTCCGGATATAAATGCCTGGAGCGTTGAGAGGAGTGTGCTGCAGGAGGGAGAAGTATTAAAAGTACGTGTGTGTGTCCAATATTTAAGTGAACATCTGGTAGAACTTATTTACAAATAAATGTATATTGGCCACTGTTTTTGTTTCTTAATAGCTGGCAACATCAATTACTTGTATATCAGGACTCCTCATCATATATTTCCACTTAAACATCAGTACTGTGAAACGACATTGCTGTCCTCTAGGTTTAAAAAAGAACAATAAATGCCCCTTTTGTCCAAGTTATTGTTTCAGGAGGGTAACTTTAGATGGCAGAGGGGCAAATAAACTCCAATAATTAATGGTTTATAGCACAGTATAATGTAGTTTTAAGTGAATATTAGGTCTTTTTAAGTGCTTATTGATGTGTCAACATGTCCACAACTCCTGTCAAGTATCCATAACTAGATGACAATATAAGACACATTATGATCTTCTTGATTGTTATAATTGTAGAAAATACTGTACAATAATCACTTAAAATGTCCTTATAACAACTATATGTTTTATGTAGTGCTTATAAATAACACATAGTGGGGGTTAAAGTTACACAATATACTGTGGAAGTATATTCTGAAATTCTCTGCAATAGATATATGTACAGTTTCTCAATATTTATTAACATGTTGTGTTTAAGTACACTTGTGCATCTACATGAGATCATTAATAAATTGATAAGTTATAATTGCAAAAATAAATAAATACACATCCACATTTAAGTACTTTATTTTTGTGTGGTTTTTATATTTTAGGCACCAATGCACCAAGATAAATTCCTTGTATGTGTTAAAACTTACTTGGCAATAAACCTAATTCTGATTACTTTAATCATTTTCAGTAACAGTCATTCCCAAAATATATCAGTAATATAATCAGTATTATGATAAAATATATAATTTTCTCAATACGCAGCTCTACAATCTGGCCTCAATTTAAATTTTTACTTGATCTACTAGCAGAAGTAGTAAACCAACTGAATCACAAAGACAAAAAAAAAAGTGTCTACTCACCAGGCCGTCTATGAGTCCCATGCCCAGACCGTAGGGTCCCTTGTCCAGTTCCACTACAAACACCACACACAAGTCATCAGGAAGGGGAGGGGCGCCAGGGGAGGATACAGGGAAAGGAAACTCACACCCACTAATACACCCTGCAGAGGACACGGAAATGCACAAAAACACACTCACAAACACACACACGCACACAGGGTCTCGCTATGGGGTTGGACAAACATAAGAGGTCTTGCGGTGCAGAAGACACACACACAGATACTGAGACACGTGCAAGGATGCAGCTATGGAGCTAATCGGACACACAGACCATGTGCTTCTGACAAGAGCCTGCAGATGTCACACTCACTACACTGTAAAGACAGCACAGGAGGAGAGATACTGCCATCATATGTGAGGCACAGCTGACCAACCAGCGCCAGCATTTCAACTACAGAACTGCAGATTTAAAGATGCATTCATCGATTTCTGGCCTCTGAGGGGACGGAAGAACAATCAGAGGGAGGTGTGATACAGTATGATAAGCTTATAAATAGGAAGAACAAACACTTGACTTTTTACACATCCAGCAGACAGGGAGCAACTTTATCTCCAATTGAAATTGACGTGATGAATGTAAGTCTAATATAACTCTCGTCTGGTTAGCACAAGTTCAACGTTCTTCAATCCCGTATAGTATACTTTTTAAATTACTTGTAGCCATTGAATCCATTAATATAAACAATATTGATGAATGCAGCTTTAAATGAATTTAGAATGACCAGTATTGTGCAGTTGTTATTAACACAATGTTGTATTGTGTAAAGTATCTAAACACTTTTCACATTGGTCAGTTCCAGTGCGACTTTGATTGTGACATTAGCAACTTTATCTTCTGTGCTGCTTAAAGTGCAGCACGGGTTTATATGCAGTGTGTATGTTGTATATTGTATACTGATAATGTATGTGTGTAGAGATACACCGGTCCGAACCACTGTAACACAATTCATTAAGTGTGATCGATCAACATTGAACAGTCAACTAATTTCCCCCTGAGGATGATTAATAAAGATTTGATCTGATTTAATTTATGCTGTTATAAAATTCAGAGTTTCCACAGCAAACCCCAGCTTCAAATTACTTTAATTAAAAAGGATTCCAGTGAGTCCGAGCAGTGAGGTATACAGGTTTTAAATTAGGAGAAAAGGTATCTGAATCGGTACTGGGAGAGAAAACTGTTCGGATGGGTGAATCCCTAACATAATGTATAATGAACTGCAAGGTTTAACATTTAAACTGCACATTTGGGATGGACAAAATCACAGAAACACCATACAATATGTGATTTAGTACAATAAGAAGAATAAACAGAGAAAACATAAGACTCGTGTCAGAGGTGGTTATTTTTAAGTTTATATTTTTAGTGTTGTTTCTGTTTTTGGGTTCCATTATAGTGTGTTCCTGTTATTTTGTCCACCTCCTGTATGTTATTGAACCTACCCTCCAGTCCGTTGGTGATGAGTCCGTTGGTCTTTTTACATTCTGCCATAGTTCTGCTGGTGCAGCCATTAGTCTGGGTGTTGGGGCCTATGATCTGCCCTCCTCCTCCTCCTCCTCCTTCCGGGTACAGCGGGGTGTTGGGAGGGGTCAAGAGGCACGACGGGTCTGGATTTGCCGTTCGAGGGTGGTGGATGGTGCCGTTCCTTCTGAGGCTGTGTGTGTGTGATTGGCCTGAGGGTCTGTCTCGTGCTCTCTCCTCTCCTGTCTCTGCCATCACCTCTTCCCCAGGACCTCCAGAGCGGGGGCTGCTGTGGGCCGGAGGCAACAACTCCCTCTGTGTTGGGATTGAACAGGAAGACTTCAGAAGACAGTATAAAGTGTAAAGTTATCTTTTACCTACAAAAAAAGCTTCCTTGTTGCAGTACACAACAAGCTTTGTCCCTGGATAACAGTCCAATTAAAAAGGATTAACGAGATGCATGATTGTTTTATAGACAGATTTACCATTGGACATATTTGTGAATGTATATGTGTTTCTGTGTGTACGCCTGTATGTGTACATATGAGGGTGCAGTAACACTAGGGATTATGGTCTAGTCAGCCGTTCCCACTAATTAGACAGCCTAAAGACTAATCAGATTAACCGTGATTTAACCATGTCTAGGTTTCTGTGAGTGAGTATGTGTATGTGTGTGCGGCTTGGCTGGAGTAGAGGGTTTTTGTCTTTCATTTATGGGATTATGAGGAACTCCTCAACAACCACAGCTGCCGAGGCACATGGCCTGGATTACTGCTAGGTGTGTGTGTGTGTGTGTGTGTGTGTGTTGACAGTATGCAGTATGTGTGTGTATCCTTCTGACCTGAACGTCGGGCCAGTCAGCTGTGTTGGTTCCATTGGAGTGTGTGTGCACACTGGGAGTGTTGGTGTGCGTTTGCGTCTTGGTGCGTAGCCCCCACAGGTAGTGGCGGATGTAGAGCAGCTGTCTGTAGATGCTGTCTTCTATACACTCGCTGTCCAGGTCCACTCTGAAGCCGGCGCTGGGGAGCACTATGGGTGGGTGGTTCTCAAAGCTCTCCAGGAGGTCCACTGAACACACACAAGCTGATGTTAACTCATCTGTACACGTATACACCATTAAAAGCCTGATCCAAGATTGCTATACAACAGTTTATATGCACATTAGTATGGCTATAATCAGGTTTTGGAGAATCACTGTTGTATGTTTGTATGTGTGCACATCATATCCTGTTCCTGTTTCAGAAATCTAGAGAAGTTCTTCAAGGCTGTCCACACCAAGAACATGCGAACTATGCGAACATCAACACTGATGAATGTAAGAAGTTAGGACTTCAAAGACCAGAAATCAGTGCTATAGACTGTTTACAGTATGTCTCAAGGAGAAATTGTGTTTTTTAAGTGTGATTTGCAGCCTAAAATTACATCATATGAGTGACTGATAAGTTGTATACCACAAGATTGTTCATCAAATTGCTCTGAAAGTGACCCCAACAGTATTGTTCGCCACTGTCGTTATTGTTACCGTTAATTTATAACTACAGTTACTGTTCTTGGTGTGGACTGCCCTTAATCCAAGATCCAAGATACGGTGCATGTAAACACATCGATCCTGTAGAAGAGCTCTATTTATCACAAACAGTAAAATGTAAATGAATGTAGACACTGACTGAAGCAAATGTCTGTGTTCTCATTCATTTGTCATTTTCTTCCTCTACATCCTCCAGGAAGAACCATGATCAGTGACCTTTAGCTTAACGATCCTTTACACACATTTTAGGGCATTTAACAACACTCTGCTTTGAATAATAATTTGTGTCTGATAATAGGGTCCATAACAAAGTTCACAAAATATTTATATTACTCTTTGCTCCTTCTTCCTCATCGAAAAATCCAGAATTGTATGCAAATACTTCCCTTTTCAAAAGTTTAAAGGTCCAGTGTGTAACATTTAGGAGGATCTATTGGCAGTAATGGAATATAATATTTATAGGTATGTTTTCATTAGTGTATAATCACCTGAATAGAAGAACCAAGTCCAGTCCATCATGTTGAACCGCCATGTTTCAACAGTAGCCCAGAACGGACAAACCAAACACTGGCTATAAATAGGGCCTTTCGCATTTTTGGAGAGTTTTGCTTGTTCTCATTCCCAGGTTGTCAGATACAGACGCGAGCAGTGTTCAGTTGGTTGTAATCTACAGCTTAACCGCTAGATGCCACTAAATGCTACACACTGGTCCTTTAAGTGCTGGATAGAAGATGTTTCCTACTTCCAGGGCCGCCCCCATAATAGTCGACTTAATCATTAGTCGATATGTTTAGTTGACCCACTTTTCACATTAGTCGTAGTCCCAGAAAAACAACGTCAAACTCTATTCGGAAGCTGCACCTGGTCACCATCTATTACTTCATCAAAGTATTTGTTTTTGTGAAGTTAAAAGTTATTAATTCTGTGTTTTGAGCAACAGAACTTGTGTGATGTTATGTTGTGTTGAAATAAATGAACTAAATGTTCAGTCTCCTTGCTGGTTGTTCTGACGTGTTCAGATTTATTACCGTTTTTTTTGCAGGCGGCTGTTCACTAGGAAAATCTTTAGCGGCAGCCCTTCCTACTTCACTGAAAGGTCCACTCACAGTGTATGTGACTTGAAGGTGTCAAGTATAATGGACTATGATTGACTCACAAACTAGCTGTAATGTCATAAATCCTGCTTTAATTTAAAGTTTTAATGGGAAAAACAGCCTTCTAGTGTCAAACTATACACACACACACATTATTCTCCACAGTGAAGCTTAAATGTCACAGTGAAGTAATTATAAGCAAAACACATTTGAGTGGAGGGGACTTTAACTATGAACATATCACCTATGTCACTCCACACAACATGAGGGCCTTGTGTTGCCAGAATTACCTGTTCTGTATATATACGCCTCGTCCTCGCTGCTGGGTTGCCATGTTGGGACGGGGCCTATCTCTGCTGTGATCTGGTACTGGGTGAGAATCCTGTGCAGCTGGACAGGCTTCAGAGTCGGGTGCTCGCTGGACAAAGCTCGCCAACTCAACTGCTCACAGAGAAGAAACAAAAGGAGAAGAGGAGAAAATAATCAGAAGTCACAGGGAGGTCCTTTTATTTTTTTAAATACAACCAAGCAACTAAGGGAGGTGAGATGATGTGCGGGGGCAGTCACGAGCTGATCCTGGCTAAACCTTTTCAAAGACATTATCAATCAATAGCTGTAAGTGACTTGCCGTTACCTGTGTGAGCTGTTGTGGGGGAGTGGCCAGTATGGACACAGTACTGTTGAGTTTGGTGAAAAATTTGTCGGCCAGATGTCCCAGACCGGACCTGCTCGCCCACTCCATGACCATCCGCAAACACGCCTGAATCTGCAACACCTTGGAGCGCTGAAACCAACCCCGAGATGGACCTGCGCACACACACACACACACACACACACACACACACACACACACACACACACACACACACACACACACACACACACACACACACACACACATACACCAGTGAGTGTTTGGATATTTCATCAGACACGCTGCACTAGATTTCTATTCTAGGGCGTGTGCATGCCAGAGAGAAAGGGAGACCAAAATAGAGACTGTGTGTGTTCGTTGTACGACAATACAGAGATTAATTTTTAAATAAGTCGATATTGAAGTCAATGAAACAATAGCAACAGCCACAGGACGCCTGCTCCTCACAGAATACAAATCGACTGCTGCAGAGGGGCTCAGCTGACTGGGTTTGTGTTTTACTGCACAACAAAGCAGCGCACAGCCCGCATTCTTCACCCTGTAATCCTTTCTTTCTCCGTATCACATCAAAGAGCTGAAAGGAAGTTTTGTGGCAAGTTAAGCAGGCGATAACTTTAAATCTACATTTGTCAAGCTGGCATCCCATAGTTTGTCAATCTGTCGTTCCATTACCTCACTGCAGCTATAATTCCTATTTAAGCTTTCTGAAATACCCCCCAATGTGAGGGCAGGCCTCTGCTGGGGTTTCATACAAACAATGGCAAACAACTGGATCATTGAGATTTTTCCAGTGTTAATGATACTGGAGATGACAAAGAAATACTTTTTATTTTTTATTTAGTGTACATAAAAATGTATCTCACACACAGATGTACCAGATTTAGCTACTAGCCAATTTCCATCTGCACTCAGCAAGTACACAGCAAAAACAGCAAAACACATAATCAGGTTCACTATCACACGTCTTATGTGCAGCAAATCTTCTCATTTCAGAAGCTATAACGAGGGAATATTTGCTATTTTTGCTGAAAACTGCCTTAAATTAATCGTAATTTTGTGAAATCCATTACTTTGAGAAATATAATCTATTTTATGATATAATCAACACCAGAACACAAAATCTCTCCCTCTCGACATGTCAGGAGGCTCCAGGCAGACAATAAACTGGCACTGTTGCAGACAGAGCACACACGCACACACACACACACAAAACCCTCCGTATGTTTTGGATGTGTACACACACATAAGCACACACTCCCCTCTGTAATAGGCTTATGTCTAGGCATACAGTAATCTATGTGTAAGGCATCGCATACAGACGAGACATCACTTAAACTCTTAGCAAAAGGTGTCATAATGCTTCACAGCAGCTGGTTTATGAACACACACTCACCTTCGAACACAGAAAATCCATCGTACACCCTCAAAATAAACAAATCGAACAACAAAGAGCAATCCATTATAATCTGTTTGCAGGGGGGAGAGATGTCACGACACACTCATACAAACACACAATCATATGGATCTATGACAAAGTGGAGCGTCTGCACCATATTACATCAGGTTCAGGTTTTCTCCCTGTGTTGCCATCAAGCTAACATTGTGTGTGTGTGTGTGTCTGTGTGTGTGTCTGTGTGAGTTGCAGAGCGCCCGGTGCAAACGTCAGCGTTACCTGCTATAAACTCACTTCACTGTTACCATGGACACCATCAGTGGAGAAATATAAATGAGCGACAAAAAGGGGAGCAAGGGAGAGAAACAGAAAGCCAGACAGACGGATCGAGGGAGGTGACAGGGGAGTCTCTGCATGAATATAAAGGTATGTCTCCTTCTCCCTCTGCCAGACATGTGATCTCTCCTGTCTCCACCGGCTAATGAAGACATATGGCATGTGCGTGAGTGTGTGTCTATGTGTGGCTAAAGATACAAAGGGAGGGCGTGGAGAGGTTGGAAGTGAAAGGTAGACGGATAGATAGAATATATAGCTGGGGGGTAAATGACACTTTTCTGTATTTAGACAAGGTAATAGACTATTAGAAGGTTATCACAACAACTGAGCGACCTTCCTGCCTTTTACCCTTCACTCTGCCCTTTTCCCCTCTTCCCCTTACCCCTCCTCTATCTCCTCTCTCTCGCCTCCATCCTATCCCACCACTACTTTTCTTTGTCTCACCCCCCTGATGGCCAGATGGAAGGAGGGAAGGCAAGAAGGAGGAGGAGGAGGAGGAGGAGGAGGGGGAGAAAGAGAATGCAGATACGAGAAGGGCATAGAGGACAAATCTGGGTTAGTCACTGTCAAAATGCTGACAAGGACACTAGGACACAAGGACTCTCTCTCACACACTCACACACACACACACACACACAACTGTACAAACCCTGAGGGAGGTCTAATGGTAGAAACTGTGCATGCTTTTTGCCTACCTTTGTCCATTAGCTGGTTAAACAGTGACACATTGGCAAAGAAGAATAGGTAAGCGAACATCTGAGCCTGAATCTCCGAGTGGACCTGGTAGCCCTGCAAAAGCTCCTGGGCATTCTGAAATACCTGCGCGCACACACACACACACACACACACACACACACACACACACACACACACACACACACACACACACACACACACACACACACACACACACATCAAATACACTATCAAATACAAATAAAAAGTATATATATATTATTCTATATATATTCTGTATTAGCAGTTTGATATATAAGGTTTATGTTAAATATTCAAACCCAATACTTCGCTACATGTTTCCATCAAACGGAAATATTCATTCATTCAGTCATTTTTATATACAGTTCTTTAAAATTCGGCCTGATATATTTTGTGTCTTTGGAAACTTTGCAATCGCCATTGAATTTTTAAATTTAAAATAAAGTTTTGTAGTTTGTATTAATCAATGACCCATTGGTGGGTCAGTTAGAGAAAATAGAGAAAAAGTGGAAAGAGGTCTGGTCTGTTTTGACCTTTACAGATATTTTTCAGCTCATATGAGACAATTTTTCTTGCTGCAGGAAGCTAAATAAAGAAAGGTGCAACAAAGGGACCAGTGTATGTTTAGTGTGTTTGACACTAAGGATTATTTATAGACATGCTGCTGATAATTTGCCCTGTGACCCACATTGGTTTCACCCGTCCACAAGGTCATGATAAAATATTGATCTCAGAAATGTAAAAAGGCAGAATTCTTTAGTTTCCTGTAAGAATTCATGTAAAGATGAATCAATGAACTATAAATGCACGTCGGAAAACTTTAAAAATTACATTATTCCCCTTTTTTTTCCCCTGAATCTTTTTTCTTTATTTTTAAATAAATCCCCAAATGTTTTATGTCCCTAATGCTCTTCCATACTTACATACAGCGTTTGGTTTCTCCAATGCACATTCATTGACTTAACTTAACTGCAGGTGTACAGGAATAAACATTCCTGCTAATAGTTTCACCCTATCCCGATGATCTACAGGTGGCGATAATGTGCCAAGATAGGCAGCATTGCGTCATCAAAGGCAGTGAAGAATAAGTATGAGTAACCATGAAACAACGTAGGATTTAAAGTAGTTGAAAAATCGTCTTTGCAAATATTTTATAAGGGAGGAAACACATTCATCACATCTGTTGGAGCTCAGGGATAAACACACTTTAAATATGAGTTTAAGACGCGTTTGTATGAGCGGGACTTTGAATTAGGGCTGCATGATAAAATTTTAATATTGTGATTATTTTGACAGATATTGCAACTGTGGGAATGATCATGTTTTCATCACAATTCACCATTAAAATTATGATGAAAAATTGTGATTTCGATAATGTTTCGATTAATTGTGCAGCACTTTTTTCAATCCTGGTCGAGAAATGCAGCTCACACAAGTGTCATGTGGAAACTTGAAGCCTCCAGCGGACCAACACTGAGAACTGATTTTTCAGTGAAGAAGGAGACATCTTGTGTGTAGTAGTTACATTTTTTATGTTAACAATATTTGCATATTCATAGAAGTTGGATTTTTCAATGAGGAAATAGGAGTAGATGCAATTGTAAGAATTTTAGTTATTAGAATTAGTTTATTGAACTTAGGCACAAATGATTATTGCAAAGTTTTTTTAAAAAACATGCCTGGTGGGGATCTTTAAACAAGACATCATTTATCAAAATTTCTGGCATTTGATAATTAATAATCAATATGATTTTAATAATCCTGACGACCATAACTGCACTACAACACAATACACGTGCTTACCTGCAGGACCCTGCGTATAGGTTCAGGAAACCCGACACCTCCTTTCCAGCAGGGCTCAGAGCTGTCGACTGGGAATGGATTGCAGTCTAACAAACCTGGTAACACTACATAAAGAGCCTGGACACACACACACACACACACACACACACACACACACACACACACACACACGGTCTGTTATTATTCATCTACTCTAGTTTAAAAACAACATTATAAAAAATGTCTCACTCATTATGAAGATGGCACCGTTGCCAGGGTGACAGATTACCTTGGTGATATAGTAGACACATTGCTGGAAAGTGTACATGATCACTTCTTCCAAGATAGTCATTGCCTCCTCATTGGCTGATATGGTCGCCGATAGCAACGACTCCTTTGACCCTAGACACAGATGACGGAGATAGAAGCATAGTTAACAGATATATACTGAGAGGAGGGAGTGATGTAGCTGTATCACTATCTACTGTATGTCAGTGTGAGTAATGACTCTTCAGCAAAGTTGTTTCCACACTCATCATTCAGAATCTGTGTGTGTGTATACGTGTGTGTGTGTGTGTGTGTGTGTGTGTGTGCGTGCGTGTACCTTGCAGTGTCTCTATGCTGTGTGTGTATGCTGGTGCTCTTTGCTGTATAAAGTAGAGGATCTCGATAGAGTTGGACATCCAGAAGAAGATCGTCTGCAGGTCTGGGATCAAGTCTGAGATGCTGAGCAGAGACAGGGAGGCCGGGTCCTGGCTACATGGACACACACACACACACACACACACACACACACACACAAAGAGAGGATGGTTAAACACAGTTAGGTAGATATACTGACACACTGAACACACCAAAAAAACGGTACAGGAGCACACATGTTCTCTTTCTGTTGGAAAGCGATACTCACTGCTGAGCTTGCTTCTGAGCCAGCTCCTTTGTCCTCTCCTGCAAGGTGCACACACACACACACACACACACACACACACACACACACACACACACACACACACACACACACACACACACACACACACACACACACACACACACACACAGAGCAATTAAGTTCTCATTAAACTTTTAGGATGTGCGTAGGAGAACCACACTTCATGACGCTATCACTAACCTGCAGAAAGAAATACCACTATCATATTTACAAAACCTAACACAGTGACGCATGTTGATAATTACTGTGTGTCCCACTGAACTGAATATAAGCTTACTCTAATTAGAAGATTAGAAATATAGATAGAAATTTCACAACTTCTGAGACCTAAAGTGACGTCTCCAAAGCTCTTCGGAAAAGCAACAAACTCTCACATTTGAGAATTTTAAGCCAGCAAATACATCAAATTAATTGAATATCGTCACCAATAAACGTTCTGTCTATACTTATTTCAGCTTCATCTTTTCCTACAGTGGAACATTATATTGTGTGCGTAATACAGTACAAACATGTGATATCTGTTTAACTATTCACCTGACCTGACATGGCTTCTCTCCACATGAGGTCATCTTGAGCAGAGACCAAAGTACCACAGGGACAGACAGACAGACAGGCACAGAGAGACAGTCAGACACTGACCCATGCGATGGTCTGGATTCGTCGGACAATCTTGAGCAGCAGTTTTCCAAAGCTCCCAGGTGGGAAGCTTGAGGCAGAGTGTTGTATGCACAGACACAGCAGGTAGGCAGGTGTCAGCTTATGGTCATCTCCTGTGAGGCATTTTAAAAGGGTCAGTGAAAAAAAACACATTTTCTCATTGACCTCTAGTGGTGTCTATCTAATCATGCAGCTCACAGATCACAAAAATTGCTTCAAAGAACAAAAACTTCACGTGGAACTATTTTCGGCCTAGGAAACAGCTGACTGTAAGGTCTGTGGATTATGTGGAGTAACGGGGACACAGATTCTGGAAAGAGATGATGCTTTTCAGGGACATTTCTTACTATATATAAACCGTTTGACTGCAGAAGAGAGAAATACTGGATGAAATGAGACTGCATGTCTCAAGACAGTGTGGATCTTTTACCACTTTTTCCTTATTTTTACGGACAGACTGCACCTAATCCCTGTATAATAAACAGTACTTGTGTATTTGTCCATTGACAACCTCATTCTAGCATTCCTGTTGTTCTGTATGTGATTGTCCTTAAATTTTCAGAGACAGATTTCTTTAAACCTAGTCAAATAAACCAAAACTATCTACATGGCTTTTTTAAAAAATTTTGGTGAAATAAGATTTTAATTGTAAAACATCCACTGAGGTTAAAACTTGGTATGAGTGCAACGGCTATCTTATATTCACTGTTACATTATAAATCAAAGCACGGACCTCCAGGTTCTATGAGAGACACAATCCTGTTCAATAGCTGGTCTTCATGAGCCTGGTCAAACTCCAGCTGTAGCCTTCGTTTCTGACCTCCTCCTCCTCCTCCTCCTCCTCCTCCTCCTCCTCTTCCTCCTCCTCCTCCTCCTCCTCCTCCTCCTCCACCTTCCCCTCCTGACAAACTAAGGGGCCCTCCCGCTGCTGTCCCCCCGCTGCGGGGTTTTACCAGGTGAGGTTTGAAGCTCCGTCTAACTGCCGGAGCACTTGACACCTGCGCCGCTCTGTCCTTCAGCACAGAACCACACATCTTACACGTCTGAGCCCCGCCCTCTCCCTCCTCCACCCCTGCGTCGTAAAGCTGCCCCAGGGAGCGGAGGCGTGCCAAGGTCTGAGCAGGCAAAGGCTTAGCGCCCGTGGGGTCCTTGTACAGGAAGATGTAATGCGCTCCGAAGGAGAGGAGGTCACCGTGTCGCAGCGTGGTGGAGCGCTCGCAGCGGGAAAAGTTCACTAGGACTGTGGCGTGGAGCACCGGCTCAACGGCGACACAGGACCGCTGACTCTCCGCCAGCTCTTCTCCCTTGTTGTTGTTGGCATGGCGACGGGGTGCGGGTACTCGGCGCAGGCGGCAGTGGAGGGGGAGGATGTCAGGAGAGAAGAGGCAGATGTTGGGGCGAGCTGATGGAGTCTCCTGACCGACTGTGTGCTGCTCTCTGTTCAGCAGGTACACCAAACAGTCCTGCAACGCACAGCACAACAAATATCACATAAACAGATATACTGGAAGTTTCTAACACAACACATGGACTTCTTCCTTATCCTCACCTGCCGATTGTATCCCTGTAGCAGCAGCAGGTGTGGGGACTGGTAAAGCGAGTGTCTCACCCCTCCTCCTCCCTGACCTCCCTCCTCTTTCCTCCGGCTGCTGGAGGCCGCCTCCCGTTCTCGACCCCTTAAGGGCCCTGGCAGGGTGGAGTAATAACGCTTGGGCTCCTCTCCCACTCCCAACTGCGGACCCGTGCAAAGACACAAAACACACATGTACACATTTAGGATCTACAGTACCATGAATAATAACACAATCAATTATCATGACTAGGCTTCAGTGTGAGGCCCCACCTGGTTGAGGCTAGTCTCGCTGAGGCTGCGGCAAAAGGATGAGTTGCTGGACCGCGGCAGGGTCAGCGTCCCCTTTGCCCTGTTCCTCTGGAGCTTACGAGCCTGAGCATTAATATCTGCAGGGAGGCGGAGAGCAGGAGCAAGAGCCAGAACAAGGAGGGAGAGAGAAGGGCACAAGGGAAAACAGGTGGAGAATAATAAAAGGAGAAAAAGGAGAGAGGCAGAGCAGGGAGGGAGAGAAGTTGAGGGCACAGAAGAAAAGAAAGGTAAAGAGCGGAAAACGAGAAACGGCTTAAATGTAACATGTGCATTGTTAGCGTGTGTGTTTGACTCATGAGTGAAGCAACTTCTCAGGTTGTAGTGACACAAGTGCATAACAGTCATGTGTGAGCTGAGTGGAAACTAAGTGAAACAAAACCAGTCAGATGAAATCAATGGTGCTGGATGGAGCAGCACATGTGGCTGACAACAGTGAACCTGATGAGAGGTGAACTGAGTAGCTCCTCATGACTTGAATTTGAGGCCATGCGATGGCTGACACAGATTTACACACACACACACACACACATTGGTTGAATCACTGGCAATGGGGGTGGCACTGGTGACAACGCCGGTAGAGGTGGTATCCATGGCAATGACTGACAGCCACCCTACCTGAGGCCAGTCCCCACCTTTAGAGTTAGACTGAACCACTCGACCAGACCGCAGGGGGGAGCTCCTGTGTTTGCCCAGCCCAGACCGACCCATTAGAGCCGCCAGGAATTGGGATGTTTTGGGCCCTACAACGGGGTAGGAGGGGTTATAAAGGGTCGGGAGGCTGAGAAAACAACCCCTCACCAAAAACACCAATAACCCTTCCGTACACACACACACACACGCACAAATACCAACAACAAGACACGCATGCACTGTGGAGCAAAAAAGAGCGGTGCTTCTAGTGAGTCACATCAGCAGTTAGTAAAGAGAGATACACAGTTAAAAGGTATGAGGTGCAGGATTTCCCCTCCAATACATCACTGTCAAATTAGTATTGTATTCAAATTCAACAATCGCATATTTTTTATTACAAACTGTATAAATTATCGATGCAAACTGTGGCCTGCTTAGTAGGGGCGTAAATCACCAGTTTCATGACGATATTTTATTATACAGATTCTTTAGACAACAATATGATCATTTCCGAAATCAGAAAGTCTGCCACAATAGGATTTCGTTCAGCTTTTAATTAAGGGGTTATCGATATGAGACAATATCATATATGCCCATTAACACAGCCAGTTACATTTATATCAACTCACAAAAGTGACTGAATTCTTCCATTTATTTTATCTAGTAACAGCATTGTTTGCAAATGGCATGTGCCTCAGCTATATTTCCACACAAAATAAAAATGACAATATAAATCCATGTTTTCACTTTTGATATATTGGATTGTTGAACACTGATATTGATCCAGACGTATCATTACACTGCTACTGCTTGATGCTTTCATTTGGGTGTTTTTGTCTTTGATTTTTATAATAAATCCAATTTGCCAGTGAGTTTGCAGTTGAGAGTCAAACCAGCAGAATTGGGAATGCAGATTGTACCACTGAAGGTTGAACATACAATTTTCATTAATTGGCAGTGATGTGTTTCGTGTTAATAGAAATCCTACAGCACCCTTAAAATGCTATCTCACTGTAAAAATTGTGTGTAACAATACACAGAATTCACACATGTGCATGCACGCTCACACGTACACGAGGGGAGAAAACAGCAAGTGAAAGACAGAGAAGTAAAGAGGAAGATACTCCAGGGTTTGGGAGTTTTGTAAACACTATAACACAAAGAAGAAAAGGTTAGTGTGAAAGGGAAAATAATGTGTATTAATAAGTATTAGTTAGTAAACCAGAATGTGTTCTTTGCTGTGATCAGACATTATACAAAAGAGGCTCAAGTTGCAGTTGTGTAACTGTTAACTGAAATGTCTTGAAGCACAGTAAGGAAAGCTTTTACAAGGAGGAGGCTGGTGATAATCTTTGTTTCTTGTTGTAAACAAATCCAATGAACAGACCAAAACCAACAATAAATGTATCCGTCGAACCAATGCAGATACAGCTTATTCCCCTAGAGCTCCACTGTTGTCCACATATTGTTAAAAAGTAACATGTCCCTTAATTATTTTAAGTCAATCCACTATAAATAGTCCTACTGGAAATACTAGCACATAATGTGTATCAATCCGTGGTTACAAATAGTTGCCACCAAGTAGTGGGTAATACAAATTACAGTAACTAGCTGTTGTACAATATAACCAAGGCTTTGTTAAAAACCCACACATTGATTATGCTAAATATGTGTAAAAATACAGGCATTCAACGGCATGAAGAACAACTTTTTTAAAAACAAAACTACAGGCGGACTCTGGATACATGGATGATGGTTTACATGGATACTGTTTCTTTTTATGTGAAGATGAAACCTTATTATCATCACTATCTTGTTGCTGCTGTTTACATTCCCCAGACACTAAAGTTGCACTGTAGAATTATTTCCTGGGTGTAAACGTATGTATATAAATAACGGTATATATTGATTGATTTCATTTTGACTTTTATGTTCGTATTCTATTAATTTAAGTATCTTTTAGCTTTCTGTGTGTGTAGCATGAAGGAACTACAAACTTTTATTTCGTTATACAACCTTGTGTTATATAATGATGAATACATTTCCTTGATTCCTTGATACTGCGTTGGGAAGACAGAAAGTACTGAGACATGATTTAACACATTGTGGGTTTTGGTCTTTTCGTAGGATTTATTGATCATAAGAAAACTATAGAACCACCAAACTCATTCTTTTTTTCTACAGCTCCTACAGTACAGGTTGTGTGCTGTCCGAAACATCTACACAAAACAATATTAACCAACTGTACTGTGCAACAATAAATAAAAAAAAAAAAAAGATTGTTGACTGACTCGCTGGCTACCACAGAAGTTGACATAGCAACCAGTAAACCCTGGCATGCTTCATGAGAAATGTTAGTGTGGCTGCAAAGAGCAACGTGTGACTGTGAGGCTGAAAATAGTTGTTCCATGTCTCTGAACACCATTGTGCGCTAACTGGGTGTTCATAAGTGTCTTCAGTGTGTGCATGGGTGTGTAAATGGCAAACTTTTCATTAATCAATACACCAATCTACCTAAAGGTCACTTCATGGTTCCAAAACACACACACACACACACACACACACACACACACACACACACACACACACATAGATTCATATTACTGCATTGCAGATGTAACGTTAGTTTTAATTTGTTTTCACATTATCAATTGAAAATCTTCAAGGAGACTGTGCTTCACTTGAGTGTACACAGTTCAGGTGTGACCCAGTACAGTCTTGCGCAGGTACTTCAGTAGGAAAATGATATTGCCTCCCCGTTGTAGAAATGTGTCATTCATAAAAACACTAGAGTGCCCACACCCATGCACACCTCACAAAGGATTCAGCTTTCACTCAATCAATCGACCAGCTGTCCAGGCATTTCTACTGTGCTGTTTGTGTGTGTGTGTGTGCATTTGTGTGTGTGTTTCTTTAAGTGCTCCATTTGCACAATTAAGTATGTGTGTGTCTCTAAAAAAAAAATCCAAATGACACACTGTCTTCAAAGGACAGCTATTTTACATTTAAAACACTGGTATGGTATTCAGGAACAATATCTTCTCTACGGGTTAATAACGGTGACAAAAAGCTCTTGTTCTGCATTTATACACACACACACACACACACACACACACACACACACACACACACTGCAGAGGAGGTAACGAGCTGTGCTTTTTTGCTGAGTTTGACATGTCAAGAAAGGAAGGGAATTAGACCAGCTGCTGTGTGTGTATTTGTCTTTGTGTGTTTCCTCACCAGCAGTGATGGTATCCTTCTCTTTGGCATTGAATTCCTCCACCTCTGCTCTCCTGCGCAGCTCAAATCTGCGAGCGTGTCCTTCTCGGGGCTTCCACAGCTCCTGGAGCAACAGTGGCTTTTCGTTGTCTCCCAGCGCACGCAAGCATTCAGTTCGCCACCCCCCTCCTCCTATCCCACCTCCCCCCTCTAAGCGCCCGATCACGTCGCACAGGACGTAAGAGTGGGCGGCATTCTTGTTGAGAGAGTAACGCTCGAGTGCCTCTTTGACCAGTTCCTGCGCACTGGAGCGCGGCGTGGCCAGGACGCTCTTGTAGTTGGCACCAGCACAAATTTCATCTCCAAAAATCTTCAGGACCCCAGGGGCCGAGCTCTGCGTGGAGAGTTCAGCAGGGTCGTCCGCCGGTCGCTCTGGGGGTTCAGTCGTCGACCGCCGGTCCCCACGAGTGTTTGTTCCAGTTTCTACTGGGACACGGTCTCTGTAACTCAGAGTACGATACAGGACCTGGTGAACAGACAAACAATACTCGATGTACTGTAGGGCCACTTACACACACAAAGCATGCACAGCATATGTTTCTTGCATTATACATTAATGGTATTAAAGGGTCAGTTCACCAAAATCACAAAAAACATATGCCTCTAATGGTATCCAGCCATACAGATTGATTTGGTTTTATTTTACAAGGTTTAGAGATAGAGATGTTTTTCCTTTCCGATACCTAAACCTTGCAAACACACACATGTATATTATTTAAAAGCTGTATACTACTAACCCTGTATGACTGCTATGATTGTTGTTGAATGGCCTGGCTCAGGTTAAACATTTTGTTAAACATGAACAAATACATACAGAGAATTAACTATTTTATTATCTAGGTTGACAGTCAGCATTTCTGACATAGCTAGCTCTGGGTAACGTTACACTACCAGAAATCAACTCTACAGCACAATGCACATGACCCGTCCTACTCTGCCTGATTGGCTAGTACAGTATAGTACTCGTTGTCTTCGTTGGTTCAGGTTGGTTAGATTAGGGTGGGAATATAAGGGAAAGCCAATCAGAGTCAGGAGTAGGGCGGGTCATGACATCCTCATCCTGGGAAAGAAAGGCGAACAGGACGCAGCTGGGAAGTAGAATAAAATAACGTGGTGCTCAGATAGGTACAAGGCGATACTCAATTCCATATTTTAGGCAGTATCAGAGGCATTTCTGGTACTGGTATCGTAACAACTCTATTTAGAGATATACATCTTTGAGATTCCTGTCGCCATCCCAGTTTACGGGAAGGGAACAGAATTACAAAGTTACCATGCTGATGTTTTGCAGGAGTCATTTTTAACATGTTTGCCATCTTAGTTTGGTGTGTTAGAAGCTAATATTTGCTAATTATTACATGATTATGATGTTAGATCAAAGATAGTTTCGTGAAGTTCATCCTGAGAGGAACATGAATGTGTGTGTACCGGATTTTATAGAAATACATGCAATAATCATCAAAATGTCAACCTCATGGCGGCACTAAATTAATCCTATGGAGACCATGAATGTCTGTACAAAATACGATGCCAATAGACAATAGATCGACTGACCAGAATTTGTGGCTGTTGCATGGCTAAATATGGCAATATGGCAACAGTATCACTGTGTAATCAATTTCAATTAATCTGTAATTTTAAAAGTGCACAATATATGATACGATACGTTTAGGTATAGAGCACCGCCACTAAAAACTGTATTAATATTTGCTAGAGACAGTTTGTTTTCCTCATGTAATTTGACCTTTAACTAAGATAGTCTCTTGAGATTGAAAGAGTTTGGACCAAAATGGCAGACTGTGTGTACATTTGTGTGCGTACCTGTGTGAAGGTCCTGCTCTGTCGTTTCAGGCGGCTCTTGGATGGCAGGGACATACTGGCCCCGGAGGAAGAACCGTAGAACATGATGCTGCTGTTGGCTTCACAAACTCCACAACTGGTGAGCGAGGAAATTTTAGAAAACGCTTTATTTAAAGGATTTAAGGGTTTAAATATTTGCACACGCACTCATATGAAAAACTCCAGGCATTAAAAAGGTGATGATGAGCACACGGTTACATCTTACACTTACTTGTGGAACATTTGTAGATCTGGAAGGTAAAGAAAATCTAATCTAAAGTATCCATAAACAGACCATGATAAATAACAAATAACTGTGTGTGTGTGTGTGTGTGTGTGTGTGTGTGTGCGTGTGCTGGTACCTTGCTGCTGTTATGTATTGTCGCTCCTACGTGCCGCAGCACCAGATAAAGGTTTAAAGTTGAGGGACAGACGCTTTGCATTTCATTTCACGGTCACCTTTCACACTGAAAAAAAAAATTAAACATGATGATAACGTCAGTTGTTCAGGAGTTAACTTCACATCCTCTGGGAGTCAGATAATACTGCTGTGGCTTTTAGCTTTTTTTAATGATTTCTTGACAGAGGTAAGCTCTTTTCACACCAGAGTCGAAATTGCAAATCAACATTATCGGCTGCCAAAGACATCTTTTGACTTGTTCTGAGCTTAGACAGTGTACCGCTCCAATCAAGTCTAAACTGTGTTAGTGTGTGTGTGTGTGTCTGCAGCGGATACTGACACACACTGACCTTTGACTTTAGACTTTGAGTTCACTGGATGCATTTAAGCACAGGACTTCTATGTTGGTTGATTGTTACCAACAATGTGAAATATTCCATTTATACCCAGTATTTAATGTACACAACAAGACTGGCTCATTTTAAATTCCCTTAGAAAATATATTCCATTTTTTTTAAAAGGCACAAATTTGATTTTTCTTTCAGCAAAGTAACGACTTCTTTCTGTTTTATTTTTCTGACTAATCAATTTATTATTATGTTTGTAAAAAGGCAGAAAGTAGCTGCACATCAGAAGTCCCCAGAGCCCAAGGTGACTTATTCAGATTGTTTGTTTTTGTCTGATTAACAATTCAAAACTATCAAATTTTCCCCAATTATCACATTTTATGTTGATAAATGACTTTAATCATTAATTGCCTATTTAACGCCTGTCAATCCGCTAATTAATTACTCATTTAAGCTCTGATATTGGATATTTTTGTGTGTTTCTTTGTATACTAACACCAGCTTTGTTGTTAAAAATATAATACTTAAATTGATGCAACTGCTTCAATAAAGCATTAAATGAAAACCGATACAAACACTATGTCCCTGCCTGCATCCAGGTCATGCATTTTATCTCAATAAACAGGCCGTGTCCCTGCAGAAGGTGAGTCACGCTTCACTCTTTGGCTTTGGATGAACCCTTTTGACCGATGGAGACCTTTTCATGCAGGTTACATCCGGAACCAAGTGGACATTTTGCAGCCAGAGCAGCAGCAGCAGCAGCATCGGATCTGTCAGCAGATGAAAGCGCCTCATGCAGTTTCTTGTTTTGATTGCAACTTGTGCATTTATCCACTTACACACAGGATATAATGTCTTCTTTTTACAGCAAATATTTGGCAGGCGGCCTAAAAGGTGTTGTTGGAGCTGACTCTGCAGGCACTGGTGGGATAACGTGACTATTTTAAATGCCTGCTAATCCACAGTAATCTGGCTACTTGGCCGCAGTTAACTCAATCCTGGGGCCAACAAACCCCCCTTGCGTACACACACACACACACACACACACACACACACACACGAAGCAAGAGGCCTACATTTTGCATTTGGTAGGTTGTGTTTTGTGACCCAGGGAGGTAGTGTTACATTTGGTAGTCATGTCACACACACGGCAACTTCTCCAAGCACCTTTTTTTGAGTTGCTGTCTGTCCTTGTCAAGACAAGGAGAAGGTCAGCAATAAAAGACCGCGTTGAGGGAAAACTTGACACCCATAACAGACTGCATAATATCGGACATAACTTGTGACTGCGAATGGGAGGAGGAGGAGGAGGAGGAAGAGGAGGGGGTCTGCCCTTTATTTGGTGTCCGTCCGTCTGTTTACGACTTCGGGCTCAGTGGTCGTCAGTAGCAACCGCCGTAGCAACAAAAGGCAGGAGAAAATCCTCAGAAATTAATCCGCTGATGAGTCGTCAGGCGCGGCACTAAAAGCTGACAGCCCGGCCTCTAACGGTCCGCAGGTGTGTCTAATGACCGCACACACACACACACACATACACATAATCAATCAATTAGCGTAAACACTGTTCCGACACGTGAACAAACACTCAACAACAATGCAAATAAAATAGCATGTTTTTTTCTGTTTCTAACTACGAGGGTGGTGAAAGCTGTGGCGCGTCTTGCCCGTGAATAAAATAGATCCTGGAAAAGTTGAGGTGTGATTCCAGCAGTGACAAGCCCAGTCCCCCGAGGTCTCCTGGGTGTCTGTTGCGTTAGTACTCACGCTGCCTGCAATGCGTGGCTCCATAGTGCTGGGGAATCCTTCTTCTCCTCTCATTCCGTCTCCCTTACAAAATAGAAAATCCCCGGAAAAATATGGGGGGTGGGAAGAAAAGGAAAAAAAAACCCAGCTGCCCTGTTCCGAACGACACCCAGCCTGTCCGGGGTTCATACCCACATCACCCCCTCCAAAAAAAACCAGTCCCGTTAAGTTGGACGACAGCCAACCGCTGAGGGCTCCGGTTTCTGTGCGCACATCTCCGCCGAGTGTCCAGCAATGCCCGCTGCCTCCGGCAGCCGCATTCCCACATCCACAGCGGTTCAGTGCCGAGCCGCGACGGAAACACCCGAGCTGCCTCACCTCGGCGCACCTGCTCTGGCACCCGAGCGCACGGAGACGGCTCCGCCTGGCGGACACCGGCGGTACGAGCGCAACGTGGAGGCGGAGGCATGATGAGGATAAAGATGGTTCAATATTAAATACAAATTATTATATAAATAACCATGTGAATAAATACAATATATATTATAACCGGTAATGACATTGTGAAATAATCCAATCAGCTTCATTATTATAAAATGTTAATTCATCTTGCATATTGTCATAGCTGAGATTATTACAGGTTATTTTCATTTATTTATTTCAAAATAAATTCATAATAATGAATGAATGAACGAACTGAATTTTAAAAACGTATTGCATATTGCCTTTATAGCCTATATTATGTCAGTATTTATTCACATGATTGCTTTTTTATAATGTCTCATTTAAACATAAAATGTTGAACACTTTGAATCTCCATAGTGGTCGAGAAAAGTTTGGGGTCTCCAATTAGATTTCATGGATAAACCTAATCCGGTTGCTGAGTGTGTGGAAAGAAATGTTAAATAACTTGAAGTCTATTCCTTATTGTAGTCCCTTTGTTTGCTTATTATTTTGATTCTCATTATTTTAAACGAAAGAACATTTTCGAAAGTTTTCTGAAAAACAAAAGGGGGGAAAAAACAGCAACTTCTGATGTGTCCAGATCTCAGTATGTTTGTTTCATCAGTACTATGAAATTTCAACAATGAAATTTGCAAACTGCAGCAGAATATATAAATATTTTTCCTCTCTGTCAAGGAAGTCAACATAAATATCTGTGATGGATCCATCATGGACAGATGTAAAAAAAATAATAAAAAATAAATAAATCTGATTATTATAATTATTTTGAGGAAATAGTGTAATGTTATGAAGAAAAAAACTAAATTTTCTTAACTTTGTTGACATTATACTACGTCAAATGTTACATCGTCTCTCTTCACTGGGACGAAATTTGGTTCACAGGACAGAGCCTGTCTCTCTTTATAATTCATAATTAGCTTTTCATTTTGTTTATTGTTCATATTATTTTCAGTACTATTACTATTAGTACTAGTACTGTTGTTTACCTAACCCCTTCTCAAATGTGAGGTATGTGATCCTGTGAATAAACTATGAATAAAGTCTTTCTGCTTGATTTACTTCAGTATCTTTGACATGAAAGTTTAGTTAAATAAAAATAAGCTGAAAAACGGTTAAAACACTAATCTTAAATACAAAGCCAAAGTATAATACAGATACATCTGCAGATTGTACTGGATTATACAGTACATATAATAAAGTCCAAATATATCTTTATATTCCATTGTATAGCAAAAACTATATTACACACTGCTGCAGTTTTACCTTCAACAGCCACTGTAGACAAACAATTGTTTTTCCAAAGAGGTGAAATATTATAAAATGAGTCCAGGAATATACTGCATGAAAAAACTTTTTTTTATTACAAGAGAAATAGAAAAGATAAAAGCATTGTTGGCATCATATAGGCTTATCACAGCACAAAAGCACCACAGACACAATAACCCAATATGAAAACTAGAGAGAAAGAAATTATGAGACAATATAATCAGTCTCATACGACCAGAAAGAAAACACCAGCAGCACTGAGAACAGAGTCAGCAGCTCCACAATCACAGAGCGTCTATAAACAATGTACAGAGGGTCCATGAAGGCTTCATGGAGAGTTTATAAAACTCTATACAAAGTCAGGTGGGCACTGTATGTCTGAAGGAAACATATATTATAAACAAGACAAGACAGACACACGTCAAATTCTCAAATATTTCATCTTATCGTTGCCAAACCAGCCTGAGGAGCGAGTCAAAATACTGGCTATGATAGGCTATAATTACCCCCGAGTACTCCAAACCAGAGAACGCGCAATCATTTGGTGTTTCTCAGAGGTTCAAGTAAACACTTAAAGAGTACAAATACTAAAACATACTCTTAAATTTGAGAATATATCTGAATGAGAGTTTCATTCCACAAACTGAGATACCCACAGTGTGATAAATGCAATCCCCGGTCCCCTGTGACGATACATTTCCTTCCCTAATGACTAAAGAAAGAAAATGGTAAACGATGAAAAATAACAAATAAGATTTGTGTTAAATCCAGATGATTTTTTAACCCTGGTGTGTTTGTTGGTCAGAGGTCTCAAGTAATGAACACATTTGGTTGAGTTCTGGTGTTTTTTTTTGTCACTAGATGATTTTTTTTTAACCCTACAGTATAATGATGCATTCATGTGCTGGTTGGTAAGTTGTAAAGAATTTTTACTTACTGAGGACATGAAAGTGAATGCGAGACCCCTTGTTCAGGGCCTGTTAGGCTGCAAAGGAAACTACACAGCTGTGCCTTTGTTAAAATTGTGCAGCTCTGATCTGTAATAGTTGAATAACATTATTTGTCACCTCTACTGAAAATATTATGCTATCAGTCCCCTCTCTTCATCTCATTGTGTTTGTCTGCTTAGCAGGATATCTGTTGAAAAGAAGTGTAAAGTTGGAAGGAACAAGAGATTAATTTTTGGTGTGGATCCACTAATAACCTCCTAACATTGTAAGATAAAGAAAGTTTTGCCCTCCTCATTTTCTCTACAACTACTGAGCCTACTTGAATGAAAAAAACATTGGCACATTCATCTCATGAGTGTTTATCACAGTGTATTTTCATGCAAATCTAAATGCAAATTTTGTGGATTTTAAAGCAAAGGTATGCTTTCTAGTTCCTTTTTATAACCTAAACATATCTGCTGCTGTAATATCTATAGTGGCTGTATGCTTTAAAGCTTTCTCTTCTCCTGTTTGGTCACTGTATAAATATTACCCATATGTAAAGCTTGCAGAAAAACTGTTGGGACTACTGCCCTGCTTGGGGATGTGAGTAAGCAAGCTGTATGGAGTGGTGCCAGCATTAAAGAAAGCAGAGTCACAGCTATTTGATCATTTTTGTCGCTGCAGACAGCACCCAAACAACCAGAGCAGCTTTAGTGGTCCTTGAATGTGGCTTCATAGGCTTTTTAAGCCCAAATGATCCAAATCCTGAGACACAGACAGCAGTGAAAACAGGTTGAACAGGAGCAGATGTTTAAAAAATGTATCTTTTGCACCTATGAATACTAGCCAGTATGACCTGTTGCTCCTCATTTATCCTACTATACGAGCGTGTCCAATAAACTGTGTGCCACCACATACAGCTTAACACTAAGAGTACAGATATATTCCAAATATACTTTTTTTGTTGTGTTCAAGGTACATGCGTTCACGTGTAAACATAGACTCAGCCGATTAGAGGCTTTGGATTCATGGGAGTCAGATAGTATCGGAAACACAAACAAACACACACACAAGCATACATACACACACACACACAAGCATAAACACATACACACATGCACACACACACCTGAGATGCCTTAATATTGGGCCAGATTGTTCAACAATACTATAGCTTCAGTTTCCTTTCAAGTGTGAGATGTATATATGGTAGTAGTGTGCTATCAGTTACGGCAGTAAGTCTGGCAGTGCTGAATCAGACAGTGGTTTTCCCTTCTGAGGTTCAACCATGTAACTTTGACAAACTCCATCAAATGAGTCCCATTAATTAGGTTGTAGATGATGAAGATAATCAGCTGACACTGTAAGTACATTATTAGAAAATATAGATGAAATCAACATATACTGTACGTCATTGATAAATATATACTGTATAAATTGTACTGATGACATCTTTACTTACTAAACCTAATCAACAACAGTAAACTATTAGAATTCAGTACTTATGCTTGATAATCTACCGTGTAGAGCCTGGTAAATGTGGAAGCACACAAGTAAATTCTCCAAGACTAAAACCATCATTATCTGTATGTTCAACATAAAAAAATATCATCCTACAGTCATGCTTAATTTGTAAATCACAGTAAATCACTGACTGAAGCAACCGCTGTTAAACCATATAGTGTCCTACAGTGTAGATAGCACAACTAATAACAATAACAGTAATAATACTATCTAACGCTCTGAATTGGAATAGTAAATTACTGATGTTGCAACCTCCTAAATGTAATCAAACACCTTCTGTTAATGACGATAATAACACTTTAAATAATGTCCTTAAACTAATTATGATAGTCAAGTCAGCTAATTGTAAACATTGTCCTCCTCTTGACAATAAGACAATGCCTTCAATTCAGCTTCTGAACACTGAATCTGGTCGTGCACCACGTAGAGAGAGAAATCTCCGAGAATAGTAATTTAACCCCTGATCATTGGAATGAAACCAAAATTCCTGAAAAATAACATGAACTAAACTGGACTAGTAAAAAAAAAAAAACTGTGTCCCAATTCACAGGCTGCCTCCTTTGAACACTCAACAGGTCGATAGGTTGTACCAGTGCAAGGTCTCCTCCAAATGCAGATGTTTTTTACACCTTTTGGCAAAACACCGGTGTGTTATTTCTCGTATCCTCTACAGTTATCCTACAATCTACATTAATCGCTTAATGGTGTGTCCTCGTCGACTCATAAAGTCAGGAAATAAGTTAAGTATGAAGTTATATGGATACATTTACTGTTACTTTAGTACACTGTTTGCAGTTTGCAGTTTTCAGTTACTGTGTTTTTTATTTCCATGTGAGCAGCTGAGTGAAATATTTCAACGGTTTTTGTGTGGATTGCCATGAAATTCAGGTTAAGATACCCATGGTGGCCAGAGGATGAATCCTAATGACTTTGGTAATTCCCTGACTTTTCCTCTTGGGCCACCAAAGTTTTTACTTTTTGCACAAAACTCCACAACTACTGGATAGATTTCCATAAAATTAGGTCACTATAGACATTAATTTTCTCCTCAGGATGAATTGTAACTTTGATGATCCTCTGCTAGACTAATGATATTTCCATCACTTTTTGTGTTTAGTGCTAATCAACATTATACCATCTAAACATCAGCATGTTAGCATTTTCACTATGAGGAGGTGAGCATGCTGACATTAGCATTTAGCTCAGCCGATCACATATAAAAGATGGACGACATGATTGCTCCCCAAAAGTGAAGCCAAAACATCTGGCTTGCCCCTGGTGGCTGGTTGCAGTGTAGGTCATAGACCCCTCCATGTTAGCAGATGGGAGTACACGTCAAATAAATGTTTTTCCAAAGATGGTTTCTGTAATTTTAGGTAGTGATGTATGTTCATAAGTTTGGTTCTAATTCATTATTTGAAGCTATAAAAAAGGGGTTTCAAGTCATGATTGACAGCTGAGCCCTGCTTTCAGTGGAGTCAGCTGGCTTCATTTTTGTACAGAGGCAGGAAGTAGAGACTCAACATCCATCTTTTATATGTTGATGGTACTGCCTCATCAATCTGCTAGCATGACTGTGAACTCTTAGTCTTGTTACAACTTTGCCGGCCGATTGAGTGCAACTTCCCGGTGATGAACATGGATTTGTTTGACTTTACGGGTTAAGGAGGATCTCCTGAATGCACCACTGGTTTCTGTTTCTGTGAGGCTACAACATCTTATTTGGGGAAGAGGTTCAGCCTACAAAGGAGACAGCCCCTGAATTTGGACAGAGCTCACATCACCCCCTTGAAGTTGCTCAAACACAGGAGCTACTTCTTGTGAGGTCAGTGCTGATGTCATCTGGAGGTCTGGACCTGATTGGGTGGCTGGGCATAGAGGTACTTCCAGATGGCGTAGTAGTGTATGGCTGCTCCCATAGCTACAAACAGGTGCCAAATGGCATGCGCGAATGGTACAATGCCATCACTTTTGAAGAAGACCATCCCCAGACAGTAGCAGGCTCCGCCCACAAGCAGCTCACACAATCCTGACTGCTCCGGCTGGGAAGAAGCAGAAGTTTTCATCATGTTAAAGTTTTAATGACATTACTAGGAAGGAAATGACAAAACCTCAAAGACTAAAGGTGAGACTAAACGAGTGTGCTCACCATTGAGAGGATCACCAAGGCAGGAAAAACTCCCATGACCGTGTAGCAGATCAACTCCATGATCTTATACCTGATACAGAGGGGAACATGGAAGATTATTTTTTTAAACTTGGGACAAAATAATGTCACAACAAACAGTCCACAGTGATTTTTCTGAGTTTCCTTCCAGGGGAGACTCTCTAGAAGTTCTGACAGCCCAACCATATTGTTAGCTTTGTCCATCCTTGTTTAATGTTGAGGTCTGATGCCGCACTGCCAACTTTTTACACGTGTATCAGCGTGGATGCTGACCTCAGTGAGCAGAGTCAGCCAAATGCCACCGGGTCACATGAAATACAGTTTTAAGTTTGTGCACGTGATAAATTAACATGTGCAAACATACCACTGATACTTCACCACTTCTTGTATTTACTTCAAAATAAATGCATTTTAATGTGAAGGCAGTGAGCGGCCTTTACTGTGAAACTCTAAGTGTTAACAATGACTTTTGCAGGCAGCTACAACTACAAAGCGGGCTGTACAGCTGCTGGTCGAAGCTAAAAAAAAGGACACTGGTATTAGATCAGTACTAAGTATTGGCTATTTGACGGAGAAAAACTCGGACTAGTACATCTCTACACCTGAGCCAGCTCCATTCACCAACGTAGATCATGGGAGGCAGTTGTAAGTTTGGAAAAAGCTTGTAAGCGGACCTTTGAGTTGAGATTATTTTGTCACACTGGAGGAACAGATTAAAATGCACAAATGTAAGTAAATGAACTGACCTCTCATGGAAGAAGAACACGTAGGTGGTTCCAAAAGAGGCCATGACCCACACCAACCAGCGCATGTGACACGCCCAGGGACCCAGCTCCCGCAGGTTCAGCCTGGTGGAGTATGAACAGGAACAAATAACTACAAACACTGTATATACACACTCCTTATACATATATAGATACACACACACACACACACACACACACACACACACACACACACACACACACACACACACACACACACACACACACACAATAGCAGGCTAGTTTGTTTACCACGGGGCGTAGGAGGCAGCAATGAAGAAATAGATCACCATCCTGTCACACATGTGGAAACAGTGCTCCACAGACCTGAAGAGAGAGACCAAACAGCCTCAAGACAACTGAGTGACACTGTTTATACATGTAGCATCAGTGTGTTTTAGATCACAAAAACAAATCTGGAGTGTGGGGATACATACTATTTGTTCCAGTGTGAATGTGTGAGAGGACGTAAAAAGGGACCATGCAGTCTTCTTACATCCTTTAACCATATTCATCATCTGCAACGTTACAATCCAAATATTCTGTTGTGCCTGTGTGTTTGTGTTTGTGCGTACCGTAAGTGGCTCTTCTTCCAGGCCACAGTGTGGAATAGGGTGGAGATGATGAAGAGCGAGCTGAGCCCCGCCCCGTACACCCAGGCCGACAGTCGCTCCCATTGGTCCTCCGACTGGAAGTGCAACATTGAGCTGCCCAGCAGGCTGGGGATTATCCATAACTAAATGAATTCATAACATAAATGAAACATGAGATACACGCAGGCAAACATGCAGGATAAACTGAAATCTAGTGCAAGACGTAGGTGTAGTTTAAAAAAAAAAAAAAAAATGTGTAGGTGTCTTTCATTTATCCGTTATGTTACACTGCTGGATTTTTTTCCCCCAGTTTTCACTGAGTGTGTCATTTCATCTGTGTGTTGCTCATGTTATTGATCACTTTCTGTGGTCCGCGTGTGTGAGTGTGTGTGTGCATTCACCGCATGCGTGGCACAGTTGGCAGCATGCTCATATTCTGTGGGCTGGTATCTCTTGTTAGGAGGAACACGGTTGTTCATAAACCTGGAATAATCACAAATGAGCAGATTTAAATTTATATATATATTTCAATGAATTTTTTCTTATATAAACTAAAATCTGCAGTTAGTTTTGGCTCCATGCAACAATGAGACGTACTGTGCACACTAGGAGAGATGGAAATAATACAAATTAGAATAAAAAGCAACAGTATTATTGATTTCTCTCCTCGAAAGCAGCATTTGTGGGAATCATAAGCGTATTTTGTTTCGATTTTTAAAATATTTTTTCATCTTAATGTTCTAAAACCATGTGGAACATTTTCAATATTTGTATCCACTCGTATCTCAACGCTGCTCGTAAAATTTCACCCCATCCTGTCCCTTTGCTTAGCAACGCTGGATCATGCTTCAACTTGTTGCCATGACTGCTGTTGCCTGGCAACAGCGGGTAACCACGGACCGACTGAACCAGAGGTTTGTCCTGATGATCTCTTTCATAAACAATTCACATGTGCATATATGCCTGTATACTCACACACACACACACACACACACACACACACACACACACACACACACACACACACTTAAACTCAAATCTATGCTTTTGAACATTTTCACAGAAACACAAACAAACAGCTCAGGAGGTAGCACTCCATCAGTGATGTCACTGTCGTCATGGAAACCACCGAAGAGGGATTGTCTTCTTTTTTAATTTTTTTTCCACACCAGAAAACTCCTCGTTTTCTTTCATCTTTCTTTCCTCATCTCTTCCATCTCCCTCTCCTGCTCCGAGACCATGACTCCTCTCTGCATTTCCGATGATTAAATTAACATGCAGGAAAGCAAATGGACAAACACATCCATGTGAACACACAAAACACACACACACACACACACACACACACACACACACACACACACAAACCACAACCCCTCCCTGTTTATATACTGCATCTTGCAGAGCAAGATTTCATAAGAGACCTAGATTTAGTGATGTCTCTTTCTCTCACTCACACACACACACACACACACACACACACACACGCACATACGCACACACACAGACACACACACACACACGCACACACACACACACACACACACACACACACACACGCACACACACATTGTTCTAAGATTGGAAGGACTCAAAACCAGAAAGCGGCCGCCATCAAAGGGAATACCACTCAAATAAAAAATTCATATATATGAATTTTTGTGCATAGGACAATCAAGTCATTCTTTCAAACCTTAAGATGTTTCAGCCCAAAGGTAGAATCCAGTCAGATATATTGAGCTGTGCATTTATGTGTCATCTGCAAAGGGAACAAGAGAAGCCTACAGAACGTTTTCAGTCCAAGTGGAGTGATATTACCCTTAAAACTGTCCATCTTATATCACTGTGTTGTTGTGCAACAGTGTGCAACAGTAGAACATGATGTTTTCCTCCCACACGTCAGCTCATACCTTTTTAAATATGACACTCCTGATCCTTCTACAGAGATACTGAGGGGGATAAACCAAAGTAGCGGCAATAGAAGACTCAAAATCCACCTCATGTAATGACAATCACAGAAAAAATTAATCTTTAACAAACATGCCTCATCTTTTCTTTTCACTATCTCCTACACTGAGTGCCTGTTCCTTAAGCAGCTGTTTTTAGAGTGACACTCATTCAGAGTTATTAATACTAACTGACACAACCCAGAAACACACCGTCCTGTCCCATATAAAAAGACTTCCTCACCCTGTATCCAACTGGCCTTATCTCACTGACTCTCTCTGTGTGTGCGTGTGTGTGTGTGTGTGTGTGTGTGTCAGCGCCAGGCCCAGCAGGCTTGGCCGGGTCATTAATGACTTTATCAAGCTGGCTGATAATTACCAGGCCAGAGGCCAGGCAGAGAGACACACTAACTGGACAGAGCAGAGCTGTGGAAACATCATGATAACTCTTCTCATACGACAGCAGGACGGACAGAAGGAACGCTCTCTGCTTCGGCTGTCTCACTGAACCATGAAGACCACAACCTCTGTCCACTTAATGCTGAACATTAAATTAATATTAGGCTACAGCAAATATTTTTGGTCAATTAAGTGTTGCTCTTTGTGCAAATACATCAAGTATATACAGCAATAAAAGGAAGGAAATGTTTAAAAATGTGTTAAATAATTGATCTATTGATGGAAATTTAATCTGCAACAATTTTGATCATTTATCAAACAAGCATACCAAATCTTCTCTGGATCCAGCCTCTTAATCTCTTTGTTTTAACACTGTAAATTAAATATATTTGGGTTTTAGACAGTGGTTCAGACAAAACAAGCAAGCTGAAGATGTCACCTTGTGCTCTGGGACATTGTGGGCGGGTCATTTTTCCACTATCTGATCTTTTAAAGACTGAAAAATGAATTTATTAAAATCGATACTGAAAATGTAGTAGCCCAATATTCTAAAATGATAGGGCAGTAAAAATTATTATTATCATTATTGATTAATACGTAAATTATGTTGTTCGACTAATTGTTCCACATAACAAAGACAACTAAATATTCAATTTAAAATTATATAAAATACAAAAAAAGCAACAATTCTTAACATTTGAAAAGCTTGAACTGGAGAATATTTACAATTTGTCTTACAACTGTAATAATTAATCAATTATCAAAACAGTCCTCTGCCCAAACAAAGCAAGAATTTTCATATTTTGTAGAAAAATAATAAACAGATAAAATATGAATGCTTTGTTCTCACATCATATTCAATAAAACCTCAATGTGAAAATTTGCCTACAGCCTTAAAGCATCACGTTAAACACACATGAAAATCTGTTTTTATGTATAAGCTGAAGGTGATTTTGCTAATGGTGAACAGAAAACATTTGCGTTTGTAAAAATGTTGATAATTGATTGTTTCAGTGCTTTTTAAAGCAAAAATACCCAAATAATATGCTGGTTCCAGCCTCCCAGATATGGATTAACTGCTTTGCTCTGTTTTATATCAGTGCACATTAAATCTCTTTGGGCTTTTGGACTGTCGGAAAAACCTTTAAAGGGTGTCACCCTGAGCTCTGGGAACTTGTGACGGACATTACGTGCTAGTTTCTGACATTTTACAGAGCAGACGATCAGCACATAAACTGGCAATGAAAATAATTGTGAGTTTCAGCCCCAGTCTGCTCTGTTTGACCTCTTCCTGCTGTGAAACCATCCATACACCCCCTCCTCCACCAAGACAGCCTGGACCCAGACCCAGTGGGATTTCATGTGTAAATATAAGTCGAAAGGAGGATGTGTGTTTGTGTGGCCTATTGTGTGTTTCAAGAAAGACTGTGCACACAGAAAAGACAGCAAGATGATGTTGAAGAGGAGGAGGAGGAGGAGGAGGAGGAGGAAAAGGAAGTGGCAGGTGTGTGTTTTATTAATAATAATAATGCTTGTCAAGCAAACAACCACCTGGGTACAAGATTATAACATCATAAGATATGTTTAAATGTAAATGTTGACTTTTTTTTTTTTTTAACAGCTCATTCCCAAACCCTTCCATTATCCTCAGCATCCTCCTCCTCCTCCTCCTCATCATCATCATTAAAATCACTGTCAAAGCAGCAATATGGTAAATACTTGTAGTTTACGAGCTTTGTTTTCTTCTCCTAAACTGCATTATCACACGATATGGATTCACCTACCTTACAAGATTCATTTACAGTGGAAATAAGCAACAGTTGACAGCAGACAGACAGTATGGCTAAAGCCTGGATCCCCTCTTTGAGTGTTGAGCGCACAGCCGCCGCGATCTTGATCGGTTCTGCTCAGGTTGTAACGGGCTGGGTCTAATGTAACGTAGAGAGCATCGCCGTTTCACCGGGGAAGACGTCGTCGTCTTATCCTCATCTCAAGCAGCACCGGGAGACGGATGCATCCCGACACAGCTGCCTCCAGAGGCTCCAGTCCGGAAGTGTGGGCGTCGGGGATGGTCTCTGAGGGGGCAGCCGCTTTTCTTTTCCTGCACGGTGGTGATGGTGTTGATGTTGGTGGTCTCTCCCTCTCTCTCTCCCTCTCTCTCTCTCTCTCTCTCTCTCTCTCTGCTGGAGCTCCGGCCGCCGGTTCACCTCATCACGACTCGGTGAGGAGGGTTGTTTTTCATCACTGAAGGCTGCCACATCATTTTCTGAAGGACTGAATCATGGCTGTGGAAATGTGTGCCGATTGGTTCCTGTGTGTGCAGTTCCCTGGTGCTACCTGTAGGTGGAGCTGCATGCGTTGAGTTGGAGGCTGCTTGATGATATAATATACGCAGGGGCGGATCTAGAGAAATATTCATGGGGGGCAATAGGGTTGCATGGAGACTTTATGGGGTTTGATTTAATCGCAAACTACCATATATCAATATTTGCTTGGAAAACCCCCCAAATGAAGATATTTAACTAAAAAAAATTACATTCTTGTGGCACATTAGTCAAAGCATTGGATACACATATCAGCATCAGATCAATTAATTGTTATATTTTGAAATCTGAAGACATTTTTCCAAATATATTTTTTCACTGAATGTTACTTAAAGGTCCAGTGTGTAACATTCAGGAGGATCTACTGGCAGAAATTGAATATAGTATTTCTAGGTGTGTTTTCATTAGTGTATAATCAACTGGGGGAAAAAAAAAAAATTGACATTTTTATCTACAGACACCACATGTAGCCTTCTGTGGAGGCTGCCATGTTGCTCGGACAAACCAAACACTGGCTCTAGATAGGGTCGTGCATGTTTTATGGCCAGTGTAGTTCCTCTCTAGCGCTTGGAAAGGGAGGGTAAAGCAAGTTGAGTTGCTTGTTAAAAAATATAAAAAAAAATTCCTCATCTTGATAAAACCTCCAGATTTCCAAAAACAATAATATATGGCCTTTAGTGTATTTTACAAAACACACACACACACACACACAGAGCTGTACTGAACCAATCATTTATTAAATGCATATTATGACCAGCATAAGCTCTTTACAAATACTGTAGCCTTTCATCATGATTAATATAAAATTCCTGCTTTAAGCATTCAGGTCAGACTGAGCTCTCTGTGATTATACTAATCTAACTCATTAAGTACCATTTGCAGACCTGTGGTCAGTCCCTCTGTATACAGTGTTGAGTTTTAACAAGCTCAGCAAAGAGCTTCAGAGGGATTACAAACACCGTTTGACCCAAGTCTGATCGTTTAACTTGTATATAAAAAATACCTGATTAAAATAGAGCCAAGAAGCTTTGTGTAATAAGGCAGCAGTTTTCTTCAGAAGATCTCCAGAAGCTAATATACTTTGTGCAGGGTAATGTAAACTTCAGTTCAGACTATCTTCAGGTTCTTCATCTCAGACTCCAGAGTCTGAAAAAAAAAAAAAGAGTGTTAAATATTCAACAATCATGTCTGGGAAAACATCATGTGAACAGGATGTAACACAAATAAATATTTTGATCACATCAGTGTAGCTTGTTTAATCTGTGCAATGTGTGTGTGTGTGTGTGTGTGTGTGTACCTTGACATCCCAGATTCCCATTCCTCCATCCATGCCGGTGGTGCAGAACTTGGTGCACTGGTTTCTTCCTCCTTCCAGCACTGATATTTCACTGAAATATTGTTTGAGACAAGTCAAACTCTGTGCACAAGCATGTGATGTTGCAATAAAAAGATACCTGGTTTAACAGAGATTTAAACTTAGAAATATACAGCTAATTCAAAATACAACAGTGGTTAAAAGCTGATTTACAATCCAGACTGAAAACGTGTATTTGCTTCTTCTGACCTGATGCTGTTCTTGTGCAGGGTGTTCAGGTCCTTTTCGGTGCTCTGGGTCTCTGAGGCTCGACGATCCAGGTTCTGGAAACGTTCCCTGGCACTGATACCCTTCTGGGCCGTCTGCTTGGGAACGTCCAGCTTGCCACCAAATGTCAAGCTGGCTTTGGCGCCGTCATACACAAACAGCACCGGGTAACAGTCATGGCCCTGGAGAACAGAGACACATAAGGGTGCAGTCAGGAATATACTGTACATGAATATAATATCAATATGGTAAAATGTGACTAGATATCGGTTGCCGACGCAAACACGTGAAAGAATCTTTCAAATTATTTTCATGGCATATGTTTGTCCCATTTGTCACAATAGCTTTTTGTAATACTACTACTGGGAGGCACCAAAGTCAAAAAGTTAAAGCCATACACATAGTGGCTTTAAAGCGAGAATATGCATCTTTTAAAAGAGGAAATAACATATTCTTCCTTTTACAAATGACACATTTTATTAAATTCAAGTTTTAATTTATTGCTACTGGCTTACTTGGTCGGGTATGACCAGTAGCTTCTGGTGGTTTATATTAGCTAGACTTAGTGAGCTAACTTTACCACTTTGGTTACTGATACACTACATTTTAGCATGTAACAGATGCTTTAATGTGCCCTAATGATGATGAGTTTCAGCATTTTTGCCTTTATTTGATAGTATACAGTAAATTAGCTGACAGAAAATGAGGGGCAGAGCAACAAATGTCCCCAGATGGAGTCAATCCCAGTATATTGTGATTGCATGGACGGTGTCTTAAAGGTCCAGTGTGTAACATTTAGGAGGATCTGTTGGATGAAATGTAATATAATATTCATAGGTATGTTTTCATTAGTGTATAAACACCAGAAAATAAGAATTGTTGTCTAAAAGAATAAGTCTGAACATAGTTGAGTGAAATAAAAATGAATGTCTACCTTGCTTTCTTATTTTTTAGACCACATAACCCACCCACTCAATTATATTAAATATCAAACATTTTGTTGCATTAAAGATATGAGGACAGAAATATTGGGTTATATGATCTAGTCTGTAAAAAAAAAGATAACTTGGCAACACAAACTGATTTTCTGAATGAGTCAGGGTTTAGATGAAGGCTCGGTGCTGAAATGTGTTGGTTGCATAAAGAGCAGACTCCTCCAAATAGTCAGTTAGTATTGCAGTCTTTTTTAAAAAATCTGGCTCCCTTGTTGAGTGAATTTCAGTGAGTCAGACACACATACTAAGTAAACACAAATAAACAAAACTAGTTAATTAACAACTGAACTTCTTGAGATATGTATCGAATACTCACAGCTGCTACTAAGCTGTTCTCAGTGATGAAGGTGACACACAGCAGAGGAAGTGTTTCAGAGCTCAGACTGTTCACCCTGTGGAGTCATAACAAAGGTTAGAGTGCACACACACACACACTCACACACACAAAGGTATGCTGCCCCGCCCTCTCTTACGTGCCAGTCTTGCCTCCCTCTGCGACAGAGACAGTGGAGTCATGGGAGGTCCAGGCCAGGCGGTTGCCAGAGTGTGAGAAGCACACGCTGTGCACCCACCCACCGCCTCCAGCTGAAGCTGGACCTGCAGCTCCAGAGCCTCCGGACTCGAACAACATCTCCCCGAACGGCATCTTGCTGCCCCAGGGAGTCGGGCCGGGCTTCTCCTCCACCTCCTTAATATAGGCTGAGAACACCCTGGCGGCGAGAGGGGTCAGGATGTGAATGTGAAGACACAAGAGAGAAGGAGGCAAAGAGGACAACAACAACAGGCTGATTTGTACTGGGCGGTCCAGATACTTTTTTATTTATAATTCATGTCTTTATCCTGTGCTCTTGTTTTGTTCTTTAATCAGATAAATGCATGAACATTTTTATAGTATACTTTTCAGAACGTGGTCATTTTTAACTCTATATTTGAACCAGATGAAGGATTGCCTGGACCTAAAGTTATCAGAGAAACAAGCTACACATGTTTGACTCTTCACTGATTCACTGTTACCTGCATTTGAAGTCACAGGATCCAGCAGCCAGGAGGACATTGTTGGGATGCCAGTCCAGACTGAGGATGGTGGAGCGGATTGGCTTCTTGATGTGCTTGCACACCCACCTATTGGAAACAACACAGTGTGCTAAAATCTCCACATGTATGGTTCATAGCATCAGGGGTAGGAAGATATCCACTAAAACCTCACCAGTCATTTTCCTGCTCAAAGTAGCAGATGGAGATGAGGCGTGAGCCGCTGCCTACAGCAAACTTGTTCTCTCTTGGCGACCACTTCACACAGCGGGCAGCGCGGTTGATTCTGAGGATGACCAGGGTGGGTTTCCATGTGCCCTCTTTTAGGGTCCACACATAGGCGTTACGGTCCGCACCGCAAGTAACTATACGGTTACTGTCTGGAGCCCAGTCAATACCTGCAGGAGAAAGAAACTATTATTGAAATTTTTATCTGTGTGCACAATTTATAGACATGATATATTTAAAGGAATAGTACAACATTTTGGGAAATACACTTACTACGAGTAAATGAGAAGTTCATGAGAAGATTCATAAAACTCTTTACATTACATGGCATTTTTGTCCAAAGTGATTTAGAACAAGTTCATTCAACTCAACTCAGAGTCAGATGTCATCAAAAATTGGAAGTTCAAGCACAAACACACACATAAATACTGTGGCAGCTAAATTCACAGTCCAGTTCCAGCTTTAAACATTTTGAAGGTCAAAATAAAGCAACAGAAAGGCAAATGAGACATTCACCAATGGGACTGACACTTTTTAACATTTGAAGCTAACCAGCTGCTGTCTCCTGTTAGTCTATCGTACAGACGTCACAGCCAGTGGCATCGATATTCTCATCTAACTCGATAAAAAGACAAATAAATGTATTTCCCAAAATGTTGGACTATGCCTCTATCTATCCTCTGCTTTGTTTATTAGACACCTCTTGAAAAGGACAGCTAGAATCTTTAAAGACGTATAGATTTTGCGACCAGGAAATCAGCTGCCATCACCATAAATCACCGTGTCAGTGAGTGTGTGTCTATGTCTCACCTGTCACCTGCCCATTGTGCTCCTTCAGCTCATGGATCTTGGTCCACTTGGTCCCATCTTTCTTGTAGATGTGGACCTCATGGTTGTTGGGGCACAGGGCGATCTCTGAAGCACAAAAACCAATTAAAGGACACTGTGCATCAGCAGAGAAAGCACTGTAAGCAAATCAGGGAAACATATAAATGGGAAGTTTATCAGTGTGAGGACAAAGTACAGTGAGTGATTAACAGGAGAAGTTAATGGCGGGCTGGTCAGCGAAGTGGAACGCAGAGCAGCTGACCGGGTGCATGAGGACAGAGAAAACTAGAGATACACAGTATGTCTCTGACTGCAGGCAGCGCACAGACACATGGTATCTTTAAATAGACAATGTGCGAGAACTGCGACCTTCCTTCCCATAATGTAGCAAACCCTGTACATGTTTTAGTCAGCAGATGAGTCAGAAGCAGTGTTTGTCTGAGAGAAGCAGTGTGGGTGATTTAGTGTGCATTTTTGCTTTTTTTGTGAGTGTTGAGCCTGAAAGCTGAGCAAACTGAAGTGTTCAGCTTTAGAGAGAAGCAGAGAAACTACAACTCTATGACTCGACCACAGCTGCCTGTTACATCCGCTTTGCCCAGAAACCAAAGCGCAGATCGAAACAGCCAAATATGGCATTAGTTTCCTGCAGCTAACGGAGCACAAGAGCGTCTCAGAGAGGCCCACAAACGCCACCCTCACAGCCACAGGAAACAGGAAATACCTTCTCCCACCTGGGAGCCAATCACAAACCTCCGACTATTACACTACTTGTTCTTTGGCGCAGACTCTAGTTGAAGAAAGATGTTCCACGATGTCTGTGATTAAAATGGGGTTTTAGAGATGAGAAGTCACTAAAACGCAAGCCCTTAGTGACCAATCAGAGAAGGCGAACAGACTCACGGGTACGATCTTTATTCCAGGCATGACAGCTAATTGGCTCCAGCAGGAAGCTATGGTACGCCATGGCCAATCAGATGTTAGAAACAGACCAGGAAGTGGTGAGAGGAACCAGGGGCTGTTGAACTCTGAGATAACAGTCAAGTCTAGAGAAACAGAAGTTACAAGGAAGAGGCGGAAAAGGAGAGAAAACACGAAGTATAATTAAATTTACAGAACTAATTTGTCATGATTCAGTCAGAGCTGGTCCGCACTATATGAGGTACTTTGAGAAGTAAAACACACCATCAGCTGATTTTAACTTCCTGCACACAGAAAAACGCACAGATCTTATCTCACTCAGGTTGTGTTAATGAAATCCAGACTTTCAGAGGCATGAGAGGAATGAGAGGATGCAGGTCAAGAGTAACACACATCCCCCAAAACTCACAGCCAGAGCAGTCAGGACATAAAGACAAACACCTCCAGTCAGTTACTTCACATAATAACATATATGTTTCTGACTGAGTGTGGGTTAGAGTGCCTGTTGCACACTTTTAGCTTTTTCCTGAAAATGCATGTGTGTGTGTGTGTGTGTGTGTGTGTGTGTGTCACTGACATGTCAAAGCAAACTCAGTCAACTGTTAAATATTGTCTAGGCTACTTACCCTGAGGGCTGGACAGAGATGAATGGGTGAATAGCTGCAGAGATGGAAAGAGATAAATAGGGAGAGGCAGAGGAAGGTGGCGGATCAAATGAAGATGAGGGTGTTCAGCTCGCGGACTCTGGCCAGTCAACGCGAACGCCAACGACAGAGTGAGCTCAGGAAGAGAGAAGCTGAGCTGAAGAGGGAGGAGAGGTCAGAGGGGGAAGTGGAGGAGGGTACAGTGCAGCTCAGAAGGGGAGAAATACAGGAAGTTTATGCAGGCTTATGCTCAAGGCAGAAAAGATCATGGGTGTAACACTTCAAAAATGCGAGAGAATGGCAGCAAACTTTTCCTTTTGAACAGAAACAGAAAGGGGAAAGAGTTTGAAGTCTTTGCTTCTGTTAAAACCAGGAAGAGGGGGAGGAGCATGAACACAATACAACTGCAAAGAAAAAGGAGGAGGAAGAAACTGAGGGGGAGGCAAAAAAAAAGAAGTTATAAAGCATGAAAGACACGGAAAAGAAGGGGGAGGGACATGTGGTCACTTCTGCATAAAGAAAGAGGAACAAGGAAAGGGGGGGGGAAGAAAAGTAAACTGCAACAGGGAGGGTAGGGAGGGTAGAAAGGGTGGCACCAGGGGAAAAAACTACACTTCTGCTCCTGTTTTTCATGTATTTTGAGTTATGTTTACTTTGTTTAAGCAGTTCAGATATCCCAACTACCAAATTTTCATGCATTTCCTGAAAGATCTCACACTTTTCCCCTTGAAATTTAAAATCAGAAATGGATGTTGTCCTTGGTTAGACACCTTTCTGTCTGTGCTAGAGCAGATTTTTCCACACGTCTCATCATTTCCATTGGGGTTAAGACGAAGATTTTAGACCTCTATTTTTCCAGTATTAATTCAACACTTAACAATTTAATTTAATTTATTTTACTTACTTTACTCTTGGGCATCTACAGTGTGATCCTGCCAAAAATGTTACTAATTGACATGCACAATGTTTAAAAAACAAATATTAGGTTTTGTTTGTATAAGGAGACAGAGGCCTTAATGCCGTAAATATGTGAATTCTGTCAAATAACCTTTAACATTAAGTAAATTTAGCCTCATTACTGTATGTATGAACTGACGCCATATTCTGCTCTGTCACTTTATCTATTTATTTTGTTTTTAAACCAGATGCCAGATACCAAGACGGCAAACATTATTTATGCAAAACATCAGCATGTTGAACTTGTTTAGCATGAACAGCCTGATATAGCTGCTAGTACGGATGCTGACTCTTAAGTGTAATTTAAATGTATTTTCCCAATACACAAACAAAATAACCATCTGCCTCATTTGTGTTTTGTTTACTGCTAGTTATCAAATATTAGATTGCTTACACATTTCACTAAGATGCTAAACAGTATACCTGCTAATAGCATTTAGATTAAAACACAGCCTCACAAAGCTGCTCGCGAGTTTTTACTTCCTGCCTAATAACTTATACTTGGGTACACAAATATGACTTGTGGATTCAAAACAAACACAAAACTAGTGCTGCACATCCACTACAGGTATCCAGTTACTATCCGCCCACTGCCTGTGAGAGACAAAAGGAAGAGAACAGTCGAGTGACTTGTGTACTGTAAATGTACTTCATCTTTATTTCATGTCTACCTCATGATCAGTTACATAGAAATCCTCCATCTCGTGTGGTTTTAGTGTAGTAGTTGCAGAGTCTAGTGCTGGACAGCCGCTTTCTCTCTCCACCATCAGATCCTGTACAGCTCTCTACAGCCAACCAGCAACATGAGCTCAGAATATCAATAACCCGGGTCCGAATCTAAACAATGACTTCACCTGCTGGAGAATGTTTACTACACTCCAGGAAGTAAAACATCACGTCCTCCGATCTACTAAACACTGATATTCGGAGATCATGTCAAAGGTTCGTCTGTGGTGAAATACAGTCTGACTTTTGGATAAAACACACCTTTTAGTGTTCGACTTTTGGTACAGGAGGTTAGAGAACATAAAAACACACATTTCACGTCACGTTTTAATACGTGTCAGAGGACCTTCCCACTTTGACACCTGGTTAACCTTCATTTAAAAACAAACAAAAAAAAATCAACAGTGATGTCACACGTCAGCTCAGTGTGTGTGTGTGTGTGTGTGTGTGTGTGTAGTGTGTGTGTGTGTGTGTGTGTGTAGTGTATATGTGTACTTTAGTGTGAGAGTGTTTGCACACACCCACAAGAGTGTGTTATGGTCTGATCAGTGCTTCAGCAGACACTCAATAAGGTGGTCAGTTATGCATGTTACTGGCTGCGTCGCAGGAGAGGAGGGGGGGTAAAGTGGAAGGGGGAGAGGAGGGAGGACTAAAGGGTGGGGCAAGGGGGAGAAGTGAGGCCGCAGCATCTCTTCATTCATTCAAAAGATTTCTTCACATGATGCGGAGACCCTGGATAGAAGCTTCTAGACTCTGAGGAGGCAAACACAGAGACACAGGAGAGTTAGAGCTGGGAGATCTGAGATAATAAATCCGTGCAGAGGATGGCCGATTTGTGTGTGTGTGTGTTTGTACCTTGAAGTCCCAAATGGTCATCGCTCCATCGATGCCTGTGGTGCAGAACTTGCGACAATCCCTTTTGTCTCCCTCAAAGATAGACAATTGGCTAAGGGCCAGACATGCAGATACATACAGAGAGTTTTAAAAGAAAAGGGGGGCAGAAGTTATAACACTGAAAACTATATTATTGGTTTTCACTATAATGCAATAACAAGAGAGTGATGGAAAATCGCTTTATTAGCAGAACAGAAAGTCAATGGACCCGTCCGAGAACTATTCCTGCACATGACCCGCCATAAAACCACAGCCTGTAAACAGTAGATGGATTTTATTGCATTTGGACAGAACCAGGTTAGCTATCTGCCCCTGCTTCAAGTCTTTGTGCTCCGCTAAGATAACAAACTGCTGCCGGTTGCTTCATATTTACAGACACACAGTCTATTTTGATCAATGCCATGCAGGAAACTCAATGGTTTCTTGTTTGAGGACAAGTTGGACAGAACTGATCTCATCAGTTCCTGAATTCAAATGAGCTCCAGCAGTAGATTATGGTTCTACACAGTACTGCAGCAATTTCAGGGCAAACATTCATTAGACTAAATATTAAATGAGTAAAACGTATTCTCCACTACGACAAAAAACCAAACTGTTTACACATATAAGATAATATAACAATATAATATAAGATATATATATCTTATATATTCCTTAAGAAGAACAGGAATAATAACACAATTAATAAACTGGATGCAGAGATGAGTCTCCTCTGAGCTTCCAATATTATCTATTCCAGCCAATACTTTTGTTACATAACGCAACATCTATTTTAAGGGTTAAAGTACCATTCGTTGCCAGTGTACAAGCTGCATCGAGCTAAAATGAATGCAGTATACTACAAGAGTCCTGCAATGAATCCCTAAGGTTGTTTTGTTCAGTTTTTGCTGAAACTGTCTTAAGAGAGGTGTTGATTCGACCTTTATAGTCATTTTCAAAGGCTGTGGTTGGAGGCCGTGCTTTGGAATAGTGTTGTATTATACTGAGATTATACTGTGATTATACTGTATTATACAAATATGTAGTCACCACTCATTAACAAAACATTTGACCATCTACAGCTGTCTAAACCTAAAATGAAAACAGATGAATTCCAGGCCCCGCCCTGCACTGATCCCAGTTAGTGAGACTTACGTGATGCTGTTCTGGTGCAGTGTGTCCAGGGCAGTGTTGCGGTCCTCGGTGGTGGCTCTCTTGTCCATGTTCCTGAAGCGCTCCATGGCAGAGATGTTCCTCTGGATACTCTGCTTGGGGATGTCGAGCTTTGACACAAATGTCAGCGTACCACCATCGTCGCAACGGAACAGCATGGGGCAACAGTCGTGGCCCTGAGGACGCAGACAACACATTACAATGGCGTTCCTTACTTACTGTATATTTGTGCTTGGAAATATTTAATAGAGTGTACGTTTTATTTTTTTCTTACCGCAGCTACTAGACTGTTCTCTGAAATAAAAATGACACTGAGGAGAGGAAGGAACTCCGTCTTCAGCTGTAAAGGACTGAACACAGAAACACACACAAATTCATTATAATCTCAAGATTCAACTGGTAGTATTGTTCCTTAAAAAGACTCAACAGGAAGCAAACTACAATTTCAAAATCTGAAGTCACAGAAGTCACATCAGGTTTGCTTTGATCGTTGCATTGTGTGCAGGTTTCCAGTCTGAACTTGTCTCAATCACCGCCCGCTCAATTCATGTCACCTGTAATTTGTTGACACCAGCATGTCATTATGTAAGTGTAGCGTTGCATCTGGTTCTACTAGTTTCTGATTGGCGCTGTGAGTAGATGGACAGATTACAAATACTCAAATATGTATTCTCATGTAGGGAAAGAAATAACACAAAATTAATTTAGTAAATGTTCTTGTGATGGATTGCTTTTTCAACCTGATGAATGCGTGGGAGGAAATTTAAATTTTATGAAAGGTTTTTTTTTTTTTTTACATTATTAAACCACTTGGGACTCCTTATCTACACTCATCTGTTCATTGAAAGGAGAAATCCCTCCATCCCATTCCCCCCTGTTTAGTTCAGAAGATAAAAATGTTCTCTTTTTCTGTTTTTAGATGCTGTGAAAACCAAAAAGGTTCCAGGTTCAGTTTTAAGTTATCCTCTTGTATTAGTAGCTGAAATTCTACAGTCATCACCTATGTCAATCCTACTGGATTATATTGTCTGTATTTCCAGCATCATGTCGTTCATTGCAACTGGCAAACTTCAGTCAGTGAGAGTACTGGCATTTGCACCTTAAAAAAAACCCAAAATATATATATAATTTTTAACCAGTCTATACTACTAATCCTGCATGATTGCTATTGTTGTATGGCCTGCTTCTGGCTTTGTCAGAGTAGGGCGAGTCATGACTTCACTATCAGGGGAAAATTTTGAAAAATGGAAAAAGTAGCAGGGTCCTGTTTCAAGGAAAATAAATTACGTGGTATCCGATATGTGCACAGACAAGCGTACTCGCCAATACCCAATACCATATTGTGGGCAGTATCGGAGGAATTTTCCGATACTGGTATCTGTACCAGACCAACACATGCACAAGCATCCACACACTGAGACATCTGCTGGTTACAACCACAAACAAGACTCCTCTATGTGTAGAAATGATTATACCTGGTAGTCTTAGAGCTGTCCACCACAGTGACAGTGCTGTCATGGCTGACCCAGGCCAGACGGTTACCAGAGGCTGAGAAAGAGACAGAGTGGACCCAACCCCCTCCACCTAACAGACACAAAGTGCATAAAAAAGAGACAGATCTGGTTTAGTTCAAAGGGTTACTACAAGTCATATGAAAGAGGGTTTTTATAATCACATATAAAAAGAGACAGATACGGACCCGCTCCTCCAAATTCTGCTAGCACAGCCCCAAATGGCATCTTGCTGCCCCAGGGTGTGGGACCTGGTTTCTCTTCCACCTCCTTAATGTAGGCTGAGAACACCCTGGAGGCCGGAGAGGGAGGGGACGGGGAGAGTAAAAGGAAAAATAAATAAATAAATAACAGAACAGAACAGAAAGCATTAGACGGAGAGAGGACGCTGGCAGGTTTGCACTCATTTAATGTTCCTCTCTTGTTGATTCACCGTTAACAACATTCACCTGCATTTGAAGTCGCAGGATCCAGCAGCCAGCAGGATGTTGTTGGGATGCCAGTCCAGACTGAGGATGGTTGAGCGGATTGGTTTCTTGATGTGCTTGCTCACCCACCTGAAACATTTGATAAAGCACAGAAATCTTTAATATAATAAAAAAAAAAATCTGCCTAATATCTAAGTATGAATTCAATGATCAAAAAATCTGATACATGTTATGTTGCAAATGGGAGCCAGTAACAATGTGTGTGGTTCCACACAACGTAAATGTTGTTGTCTGTTCTCAATTTAACACAATTAATAATAAAGGTGAGGAATTTGACGGTTGGAAAGATTTCTGACACACCTGAACAATTCATCAATGAGAAAAGGGAAACAGAACATATTAGCGTACTGCCGGAAAAGAAAATCTTTGGAGCCTTAAAGTGTATTTTTATCACTCATTTGGAAATACTGTACTTTGGTTTTAAACCAGATGACAACAGACAGGTACAGGTGGGGTTGTTGCTGTGTCCCAAAGTAATACATTAGTAGTTCTTGTGACTTTAATAAAAAGACACTAGACGTTAAAGTGGAAAAAACAACTAATTCATACTCCCCATCACATCATTTAACAAAAAATATCAATTTGGCCGTGTGTCTGTTGTTGTATTAAATTTCAGCTGATACATTCGGAAAATGTCACGACTGCACAAATAGTCTCACCAGTCATTCTCAGACTCAAAGTAGCAGACAGAGATGAGTCGAGCACCACTACCAACTGCAAACTTGTTCTCCAGTGGAGACCACTTGACGAAGGTGGCGGCTCGGTTGATCCTGAGGATGACCAGCGTGGGCTTCCACACCCCTTCCTTCTGAGACCACACGTAGGCATTACGGTCTGCTCCACACGTCACTATACGGTCACTTTTGGGAGCCCAGTCAATACCTACAACACACAACAAAGAGAGACTATGTAATTACTGACTGACTGCTGCAACAATCATTAAGTGAACTGTGATGGCAGCTGAATAAGCTTTTATAAAGATACATCATTCAGAATCTTACATGTGACAACTTGTGTTTTGTTTGTTTGTGGTTTAGTCAAATGAACGCAGAAGAGGAGTCAAATGTCACATAAATTAACTAAAAGCAGTCTGATTAAATACCTGTTATGTGTCCATTGTGCTCCTTCAGCTCATGGGTCTTAACCCACTGGTTGCCACTCTTCTTGTAGATATGGACTTCATGGTTGTTAGGACTGATGGCAATTTCTATGGGGGGTGGGAAAAACAAAAACAAACAAAATGTACAGGTTAACAGGCTGCGAGTACAGACAACAAACAAGTCTGACCAGTTTCTGCCGCCAGCCAAATAACAGGCCGGACAACTTAATGTAAGCATTCACAAATCCTCAAAACCAATAACTTAATTTCTGAGTGTGCAGGTTGGTGGTGGCACTGGAATTACAATAAGGGAGGATTATGTGATCCTTACGTGTCCTGTCGCGGTTCCACGCGTGGCAGGTGATGGGTTCCAACAGAAACTGATGAAGGGACATCTTGTCTGGGTGTGGTCCTTAAGTGGAAGTCTGCGAAGTCACACACACACACACACACACACACACAGAGAGAGAGAGAGCAAAACTTAAGTTTAGCGACAGAAGAAGTCCTGAGCGCTCAGCTGAACTGAACTTTGCCTCTGTCGACTGTAACTCTCCACACAGACGACAGCGTTTATAAAACAGTCTGTGTGACTGCTTCTCAAATAAATAAATAAACAAATAAATAAAAAAACAACTGAATTAACTGTTAACTGCAGATATCGTCGGAGTCCATCTGAGGGGCTAGCTGTGTGTTAGCTTGGACCCAATCAGTCCAAACACTGAATGTCTGATCCAACGAGCCAATGTTAAATGATGCTATCACCAGTCCTTGAATGCTAGTAAGTCAAATCCCTTGTGTGAATTGACTCTTACAGGCTAGCTACCGGAATATAACCATGACTCGGTGTTAAGTTTACCTCGCTCGGTAAATGGCTAGCAAACGCCGACAGTCCACCGGTGTTAAATAGGCCGGATTGATTTGTTATTTTAAACAAATATCCACACGCGTTTCCCTTTAGGCCTCCTCCCTCCCTCCCTTTTTTTTTTTTTTTCCTCCTATATTTTCTGATAGCTAGCCCCACCATTAGCCGTGCATTCCGCTAGCCCCCCTGTGCTAACTCACCTCGTCAGTCCGGTTCTCTCGTTAGCCGGCGGGCTAAGTTGCCGCTAGCCCCGGGGGGAAGGGAAAGGTTAGATTTAGGAATGGACCTGAATTCGCGGACTCTGGTCAGTCGACACGAATTCGTCCGGGAGTGTTGAGGGAATGTCAAGACGGCCAGTGGGATACGACCGGGAACATCCGGTAGCTCACTCGGCAGTTTAAAAAAAAAACCTCCCCCAGTGGATGCCTGGCTGACAGCTAGCTTAGCATCATCACGCTAGCTGTTACATTCAACTGAAAATCCTCGTTCACACATCGGAGTCTCTCTCACACACACACACAGAGAGAGAGAACAACGAGTATGAAAGAAAGAGCTCCTCTAGTGGCTCAAGTAGAAACATCTAAAGTGGATTAACCGGTTACCAAACACCACCATCTAGTGCCTATCTGGGACCGAAGCTACCGTAACGTTGGGAGCCGAGGATGCGTCACTATGGAAACCAATCTCCGCCAATGTTATTATTAATGTTTTTTTGACCTAGTTTGGTCCTAACAAAGATTTATTAACTCAAAATAAAAGTTTATTATCTCAAAAATAACAATTTAGTGTCTCAAGAGTTATAATAAAATATTCTGTGAGTCTTTATAATGAAAAATGTTCTCAATATAGTGACTTACCATCTCAATATAAAGACTTGGTATCTCAAAATAATGTACTTTACACTTTAATGTTATGTACACTAGTATCTCAAAGTCAAAATATTGAGATACTAATTCACAATATTGAGAACGTTTCTCATTATTTTGAGATACTAATTCAAAATATTGAGAAAGGTTTATTATTTTGAGATACTAAATCATTACATTGAGATGGTAAATCACTATTTTGAGAACATTTCTCATTATAATGACTTGCAGAATTTATTTATTTTCTTTCTAAAAATGGGCTTCCATAGATTACCAACCCGGCCACAGATTCCCAGGGCCCCTGAAAGCCACACATTACCACTTGGTTTATGGTAGTTTGACTGATTGTGATTTTGTTGATTACGCACTACTAAAAAGTAAAATCAGGATAAGGGCCATTAGATAGGACCTGCTGTCCTGTACATGTACATGGTGCTGTGGTACTGTTAACTTTGCTCCAACACACACATCTTAATTTTATAGTGTTTTTTGGCAACATGTAAACCTTTTAAAATCCAAAGAAGTCAATGGACACGCTATCAAGCTCCATTATTTCTGCAGTAAGTGAATGAAAGGTGGCTGTATAGTGCAAATTTTTTAAAAAATTACCTCCAAATCCCGTCTGCCTCATTTTAAAGCTCACCCTGCTATTGACTTGTGGGTAATAGATTCTGAAACCAATCACAGGAGGTTTTAATTAGTATCTCTCCATCGCAGCTGGTAGACCTACAGGTGAACTGCTCCTGGCTGCAAACATCATTCAGATCCTCACGCTCTGTTTTCTCTCTTTTACACCACCTAACTGTTATATGGAGCCATTAACAAAAGTGGACGAGCCATTTCCTACACCTCCACCGTATTTCTTACCAGGTAAAATAAACTCTCAACTTGCTGCTTTGTTCACTGGGACAGTTTTCACAGAAGCTTGTTGTATGTGTTTGTTCCTCCAGACTCTGGGCAAGATGCGAGGACCTACCATATTCACTCACCTTTCAGCCCTGCACCACCTCCTCCTTCCTTCTCCTTTTCTCCTGGACTTGGCTGCTCCACCCAAACTTACTCACCTCCAGGTACACGCTCACTTCACATCTGCCTCCATTTTGAACATGAACATCTGAATGTCACATTTTCTTTGTCATGTTCTTTCCTTAAGACATTACAGATTTTCTGGGGTATTTTTTATGTTGGGCCGTGTTGATTGTAGTCGCATTAATAGTGTTGTATTGTCCAAAATTATCAAAACAAATAGTTAATTATGAATGTTACATACTGGTAGTTTTAGAGGGAGTGGGTTAACATGCAATAATAGGAAAAAATATCATATTTAGAAACGTTTTTTCTTTGCAAAGTTCCAGGTAGAAATGGTAGTTTTGTATAATAAATGGAAATACTTTCCTCGTCCAACCTCTCAAACAACACTGGTCAGATAATGTTGAGGACTGTAAGAGAGAGAAATTGTAATTCTCTCCTCCCATGTCTTCTCTCTAGTGTCTGCTCTCCCTCCGCTTACTCCCAGGCCGAAGTTTGTGAGCTATGAACCGGAGCTGTATCGCTCTCCAGCTCTGACAACATGCCCTGCTTGTCAGACTCAGGTCACCACCCAGGTCACCTACCAAGTCGGGACTCACGCGTGGCTCATGTGTTTTGTGTTTGTGTTATGCGGGTGAGGAGAGACTCATTCAAAAAGCTAAATCTGGCTAATCTAAATACCAAAACATCAATCATCAGACATTCAAAAGGCAAAAACTGATGTGTAATTTCTGTCTCGCAGGTTGCTGCTTGGATGCTGCCTGATTCCACTATTTGTGAACTATTTCAAGGATGTCCATCACACTTGTCCTCGCTGTCGACATGTCCTCTACATACGCAAGAAGACATGCTGTGAATGAAAACACGCAAGCTTACAGCCGTAACACCATAACATAAGTTTAAACTGATTATTGCAGTACAATGTATCTATACCTGTCTCAAAGTTGGTCAGGATAACTTAAAATATATAGATGTATATGTTTAAATGTATAATAATATATAAGAGAAGATGTGTTAGTTTCTGTCATGTTGAATTTAGAGGGTTTTAACTACATTTTAATCAGATTTTGTAACAAATCTTATCAAATAAATGTTTTTTGTGACAATTTTTTTAATTTTCTGTCCTATCGAAGAAGAGCACACAACAGGAATATATTCTACATTTGGATATGAGCAGATTGTGCTCATCAGAAATTTATCGCAAACAAATAATGCAAACTCAATTAGCATTTAGTTGAACTTACTTAGCTTTTTTTATCCACAAATGAATACCATGAGATATAGTTGAAAGCTGTAGGAAAAGCTAGTAAGTGGACTTTGAGTTATGCTGTATGTCATCCCTTCTCTCTCTCCCTCTTTCCTGTCCCTCTCTCAAGCTGTCGGATCATACATAAAGGAATAAAAACCCCACTAAAACAATTACTTATTTGTGAACCAACTACATTCAAGTTCAAGAAGGATGTTTATTTTATGTTTTTAACATGTTTATTGATTTTGATTAAGAGTGAAGTGTCCTGCTTAAAGAGTGACTTGTGTTCACAGCTACTGACTCCCACCTTACTTTCTCTTTAGTCATTAATACAGCCTGTGCGGATTAAGCCTGCATGTGCACTTGCACTGTGTGTAGTAAACCTGCCCACACTGATGACACCAGAGGATTACAAGTGTGGGTTTATTTTAGATCTTTGAGCCTCCAGAGTAATGAGCATTTGAGTTGCAGCAAAACCCTTCATTCCCCTCCTCTGAGGTCACACTGAAGCCTTCCAGGCCACGCCCTCCTGCTGCACAGGTATAAGACGCTGTCGGGATGTCTGCCACTTCAGGGTAGATGAGCACTGGTGGATCCCAGCAGCAACACACGGCTCACCCCTGCATGGCCGAGGATGCATCGAAGTATCTCTCCTCCCTCAGTAAACCTGTTTCCACCTTAGTGCCCTATTTTTCTTTCATCCAGCATTTCAAACGCAAAACGGAACTCCTCTCCTATTTGATCCTGTGTGTTTCCAAAATGCCATTCATCCCACCTGTGTCGATTGCACGCTCTGTGTCAGGGCTGGCCGTGAAGGAGAGACCTATCAACAGCACTTCATCTACAACTACTCTGGCCAAGACGAAGGTCCAAAAAGATGACAAAGGCAGCTCAGTGAAGGAGCGATTGGCTTCGAACCTCAAGCAGCTGGGGAAAAAGAGCCAACCCAGGAGTCATCTGCCAACCGCCAAAGGAGTTTCAGGAGCAGAGCTGCATTCAAAGAGAAGGGACAGATTGTTGCCTTCATCACAAACGGACAGCTTCCCTGCCTCCAGCTCAGGCGAGTCCCTGTCCAAGACACAGCAGCACAGCCCTGTGAAGAGTGAACCAGAGGGGAAGACGAAGGCCATGCATCAGGAGGAGGCCCATTTCACACTGACTCTCACACCAGAGGCTGTTCTGTTGCTGCAGCGGAGGAGCAGTGAGAGACGTCAACATTCAGCATCCAGAAATGTTGGAAGCGGAGGTGGTGTTTCTGGAAACGCTTCAGATTCCAGACGCAGGAGGGAAAATGTCTCTAAAAGGCATCAACCAGCAACACAGAGACACAGCACTCTAAACAGCAGAGCCAATGCTAAAAACAACTGTGATACTGAACTCAGAGACATAAGCTCAATAGTGAAAATCTCTCTTCTGAACGAGCAACATAAGTATGATGATGTGGAGTATGAGGAAGAGGAGGACTATGGTGTGGATGAGCGTGTGGTGCTGAAATGTACAGAGTGGCTCCGTGGGTTGGAGAACACACCAGTGACAGTGGGAAACAGCCGGAATAAGAGTGCGAAAAGTGGTGTGAAAAGTTTCTGAAGGTTAAATTAAAAGCAGGTGTCGTCTTCCGACCTGAGAATGAACTGCAGCCTCTGTTTCTGTGTTTGCTATTTGAAGATGTGCTTACTGTGTGTTACTGGTGCTGTGGGTTTCTCTTGTGGATGCTTCAAGGATATGTAAAACAACTGTAGGATTTTACTGTTCCTGCTAAGATATTCATCCACTGTGACAGTGTTTTTATGAAACTGTTGTTCATGAAATGTTCTGTTCCTGCTGTTTTGTTGGATCCATCTTCTCCAAGTCCGTGGGGAAGTAAAACTTAAGACGCCTCATAAGGACAAATCATATTTTACCATTCGATCACATTTTTAAACCCTTTGTCACAGGGGAGATTCTTAAGTTTACAAAGACATATACTGAAGTTGGGGGAACTATGTATAAAACAATGCACAAGATATTTAGAATGTTTTCATTTAATGCAATGGTACCATCATAAAAATTATGGGTTTTCAATATTGCACCAAACAGCATAGATCTTCAACGAAGAGCTGGTATTAATAATATATATGTGATACTGTCAGACAGTGTAATAAAGTTATTTTCCAATCTTAAAGTTATAGTGAAATTAAAGAGTTGTTCACTGTTATTTAAAAAAAATTCAATTAAATTGAAAAATGTTTAATTTTTGAAAGCCTCTGTTATGTGTAACTGTTTTTCTCATCCCTGTAATAAAATTTTACAGCATGCACTTGAGACATACATATTTTATGTTAATAAGATTATTTTATCAGTATATTTTGTAAAACCTGCATAAAGTTTGTAACATAAAATAAAGTGACAATTCCTTCACTGGTGCTACAAGGCATTAATAAAAAATCTTTATGCATTGACTACAATTTCGTTTACATTAATTTAATATATATATATATTATTTATGAAAATGTTCCTTTTTAAGAACCCAAATAACCAAAACAAAGAAATAGACATGACAGAGTAGAATAAAATAACTACCATCACACAGAAAAAGTGCACATAATGTGCAGGTAAATCAGTATGATGAAATGACCACAAGTAGATTGAGGGTCAGAAACAGCCTCCATAAAACCAAGACCAGAGGAAGGCCCAAATGAAGGCCAGAAAACGGAAATCTCGGTGGATCAAAACACAATACAGCACAGTGTAATACAATTCGATACAATGCGCTCCCAGGTCGACACCTCTCCCTCCTAATATGTTCAATAAAGGATCCCCAGACAGTTAGAAGTTAAGAAACTTGGGATGGGCAGTGGACAGAGTATACCAGTTTCTTCAAGGTATAGACAAGAAACCATGTAATCTAGCTTTTCCTTTAAAGCCACTCTCTCAGGATAACCTTTTTTGCTATGACCAAATCAAACACGAGGGCTTGTTGTAATGCTGGAGGAAGAGTGGAAGCATCAGGGATTAGCTGATTGCTGAATATCTCGTTGTACAAAAAGGAAATGAGAGCAAATGAGACCAGAAGTCATACCTGACTATTTGTAAAATGTAGCTTCTGTACATCTTTTCTTTCCTGTAGCTAATGTCTCACTCGCTGTAAGTAGCTTTGTAAGCAGTTTAGTTTGGCTGTTGCTGTACATTGCCTCGTGCACAAACCAAGTGTGCTTAGTGGCAGCTTATCCACCTGAGAGTCAAATGTTACAACACGTGTGTTTATGTGTGAGAGCGTGAGTGAGTGACAGTAAGAGACAGAGATATTCCATGTGTAGTGTTCAACAAATACTTTGATTTTAAATAAAAATGTAAATAATCACATTGTATTTCATCTGCTGCACATAAGCTCCATCTGAAGCTTGTTAAATAAATATAAGAAAGGAGACAGTGGCTGATGGATACATAAGCAGATGGGCGGGCATTATTTCCAGCGGTTGATTCGTCGCAGCTGCACATAGGCCAGGAACATGCAGACCAATATGATTCCCAGCAGAGCCACCTGGTTCTGCCAGAAGCCCCACACAGAGTAGTCGATGTCCTGGCTTTTCAGGAACAGCTCCCCTGGGATACTGCAACACAGATGAGAGAGGCTCATTGTGTCTGTGTCTGAGTGTGTGTGTGTGTGTGTGTGTGTGTGTGTGTGTGGGTTATTGTATTTAAAGGAGTGGCTCAGTTATTGCTCAGCACTCACATGGTGGTGTTGCTGTAGAAGAACTGTCCTGTCATCTCGTTGATGAATGCAGCCTGAGAGAGACAAAGAGACTGTGCTGAACGACTTCCTCGCTACAGATAAAGACAGATTAAATTTAACCCCACTTATCTCATTCTCACAACCACACCCTTCTTTTCTTACTCAGCCTGCTTTCCATATCTTACATTCAATCCATATCTGAAGATACTGATCCATTTCAGCCAGGAGAGCCAGGTCAGCATGGAATTGAGATTGACAAGAAAACCACCGAAGACCTGAAACGGGAGGATGAAGAAGGGAGAAAGGGAATAATACACATGATAGATAAATCTTCAAGAGCAGTGTTGGGCAGTAAGGCATTTCTAGTACTACTTTTACAGAGTAATAGCATTATGATCTCTGTCGTCTATGTTTTTGTGTGTGAGTCTTGGCGTCTCACCATCATGAAGACGAAGGGTAGAGCAATGAGGATGTTAGCCATGGCAAATGAAGATACACTCGCTGAGACAAGGAAGGCCAGACCGACTCCTGCCAGACTGACCAGAGACATGGTCAGAGCAAAGCACAGGAAGGCCTCAAAGGCAGGCTTCAGCCCTGAAAGAGTGGAGGGTGCATGTGAAGAGAATGACAGAAAATTCTATATAAAACAAAAACAGCCATTTTAATATAATCCAGAGTGTTACTTTTAGTAGGTTCCCCTTGGTTGGATGAGACATGGCAGTAAGGTCAAATGGAAGAGCTCATGTATGCCCCTAAAATATTCTAAACTGGAATCTGTCATCTGGATTTTATTTCTAAAAACTTGAACCCCTTTGGGATGAAGTCAAGCCTGTGCAGAAATAATTATGGACTGTTTCCTTATTCACTACATAATTTGCTGCATTCACACTCTAAATCAACTGGGGAATATGATGAAGGCACTTCTTGATTTGGAAGTCTCTGCATGAGTCCTAAAGGAGATTAAAACAGGAACAATAGTCATTTCAAGGACATGAATAAAACAGCACCTGTTCTTCTCTACACTTGGTGACTGTCTGCAGTCTCATCTGGTGTGTGTTCTTGAATGTGTGCGTGTGTGCTTGTATGTAAGAGAATTACCCATCATATAGTAGGCGATGGCTGAAAAGATAAAGATGGGGATGATGCGGTTGGGGATGAGATCAGCAAAGATCTTGGACAGGAAGTAGACAGAAGTACGGTAATAGCCACTGGAGTTCTCGTGACTGCAACATCATTGACAAAGACTTTCATGAAACACATAAATACAACCACTGGGAGAGAGCTAGAAGCATGGGATTGTAAAGGATTTGTAGATTTAAAACTATAAAAAAAAACAAATCAAATTAATGTCACACTTTTGATCTACCACTGTAGATTAAAGGCTTGTTTCCATTTGCTAACAAATCTCAGGAAAAATACAAAACCAACATTGCGTTGTTGTTCAAACAAGCATTGTCTGTTTAGCCAAGACCTGAACGTGGACACTAGTTTAGTTGGACTCAATCCCACATACGCCTTCTTACTCCTGTGAATAGGCACTACAGCCCCAAATGTATATTAATCCGCAGCTCAAAATAGTTCCCAACAAATGCACTATTTACTCCTGTTTGAGTAAAGTTTGCACAAAAATCCAATCAGGAACTGTTTTAGGAAATTATTTATGAATTATTTATTTTTGAAAAATTAAGACAAAACTCTATGGACTGATTTTAAAGGGCTTGGGGCTGAATGCCGCAGACAGACAAGGGAATCCGGAAAGTGCTTAAAGTATTATTGAGACAATCTTATGAAACACGTTGTTGGTTTTGGTCTTTTCAAGGGAAAATAAGAAGAAATGGCCTAAAGAAAAATACAGAAAAAAACTGTCCTTATACTTTAAATAGCAATAAAAACAAAAGTGTGATCCACATAAATCTATCTAGGCACTTCTTCATGCACCGTCTGCATACATCAGCACGTACACACACAACTTTTATCTTTCACTCACATGAAAATCGCCCTTTCATTGATAAAGAGTTCAACAGCAGAGAGATTCCCAAACACCATGTTGATGATAAGGAAGAAGAACGCTCCACTCCTGTCACAGAGAGAGAGGGAGAGTAAGTTAGTTATCTAGTTAAATGTACTACAAGGAGTCTTTAAATGCTTACTCTCAATTTAAAGGACCAGTGTGTAGGATTTAGTGGCATCTAGTGGTGCGGCATACTGCTCACCTTCCAAGCCTGTAGGTGAAACTACGGTCGCAAAAAATACAAAAGGTGCTATCTAGACCCAGTGTTTGGTTTATAGAAACATGTTGGTTCAACGTGGCGGACTCTGTGGAAGAGAACCTGTTTCCTCTGTAGGTAAAATCGTCTCATTCTAAGATAATGAAAACACAGTGATTCTTATTTTGAGGTGATTTTACACTAATGACAACATAACCATGGAAAATATATTAAATTTCTGCCAATAGATCCTTCTAAATGTTTCAGAACAATAAAGAGAAACCTGTGATACTGAGATGGGCTGAGGATGGGCTTGAGATGGGCTGAGGAAAGGTGACACATTAATAGTAGGAAGAGTGTGCGCAGAGGTGACTATAGAGCAGATACACTGAGTTAAAACTAGGTTGGTTGTTATGCTGCTGGTTATCCGTACTGTACCTGTTCTGTAAAGCCTCGGGCAGTGTTAAGGGCATTTGGTAATAAATGAGTCCCACCAGAATTGCAAAAAAGATGTTGAGAGCCAATTGGGCATATGAGGTCTGAGGGTTCCTCAGACTGTTCAGCACCGTCCTGCCACACACCACACGCAACTGTCACAAACACAGACACACAGAAGGAAACAGTTTTTTTTATGGGCATGATGACAGTTATAAACAGGGTTCATTCAGCGGGCAGCCAAGGGCACTGTCCTAACAGCTGGCTGGTATAGTCATTAATCTCTACGACGTTACATCACAAATAACATAAACTCAATTTTGGTTAATGAGAAAATTAATAACTGAGATTTTAATTCTCTCAAATAGATCATTATTATTTTTTAATTATTATTATATATTATTTTAAGTTTTTTTTAATGTAAGAAACATGTTTCTGAACTGTAAAGATGGCTGACCTGATAGAGGAAAGAGGTAACGTAGTCGGCTGCCTCATCTTGACCTTTTACCCCTTCAGCAGTGCTCTTGTTCACATGGTCCAACTCCTCAAGCACATTCTGGCACAGTTGGGACTGACGGTACTTAGTTGCCAGTGGGTTTTTACACTCTACTGAGGAAAGAGAGAGAGGCCTTTATACATTGTCATGTTGTAGATAAGGACAGCATAATAAACCATTTTATAACAGTCATTAACTTTTCTCAGTTACACAATGTTTGGAGTTATTTTACTCATCCATATTCATTGTCTATATTTCAACATGTGGCAAGTTCTGTAATAGCTGTGTTACACTTCAAAGTATAGTTATTAAAACACCATTAAAAGAATGACTATATGTAACCTAGATGTCTAAAAACTTCCTAACCAATTTTTGACTTAGATCTAGAAGTATTCTTACCCACAAAACACCAAACTGTGCGTGTTTTGTGTAGACGTACCTGTACTAAGTGTTTCTAATGTTGATTTTGCTTCTCCATTAGTGATGTCCATAAAAAAATCAGCAGGGTTGTTGAAAGACTCAATTTGGTAGCCTGTACGAAAACATATACATCATATCCACAACACATGAAACACTGTAATAAGGACCTCTATAAAACACCCTGACATGGTACTTGAGAATTTACATAGAACATAGTTTCATACTAACGTAGTAAAATATTATTTATGAATATTAAAATATAAAGCAACAGCTAAATGGAGGTAGCTGTCAAGCATCAGGACTTCATATGACGATACAATATTTTTCCCTTTTTGATATAGAGATTTATCATATTGAATGTAATATTTAAAATTTTAACACATTCCTAATCAAGGGCTTATCATAATTAACACACACATACCGAGGTTTGTGAAGTACTCCAGTGCATGGTCTGCTGCTCCTGCATACACCACCTCGCCTTTGTGCATTAGAGTCAGGTGGTCAAACTGTCTGAAGATGGAGTAGCGTGGCTGGTGAATGGAGAAGATCACAGTCTTACCTCTTCTGGACAACCTGGATGCACATAAGGACATTTGTTTACATCCATATTGTTACAGGAGACACAAAGACAGCAGCAGCTTGTAAAGATGCGGGGCATCAGTGATGCCTGCTCTAACAAATGTTAATTAAAGCTGACAGTAAACAGCGCGTTGTCCACAGTGTGACCCCGCCATCTTCAGCATCTACTGTGTGCTTCAGTTGTAATTTGTATCGTATGTGTGAGTATGTGTTGCCTATCTTGAGAATAATGAGTAATTTTGTCGTACTTGTGCAGTAGACCGATGATACAGTTTGCTGTGTTAGAATCTAGTCCAGTGGTCGGTTCATCCAGAAACAGCAGAGAGGGGGAGGTGATGAGCTCCATCCCGATGCTGCACCTCTTTCTTTCACCTCCAGATACACCACGCAGAAACTCTGTCCCTATCTGTGCAGACACACGCATAAATACACAAAAAACACTGGGCTGCTAAGGGTGAAATATGCTGTTAATGTAACTTGGGGACTTGCTTTTGGGCTATTTTAATGTCAGTATTTTTTGCTTTTAATTGAGTAACTTTTCACTGAAGTAGTAGACTTTGCTGCAGTTGAAATACAGTACATCATTACAGAGTACAAAGAAACATATAGAGTTAACGTAGAGGAAAGGAATAACACGTTTTATTTTCCAATTCATTCACTTCATTATATAGTTTGAACACTTATCTCTCATGTGAGTAGGGTTAGGGAAGTGACAAAGACCAATTTTCTTTTACAAAATACCTCTAAGTGAGCTTCTTTCTACATTTACATTTTTACATTACATTACCTTAGAAAGATATTAGTAAAATAACAATCTTTAAGAATGAGAAAGACCTTGCAGTACTCTTTCCAATACTGCTGTATAGTGAGTGATATGCAACCATTAGCTTGTGTATATAGCACTGTACCTTAGTGTCTGCACAGTCGGTTAGGCCCAGGTCTTGTATGATGGCATCTACTCTTTGTTTTTTATCTGTAGAGGAGTGATGCTGAGGTTTGAGACGCAGGTTGGCACTGAACAGAAGGTTCTCCCTCACACTCAGAGTGCCCATCAGGATATCATCCTAGAAGCACATGGGTGATGTAAGCACAAACTAATCGGGGAGAGGAGAATGCATACGTATGTTTGTGTTTGTGTACCTGAACCACATAGGCAGAGCTGAGCCTGAGCTCTGACGTGACAACTCTGCCATCCACCAAGACTTTTCCTTGCTGCAGTCCAGCAGGGTCTTTTCTGCCTGCGATTACATCCAGAAGTCTGACAGAAAGAGAAAGAAACTAATATTCATGTTGCGCATGTGTGCGGGACAGTGCATGTGTGTTTGGATGTCCATGAACATGTTTCTTACGATGTTTTACCACTTCCAGTGGCACCCATGATAGCGTTCATCCCAGGTCTCATGATGCCACTGCAACAACCAATCAGAAAATCAAGTCAATTCTATTTAACTTAACTCGTTTTAAAATATTAAAACAATCAAGAATATGCTTTGTCCAATTACCATGATTTACTGTAGCTTTAAAATACAAAGATAAACCTTTACAATATAAACTGCAACATTATCACAAGTCAGGCAATCGCGGGTTACATTTAAAAAAAGCAATTTATTTGCTCAACTGTCTGACACCTTACAGTATGTTGTTCATGAAGCCATTATTGTTTGAATATTTCTTTATTATTTTTAATTAGGCGTTACCATAGGATAGGATAACCCTTCACTTATCATTTGATCTCTAGAAAACACTCCAGCCCACCACATCCATTAGTGTGCATCAGCGAATTCAGAAAAATATCGTCATTGCTCTATTGTGACAATAACTGTATAACAGGAAGTAAAGAACTAAAATCTCAAATTTTGTCGAATGTGGTGCCTTTTGAATGTCATTCATGCTTTGATTACTTGATTACTTTTCCTCATTACATGAAAAAATACTATATTTATAATGTGAAGGATGAGATTGCTGCCAGAACATCTTTGAAAAATACAACACGAGTGGCACATCATCATACAGGGGGCTCTAGCACGCTATCAGACAATCACCACCCAATGATAATGCTGTTAACCAGACAGAATGGTATGCACACACTGACAGTTAACTATCATATCCTACCTCACATCGTTGAGGATGTATTTTTCAGGACCTCTCTTGCAGCAGAATCTCCTCTCGTGAACACAATAGTGCAAGTTGCTGAATGTGACAGTTGGCCCTCGATCCTGGAAATACTCCTCAACGCCGCACACAGTCTGCTCCTTCTTAGACATCTTTACAAGCTTAAGATAGAGAGAGAGAGAGAAAAGGAGTCGGAAAGTAAAGGGTTGGTGACAGTATAGGTACAGGTACAGTCTGACACAGAGTCTACGATGTGACAGGGAGAGAGAGACAGACAGAGACAGAGCATGTAATCAGGGAGTTTCTGTTATAAACTAATCTGATCTTTGGACTCAGTCTCATAGAATTGTCCGTTCACAAAAAGATAGTGTGACATTGAACTTTCCCCCTAAATCTGCTGTAATTGTACCCAAGAAGCACCATGACCTTTATTATGTGATAATAGTTCATGATAATAGATGACAATATATATGCAAGTGTTATCAAACCATCGTCAGTACCTGTTCATGGTCAGGGGGGAGCTGAAATGGTGGGGTTAAGGTCAAGGTTCCTCCACACCAAACTGAGAAAAGCATGTGTGCTGTAGGATCAAGTTATCCCAGCTTAAAGCAACATTATGTAACTTTTGAAAGTAGAAATCATGAAGTATTCCTCTTACAAATTTAAAAAAAGGCAAATTAACACCCTTTCTCAGGGGTTTTCCTACTAAAGCCTTAACTGATCTGGTATGACCTCATAGTGGTTATGTCAGCTCACTTCAGTTAAATAGTGAATACGAGCAAAACTACACAAAAAGTATGCAACGCACGCAGACTCAGAATCACTTTTATTGGCCAGGAATGTGCACACATGCAAGGAACTTGACTCCGGTTTTCCGTTGCTCTCAATGTACAAACACAGACTAACAGCATTAATAAACAGAACAAGTTCAACAAAATAGAAATAGACTCATCCAATCCAATCCAACTTTATTTGTTAAGCACTTTAAAACAACCAAAGTTGACCAAAGTGCTGTACAGGAGAATAAATAAGACATCATAAATAAAAGACATAACAGCTCACATGAGGCGCAAAATAACATATAATACAACAATAAAATGAAAAGACATAAATAAAAATAATAACCATGCAATAACAAGCAATCAAAAAGTAAAAATAACAAATACAAAAAATAAATCAAGTAAATAAAGTCGACATCTTACTAGGTGTCAAAGGCCACAGAGAAGAGATGGGTTTTAAGACTGGTTTTAAAAACAGACAGAGAAGAGGCCTGTTTAATGTGCAGAGGCAGATCATTCCATAATTTACGAGCAGACACAGCAAAGGCACGTACTTATATGTACAGTTATACATATATATATATAAACAAATATAAATACAGCCTAGTAGTCCCTGTCTCCATGGTGCGGCTGCCCCCTGCCGTACAGTATGCTGTACGACCTGCTGGTGGAGAGGCTCCTCCTTCACATCAACGTTGTTTTTCTCTGACCTTTTTCTCTTATTTTGTAGTCGTCCAATCAGGCTTCGTGTTCGGCACAGAGAACCGCCCACAGAACCCCTGCAACCAATCGCGTTTCAGCACAGTGGGGGGGGGAAATGGGCGTGGCCAGTCCCCGAAATTCTTAGGTGTTGTCATCGCGTTCTTTAGTGTGGTGTGCTTTACACAGGGCGTGTGGGCGGAATTGAACCTGTCCACAATGCGACTCTAACAGGAATTGTTTGGGTTTTTTTTTTTTTTTCCCCCCACTGTAGCTTGTCAGGGTGGGGAGGTGTGTAACGTCTTTCTCATCTAGAATCCAGATCTGACACCGGCGGACACCAAACAATCCAACATTTCCAAAAAAAAAAAAAAAAGACTCGCTTGTAGGGCTGCTAGCTAACGCCTAACGCTAGCTATGGAGGAGAGGAAGGAGGAGCGAGAAGCGGAGATCCAGGAGCACGGCCCCGAACACTGGTTCTCCAAGTGGGAGCGGCAGTGCTTAGCAGAGGCCGAGCAGGGGGACCCAAACGAGGAGGAGACGGAACAAAGCCAACAGAAACTGTGGCACCTGTTTCAGAACTCGGCCACGGCGGTAGCGCAGCTGTACAAAGGTCGGTACCTACCGGGAGCTAATGCTAACGGGAGCTAATGCTAACGGGAGCTAATGCTAACGGGAGCTAATGCTAACGAGAGCTAATGCTAACGGGAGCTAATGCTAACGGGAGCTACTGCTAACGGGAGCTAATGCTACCGGGAGCTAATGCTAACGGGAGCTAATGCTAACGGGAGCTAATGCTAACGGGAGCTAATGCTAACGGGAGCTAATGCTAACGAGAGCTAATGCTAACGGGAGCTAATGCTAACGGGAGCTAATGCTACCGGGAGCTAATGCTAACGGGAGCTAATGCTAACGGGAGCTAACCCAGAGGGAGACACACAAAGGGCAACGGGCTAGGCTAACGGTGCTAGCCTTTACGTTTACGAACAGCGTCGTTTAATTAACGTGTGTGTGTTTCCATGGTTGCGTTGAGTGACACGAAACTGTGTATTTATTCAAAAATGCGCCTTTTTTAAATTAAAATAAATAAATAATAATAATAATAATAATCGGTGGTTCCGCGGTTCTCTCCTCGACATCGTGACCCCGACGGAAGCTAACTCGAGCCCGCTAGCAGCTGCTAGCAGCCGGTCACCGTGTCAGGATATGTGGGACAACAGGGGCTGGGGATCGGACTCACGGTGGCTTCAGTTGTCAGAGGTCTCCCCCTCCCTCCCTCCCTCTCTCCAGCGCCCCAAGGCCGAATGGCTCCCCTATAAAAACGCCGGTAGTTTAGCAAGCAGCGTGTGTTTTCACTCTCTGAATGTTTTGGCTCACAATTAAATGTTGTTGTGTTTTTTTTTTGTCCACCCGTTAACTGGTAACCCAGCTCGTCAAAATGGCGATACACAGGGAGGAGTTTGCCGACTGGGAACAACTCGTTTGTTGACGGTCAAACGCAGTGGTAGTTTAATTGTCGCAGTGGTGTGGTGGCTTTTAATAAGCAGCGACTCAAAGACGGTTTATTTAATTTTATTTCAACACACACCGAAGGTAGTCTGCTGAGGACTATTGTTGTAAACATCCAGAACAAAATGGCGAAAGGATTTTTTTTTTTTTTTTTTTAAAGTAAACTGTTGTTGTTTGAGGTCTCGTCCTGCCTGTTCTGGACATTACACTGAAATTGCGGTGCTTGGAAATTACTTGTCAGCTTCTGCTATTGGGACACACCGAAACGGGAAATGCATGTGGGCCCCATTTTAAAATGTCTGTATTAAATGGTGACATCATGGTTGGTTAGATATGACCACTTAAAGTTATTTCCTGGGGGTAAAAATAATGGCTAAGAATATAATTCTCACACCAAAACAGCCTTATTTTGACACTGCTAGTCAAGTGCAGTCATTATCCCTCTCTCACAGAGCCCCCCTCCTCTGTTTGTTCAGGCTGTAACACAGCTGCAATCTTCATAAAATGTAACACCAGTGAGTCATTCGTAGAGGAAACCATATGGACAGCCCCTGCAGATTAGATGCAAGGATTTGCAGTCTAATTGAACTTGCGAGAGGATGATTGGTAGTAGAGATGTTGCACAGGCCCGGAGCCTTTTGTGCTTGTACTTTTGCAGGAAAGGCAAACTACGGTCTTCACCTCTCTGTTATGTATCTCTAGTCTTCACACAGCAGTTGTTTTTGACCCTGGATGTATTAATAAGGCTTTGAACGTAGTCTGGAAGTCATTGCCTGTGATAACGCCACCCACTGGTTATTTTTCTCTTTGAGTGCGAGCCCATTTCAACTGTTAAGAAGAAATGTGAGCTTGAGGGGGGCAGTGGGGGGTTTATGCAGCATCGGTGACATTTGGGGAAAAAAAAAGTTATAACCACAATCTGACCAACTTTTTTTTTAATGTAATTTACAGATCGAGTATGTCAGCAGCAAGGCCTCTCTCTCTGGGTGCCCTTCCAGAATGCAGCCACAGCTGTCACTAACTTGTATAAAGGTAAGTAATAAGTGATTTTGACTGTCACCCATCTTGTGGTTCACTGTATGTTTTGGTTGTCCGGATTTACTAAAAAACATTTGTCCTTTTGTGTCATCAGAGAGTATCGAGGCCCGCCAACGGAGCTATGACCTGGGCATCCACTTAGGCTACCAGCGCAGGAATAAGGATGTGATCGCATGGGTTAAGAAACGCAGAAGAACCATCAGACGCGAAGACCTTATCAGCTTCCTGTGTGGCAAAGTCCCACCTCCACGGACAGCTCGTGCCCCGCCCAGAGTTGCCATGGTGTCTGCAAGCCGGCCATCACCCCCAGAGACGGGCAGCTCTGTGGAGACCGACCTGCAGCCTTTCAGAGAGGCCATTGCACTGCATGGTAGGTCAAACTGTGGTATTGTAAGAGTAAGACGCTAGAGTTTGTACAGTTTGCAGTTGCTTCATGTTTCCTTTTCTTCCTTCCAGGCCTTAGTGGTGCCATGGCAAGTATTTCTGTGCGTTCTGGTCCTCCTGGTTCCCCAACTCACCCCGCTCAGTCCCTCAGTCGTCGTAGGAATGGTCTCCATGACGTGGACCTCAACACCTTCATCGCTGAGGAGATGGCGCTCCATTTGGATTCCACAGCCAATCGTAAACGTGGCCCTGCCCCCTGTAGTGATGTCATCACAGACTCACCAACTCATAAACGTAACAGGATGCTCTGAACTTTTCCTACGCCACTAATCCCTCTTCTGTCCTCTCCTTGGTGGCCGACTGGACAGCTGATGAGGACTGATGCCTTGGCCAACCATTGAAATCTTCCTTCTTTTCATCTTAGTTGCAATGCTATAAATAAAGGAACCCAGCTATTACCAACCCCACATATTTCTCCCCTTTTATTTTTCCTTCATAACCCCCTTTATTGTCTCACGCACCCTCTTTGTAGTAGTGTTCTGTTCTTTAGAAAATGTTCTTTTCTGTTTGTTTGGTTGCCCTCTGTAGATCTGATACCTAAGCCAGCACATGTCACATTTGTCATACACAAATTCTTAAATTGCAGAATGTTGCGTTTTAGGCATTTATTTGGCTGTGCTTCACATCTGATAATCAAATGGATCGGGCTCTTGCTTACTGTTTGCAGTTCTCCTCCCCTCATTCTCACACATACTTCCTCCTCCTCCTACTCTGTGGAGTGCTGGCCAAACCAGAATGGACTGAAACCGGGGCTTCTCAGAGGCTGATCCACCTCCCCCCTCCCCCGTGTGGCTCGCCGCAAGACGCTCGTCAGTGTGTGTATCTCATTCTGCTGCTCCTCTGTGTGTTTGCGTATCTGACAGCAGAACTGCCACTTACTGTGTTGTACTTGTCTTTGCCTTTGAGAAAGCTGCTACAGTATCTCTGGTTGTTGTGCAACTGTGTGTGTGTGTTTGTTTGTGTGTGAGAGAGAGAGAGTGTGTGAGAGCGAGTGTGTGTGGATGTGGATGTGGATGCAGGGTTCTGGCAAATCCAGCACCCACTTGAACGAATTATTTTCCGTTTTACTTAAATTCATCCTATTTTTTTTTTTCATTAGTTGCTCTTTGCAGCCCATAGCAGGGTTTTATCACAAAGCAGGTCAGTCAGTGTACGCAGATAATGGTGACTATCATTACTGTCTGAGTTAGCTGACTCTTTGAGTAGTGGGGGTGACAAGAGATAGAAAAGCAAGATATGTTTTCAACAAAGATTTCTTTGCTTAAGTACTCTTGTTTGGCGTCATTTGCAATTTTCTAATCACACTATTACCCATAGGTATTTTAGTGTTTACAAATAATCCAAATATACACCGTTTCCCTTTCAGCGGCGAAATACAGTTGACTGAGTACTCGCAGTAACAGTGTTTCAAAGCTTGCGTTTTACCTACTTTATGTTTACATCAGGCCCATTTATAAGAACTTGAAGTGGTGCACTGTCATCATTTTATCTCTTTAAGAGTTGCAACATTCTCACACTTAAGATTTCAGCTTTAACCCTCGATAATTACATGGGGGCATTGTCTGTGAACTAGTAGGGGGGCTGTGATATTTTACTTTGTTCAGCCACTTCACGGACTATTGGGTGCGATGGTTCAGCAAGGCTTGGGACACTTGTTTTGCTAATTTTACACACTGCTTTGTGATACAATCTTGTGTAATGTGTGTAAATAACTTGTAGGTGCTGTTATATGTGGTACATATTGTAAAAAGAAGTGCAAATCCATCGGGATGTCCATGTACAATTCTGACATTAAAGAAAATACAAGCGTTTATCTGCATTGTCTTTGTGTTTTATCCCGGTTGGATTTGATGTTTTACTGACTTTTTGCATTACCGGCTTGACATGGTTTTATTTCAGTAAAGGAAAATACTTCCTCTCAAAGTGATGAAGAGTGCAATGAAGTGGAAAAACCTGAGATTTTTTAGCTATTATCAATTACAGTGCTGCTCAGTTAACAAATGCCTTGTTCCTCCTCAGGTACTTAATCATTCATCTCATTTATAAAGAGCTTGATATTCAGATACATTTACCAAGGACAGGAGAATAAAGCATGTACTGAAAGGCTGTAGTAGTTGTATATCTGTTTGTTATTGTAACTGTATAGCAGAGTTCTGTGAAGCAGGTTGTCAACAAACGGACACATTTTGAGATCACTGCACAGTTCAACTTTGCCAACACATGGGGGCGACATAGACTACTTTGTTCTGCTTTCTGTTTTTACTTTTTTTTAAAAAGGAGCTTGTGCTTAACAGGAACCTGAAATGCAACGTTAATTGACGGATAGCAAAATATTGAACATACAAACAAACTCTGTACCGTTCCATTAAAAACAATTAGCTGTGGAGTTTTTCTATCTATCTAGAGTTATGCTTCCAAAGAGATAATTGTAAGCAGTATTTACACACAGGGAGGCATTTTAAGGACAAATCAAAATTGTGAAACAAAATATCACAGGGTGAAATAGAACCGTTTGCAACAAATCATGATGACAAAATTATTCAAATTGCAGCATTTCAGATGACTCAGTGCATTAGTGTGCAGTTGTGTCACAATGATGAGCAATTAGAGGTAGTTATGTACTTCACCTAGGCAGCGGCATCTTTTAACACTTAAAAAACGAATGTGAATAGGACAGACCTGGAGCTGCCATGGATACCAGACAGTTAATAAAGCTTATGACCTCTGCCAAGAACGTTGTGCTTTCAGTCCTGTTTATGCATCGTTAGTTAGAAGGATATGTCAAAAAGTAGATAACTGACTTATAATTTGATATAATTTGCTTGTAATCAAGATAATGAGCCCAGGAGAGACTTTTTTTTTTTAAATGTTTGATTAAGTTTAGCACCAAAACCATCTAACCATAAGGCCTTGAAGCAAAAATGTGTCCAAATAGGCCACAACCATTTCCACCTACACACATATTTTCACACTTTTATTTTTTTTTTTTTACCACTCCTACAAATTTTATCCAATCTTTATCACATTTGCTGCGTAAAGCCTACAGGATCACTTTGAAAAAAATATTTGTTCAGACAATACATGCACATCTGTTCACAGCATACCTGCAAAACTTGATGGCATTTTCACAAGCCATTATTTAGCAGTCATGAGTCTGACTTGCTTGATTCATCCTTTGAGTTGGGAATCGTCTAAAAATCCAAAAGATAGTCTGTCATTATGTGTATTTTGATGCCGACCTGGATCCCGGTCTGTCTTTTAAATCTTAAAACAAGAGCAGTACGCAGTCATGGTAGACATATAAACCATCTTCTAGTATTATGGTCTTTGATGGAAAGCAATGCTTTATATTTATAACGGAGTGTATGAAAATCATTGGGGTGTGGAGGTGTGCTGAACGAGGGTCTCCTCAATATGTCAATAATATGACTGTGTACTTGTTTAATCATTATTTACTAAAAGAGGCACGGCATTAAAGAATTTAAAATGCTATACTAAACTTTTAACCTCAATATCTTAATGGAATGATAATACAGCCACCGATGTGCACAGGAGCAGTGAAATTTCAAATTGGGCTGAAAATTGAACTGAGCACGGGGTATAGAAATTAGGACCCTATCCTGCTCTCTGCAAAAATTGAGACTCCCTTCAGCCAAAAGAAAAATTACAATACCCATTCCCTTTTCTGACCCGTCCTCGCTCCCAATTAACTTTCTTACAGTCCCTAAAATAAGCCAAAAATCATGTTTCCCCTTGTATAGCAGAAGTCAGGTATTTGGTTCCATGTCTCTCTCTGATCTGACAGCCAGTTTGACCTCAGTGCCAGCACACACACAGCAGCTCTCACTAAGCTCCGCTGTCTATCTTCACTAAATCACTGCCAAAGAACCACCACACCTAAAGACAGTCGTAAAGGAGGTGCCACGGCCTTTGATGTGCTAGAGGAAAGCTACCAGGCTGACTGTACTTTGGGGTGAACTTTTTGGGTTCCCAAAAGTGAATGCTACTGTTTGATCTCCTGACTCTACCGGTCCATCACCACAGAGGAAGATACAGAACTGCATTGTTTATCCACCACATCCAGCGAGAATATCTGTTATTTCTTTCCTCTGCTAACACTGCACGGTTGTTTTTGTTTCATCATGTATCTGAAGGCTCTAAAGGCTGCTATTTGATGGAACCATAGAAGAGGAGCAGAGCTGACCGCAAGCTGTTTCACACTTCAAAAGAAGCACTGTGCGTGTGTGAGGGAGAGAGAGGGAGAGAAAGAGACATGACGAGAAGCAACAAGTGTCTGAATGTTCCAGAAAACCCCTCGAAGATGGCCATCTGGGCTGCGCTGGTATCAGCTCACACACATACACACACACACACTCATAAACACACACATATAGGTGTCTCCTAGGATGCCGTCTGGTCTGAAAGAGAGAGTTGGTGGTGTGTTTTGTGAACCAATACAGACACACACATACAAACGTCCATTCCGTCATAGCAACTGTGTGCATGTGTGGGCTTGACCATTAGGGAGTCTTCAATGGCAGACAGCTGGCGATCAATGATGCACTAGTTATCCCTCGTGTGCATGTGCGGATGTGCGCCGACGTACACAGCATAAGCACAATGGGTACTGGTAATTGCTGCACCAGGTTGCGCTAATTGATAGAGGACAGCATGCTTATGCACTCACATACACACAAACACATTAACACATTAGCACATGCACATAAACAGAAGCCAATCAGGCAGATTGAGAATGTGTCCCCAGAGAGATAGAGCAGCCGGAGAGCAGGGAGATGGAGAGGTGGTGGAGGAGACATGGAAGGAGGAGAGGAGGAGGAAGAGAGGTTAAACACTCCCCAGAGACGGCTGCTAGTCAGGGCTCTTAGTTTTGTGCACATAGGCTACGGTAGGTGAGCAGCGCGTGGCGTGCATGAAAACACAAGGTCTGAGAGATTGTCTCCTATTTTTGGGTCTGCTATGTTTTTGTGAATGTTCCTCCTCTTCAAAAGGAGCACCCCCCCCTTCCCCTCCCTCCCTCCTTTTCTCTCAAACATAAACATGCTTGCACACACACACACACACACACACACACACACACACACACACACACACACACACCAGATCTTCAGAGCTCCCTGCGCACCAGCATGTCCCTGTCTTCCACAAATGCCATGAAAAAAAAAAAAACCCATGAGCTGATCACCATAGCAACACGTTATATATCTTCCAGCAATATTTATCCAACCCAGAGAGGAGGGGTTGTGGTGGTGGTGGTGGTGGTGGAGGGTGGATGGAGAGGGGAGGTAGTGGTGGAGGTGGTGGTGGTGTGTGTGTGTGTGTGTGTGTGTGTGTGTGTGTGTGTGTGTGTGTGTGTGTGTGTGTGTGTGTGTGTGAGGGGGGCCGTGATGCAACTCCTCTAAAAATCAAACGGTCATTATAGAAGCAGGGTTGCGGTTCAGGCGGGTGGCCACAGGGCGGCAGCAGCGTCCAGCGCAGCAGGACCGTAGCATCACTTCAAGTCTAGTGGCTTTCAGTCATGTGCCACGCAGAGCTTACAGCCGTCAGGTTTTCATCCCAACCAAACAGTACACCAGCTTATTTCACTTTTTTAATAGAAGGTGTGCCGATGAGTGAAATTGGCTTTTGTGGTTTTAAACGGCGGTCTGCGTGCATCTCTCTGGCTCATGAGTGACAACCACTGGACTGGACAAGAAAGGTCCAAAAAGATGAATCAGTCCCTGTGCATCCTCACAAGCAGCACCTACCAGTGGGATGCTGGGCACGCATTAAAGGATGGAGAAAATGATTGAAGAAGAGAAGAGAAAACAAAATGAATGGTGGGCAGAAAGAGAGCAGGAATGATTGCAAGGTCCCCCTCCTCCCCAAGCATAAGGATTAGATGTTGTGCTTCTGGCTGCAGATGGGTTTGGGCTTGATTCTGTATGCGTGTGCACAGTGTGTAATGTGTCTGTGTGTGTGTGTGTGTGTGTGTGTGTGTGTGTGTGTGTGTGTGTGTGTGTGTGTGTGTGGGTTTATTTTTTGGGCTCAGGAAGCAGGTTAAGCAAGGAGGGGGTAGAGAGAGAGAAGAGAGAAGAAAAGGAGGGAGAGGGTAGTGAAGAGGAGGAGGAGGATGAGAGGAGGGAACAGGATGAAAGGATGTAGGTGAGTCTAGGAGGAGAGGAGGCCTAAATCCTCAGTGAGCTCCTGGGAGAGAGCAAGGAGAGACATGGAGAGACTAATGATGTGAGAAAGGGGGAAATGTAGAAAGACAGAAGAAAACAGGAAGAGACTGACAGAGTGTGTGTGTGTGTGTGTGTGTGTGTGTGTGTGTGTGTGTGTGTGTGGAGTGAGAGACATATAGACAGGAAGGGAGGGTAAAAAGTGTAAGTGTAGCGCAAGTCTCCTTGCTCACAGGTTTATATAGAAAAACCCAACAGGACCTGACAAGAGTCTGATAGGATCAACTCCTCTACGTGTTAACTCACTCATACACACCTACACACTTGCCCTCACACACACACTCACAGTCCCACTTGCCCTCTCTTCAGCATCGCTCCATTTTTCCAATATTCTGTGCTTGAAGTGATGTTTCGTTTTGGTACATTTTAAATATTTCAGCAGGCTTTACCTGGTGTGACTTAGTGAGCCATTAGCCTTCGACAGCGCCCAACCTGTACTGTACCTCTGTGGGTCGATCGCTCAGATTCAGACCCTCACCGGACTCTCTTCACCATTAACTTAAAAAAAAAAAGCGAGCCTGCAAAACAGAAAATGTTGTTTTCAGCTCAGTGGTTTTAACCATCACCTTGTT